CCGCCTACCTTATTTTTCTTCACATTCATTACTACCCTCGGACGGAACGGTTAAGGTGGAGGAAATTAATCAAAGAAAGAGGGTTGTGTTTTGCGCGATATTTTTTATCGAATTTTTCGAATTTTTCTTGAGGGGTGGCTGAAGGATTTTAAGCGTTCAAAATTCCCGCGCGTCTTTTTCTTCGCATTTTTCATTTCCTTCCGGCGGCGTGGTTTTAGGCAGAGGAAATAAGAAACAAAAAAGGTGACGTTTGAATTCGCATAATCATTTCAGCAGACCCAATTTCCCCGAAAAATTGGGGCGATTTCTCCGAAAAATGGCGAGAATCGTTGCATCGGAGGTGTTGCAAGGTCTCGGGCCCTTTAGGGAGGGCCCTTTCCCTTGGAACCCCGCGTAAATACCAAACAAGCGATCGAGCGAAAGTGTAAGCCAATACGAGGTGGCGCGGGGCCCGTAGAGAGGCCCACAAGACCCAAAAGGCCCGTAAGGCCCAAAGCTGGTCCATAAGGTTCACATCGTAAGGCTCAAATCGTGGCCCATAATGCCCATCATGTCCTTGAGGCCCTAATCGAGACTCACGAGGTCCGAAAACGGGCCCAAAAACACATCGAGTTCATAAAACCAAAATCATGGCCCGAAAAACCCAAATCGCGGTGCACGAGGCCCAAAACTGCTTCACAGGGACCAGCAAGTTCATAAAGCCCCAAATCGAGGGCCCTAAGTCCCAAAACTTCTGCTCATCAGATCGACATTAAGGTCCGATGTTTTTTTTTATTTCCATATAAAATTTATAAAGTCCAAATCGCGGTCCATAAACCTCACACTGTGGCTCATAAGGCCCAAAAGGTGTCAGGTAAGTCCCAAAACTTTTGTTCGTGAGGTCCATATCGAGGGCCGATGTGTCCTTTTTCTTATCTAATTCATGAAATGGAATAAAAAGAAAGTCGCGGTACGTAAGACCCAATCGTGTAAAAAAGGCCCAAAATGGGCCCACGAGACCCTCCCCTCCACTTTTTAGGCGCTCTGGCGACTTCATTGGATCCATTCGATCGGAATCGGAGAATTCGATCCCTGCAGCCGGTCGTGTCGTCCTGGCGGCTCGTATGTGTTCGACTTCCTCTTCCTGTGTCCATGTCGGAACTGCAGTCAGGTGTCGGGCCTGCTCGACCCCGGGACATCCGATATCAGGGGACGGAAGGGTTTTCGGGCCCAATGCTCGGAACGGGAGAGCAAAGGAAGAGAAACGAGACCCGCTCGTTTCCAGCCCTCCGGCACTTCCGCCCACCGGAAGGACTCCTCTCCGAATTCCTGGAAAATTGGGGAAGCTTCTGAGAATATTTTTTTTTAACGCAAATTGTAATTTACACTGTGTAAAAAAAATTATAATAAATATTAATAACCAATTGGATTTTTTTTTTCTTTTTCAGTCCTGAACATCCTCATATTTGTGATCACCTGAGATGGTCTCGCCACGTGACAATCTTGTTCTTCTTGTTTTGTCGGTATCTAAATTTAATATATTTGTATATTTCACCCATATAACAAAAATTAGCAAATAACTCCCTTGCATTTATTACTAAAAATGTGTAACCATCATATTTACCTGTTCCCTTTATTGTTATATGAAATGGATGCCCCACGAAATATGAGATAAACTCTCTCTTTTTTTTTACATTTTTTACTCTCCAGTCCTGAAAACTGAATATTTTCTGTAAATCACAGAAGCATCTATATTTGGCTTTTTAAATTAACAAAGAAATCTAATTTTTTAATTTTTGCAATCACTTCCCTTTCATACCAAAAATGGAAATTTCATTCAATCACAGAAATATCTATATTTGGCTTTCTAAATTAACAAAGAAATCTAATCATTTAATTTTGTAAATCACTAAAATTCTTCGTAAATCTCAAAAATATCTACATTTAGCTAATTAAGTTAACAAAGAAATTCAATGATTTAATTTCATCTCGACCAATGGTCGCCCTTATGATCTCTCTTACAAAGGTACCAAGTCCCACCTGTGTTTGCTCACACCTGAGATCCACCCTTATCAGTCGTCCGCGTATCAACCCTTAAGGAGTCGAGCAAACATTTCCCTTTCATGGCGAGGTTATTGAATGCACCGATCGCACCGTGAATGAGGAGATTTCTCGGTGAGTGATTAACCGGGACAACGGGATGGCAGTCGATGACAGTGGCCGGATTGTGTCCGCGGTTTGAGGCCGGTGCAACAACCTAAGTGATTGCTCCCGGGATTATCCCCCCACGTGATAAGCCAATCCCCGTGGAATACGCGAAAACGCTAAAGACCCGTCTAGGGGGATAATTGCGATGTACCGCTTCCAAAGGACTCCAAAGGTAATGGACCTCTATAATGTATCTACCCTGTCTCTTCGTCGAGGATCTCTGTCGCTTATATTTTTTTTTACTCCGATATTACTTATTCAAACATGAAATTTGGATTTTGGTGATCCAACATTTCTTATTCAAATGTGAAATTTATATTTGGGTGCTCCGATATTTTTTATTCAAACATGAAATTTGGATTTTGGTGATCCATTTCTTATTCAAATATGAAATTTGTATTTGGGTGCCTCGATATTTTTTATTCAAACATGAAATTTGGATTTTGGTGATCCATTTCTTATTCAAATATGAAATTTGTATTTGGGTGCCTCGATATTTTTTATTCAAACATGAAATTTGGATTTTGGTGATCCATTTCTTATTCAAATATGAAATTTATATTTGGGTGCTCCGATATTTCTTATTCAAAAATGAAATTTGGATTTTGGTGTTTCGATATTTGCTATTCAATCATGAAATTTGTATTTCGGTGCTTTGATATTTTTTATTCAAACATGAAATTTAAAATTTGGTGCTCCGATATTTACTATTCCGACATGAAATTTATATTTCGGTGCTTCGATATTTCTTTTTCAAGTATGAAATTTGTATTTGGGTGCCACGATATATTTTATTCAAACATGTTTTTTCTTATTTAAACATGGTTTATATTTTCACGTTCCTCCGTCGGCATGTCTAATCGAACGATATCAGTGGTCGATTTAATTCCAGTAAAATCCGCTGTCCGCAGATAACAATGAAATAATTTCAAAACAACCAACACGACGTTTAAAACATTCTAATTCGTTCATGGATGCGTTTAATCGGGCAGGAGCAATAGCTTTTAATTCGAGCGAATCCTATTGTCTCGAGATAGAAATCGGGCGTCGGGCGTTCGGCCGGGTGGCACGCGCCGTCCTGTAATTCAATCGGCTATTTAGAGACGAAGAGATGGCCGGACATGTGCGAGGGTTACTAATCCTCGAGGAACTGTTACGAACGGCCTGCTAACGGTCCTCGTCCTCTGGGTAATCTTCACCTTATTTACTTAGCCGCCACTTCGAGGCAGATGCTGCCAAGAGCTCTTCAAGCTTCCCCTTTTGCGGGAAGACGAGGTCCAAGAATTTCGACGTCCTGTATGCAAAATTTAATTACACTAATTATTGCCTAATCGCTCTTCTTTCCAGACTTGGAAAGTTGACTCGTCATTCCGAAATTATCTACCCTGGGATATGCGTAATTAATTATCCACGTATTTCTTCATTTCCAAGGAACAATGGCGATTCCCAACAACCCCTTCGCGTACGAAGAGGCGCCGAAATTACTGGAAAAAAATGTCTCAGATCTTGTTTGTAATATCTAAAATGATCATCCTTGCAATATGCGTAAGTAATTATTCATAAAATACTATTCCAAGGAACAATGGCGACTAAAAGAATGAATTTCCAACGACCGCTTGGCGCGTGCAGAGTGGCCGAAAAGCATGAAAAATTATTTGAAATCATTCCTGCAATGTGCGTCAGTAATTATTCATAAAAAACGATTCAAAAGAACAATGGCGACTAAAAGAATGAATTTCCAACGGCCGCTTGGCGCGCGCAGAGTGGCCGAAAAGCATGAAAAATTATTTGAAATCATTCCTGCAATGTGCGTCAGTAATTATTCATAAAGAACTATTTAAAATCATCATTTCTGCAATATACGTCAGTAATTATCCATAAAAACCTATTGCAAGGAACAATGGCGATTAAAAGAATGAATTTCCAACGACCGCTTGGCGCGCGCAGAGTAGCCAAAAATGGTCGAGAAGCGTCGGCAAAAAAAAAAGGAGTATATCGCTCCACAGGAAAAGCTCTGTGGATCGATCGAGAGGGGGTGGGCGAGATGTCAGGGTTTTTTTTTCTTCCCCTAAGGTTAGCCCGGAATTGCGTTAAAGCGTTAGTTTCCACGTCGGGGCGAGGTGCACAACCCCCAAGATGGCTGCTGGCGGGCGTATCGACGTTTGGCTTTTGCGGGGTTTCTCGGAGGTAAGCTCATCGGAAATTGCGGGTCTTCCCTCCCCTGGAATCGCCCCTCCCCGCCCCTGCGGGCCTTCAAAACAAAGAAACACACGTAATTAAATTTTTCTCCCGTGCAAATTAATGTTTGCCAGCCGTCCAGCAATGGCGGCCCCGGAAACCGCGTTGACCCACCCCAAAGCCGAGGAAAGTCACCCCATGAACGCCTGAGGATCTTTCCGCATTTTTTTTTATGGTAAAGTACAATCAACTTGGCGTGTACTTATTGTTTTATTAGGGAACCGTGGCGTGGAACTAATTATGGGAATTTTTATGGTAACTCTTTGGGTCACCCCATGGACGCCTGAGGATCTTTCCGCTCATTTTTTACGGTAAAGTACAATACAAAATAAAGTAAAATACAAAAACAACTTGGCTTGTGTTTATTGTTTCATTAAGAAATCATGACATGTAATTATCAAATAAGGTATGAAATAAATAAAGTATTGTATATTATAAATAAAATATATAAAGTAAAAAAATTAACTATGCAAATTTCATAGGTAAATTTTTATGGAAAACTTACCTCATATTTCCTCGTGATGAAATGGAATCAGCTTGGACTTATCGCTCTATTAAGAAATTATGGACATTAATTAATTATACTCTTTCTGTTTTTATTAATAATATCGTAATGTGACATAGAATAATTTCAACGAGCTACTTTACAGGAAATTACAATAAGACATCCTATAATTATGGGGTACAATATTAAATTGCATCAGTGGTTTAACGATGTCACCCTACAGTGATAAATACAATACTCTATATCATACATTGTTTATCCAATTATAAGGCATGTGATTTTATATTAAATATCCAGTAATGAAATAAATAAATTTCTACGACCATCGCAAGAGATTGTCGGCGATCAATATAGACTTCTCAAACTAAAAATAGAAAGAGAGAAATATATATATATACTCTGACCTTTCCTTTTAAACTACAAAGAACAATTTTTTATTATTTATTACAAGCTGGATCGGACGACTCTGTACTTCCCTGCGAAGAACATTCGAAGTGTCGACGACACTGCTATCACTGGAAGTTATTAACAAAAAACATACTTGTTGTTGATCTAAGTTGAAGATAAAAAATAAAACTGTTTAAAGAGCGCACTATAAACGAAGCTGGAATATTCCAAAACTTGAATAACAAATTGCTCGCATGATCAGCTAAAAACAAATTATAGTGCAAATAATTCGAGCACTGCCTATCATCTCGCCTCTAATCAGTCAATGACTATCCATGCATCGATTATCCTGTCGCATAATTCTCAAACAATGCCTTATCTCTTATATACAATGACCAAACTCAAAAACACTGCACATTTCGTCCAAGCAAGGGAAATTTTTCATTAGAACGAAGAGCCGAGAGTGCGCCACTTTACTGGACGATTTCATCGGTAAGGAAGAGACCGCCCCAGGCCGGTAACTCCTCCTACCAAATTCAATATAAAAGAAAAAGAATGTACAAAATAAAGGTACACGATTTCCTTACAATTCAGTGAGTCGGTGAGCTGTGCATTAACATATTGAATAATTGCTAGGTCGTATAAAAAATTCGCTACGGTGGTTAACATGATCAGTGTCGAAGACTCAACGATGCCAGTTCGAAGCAAGAATCTAATGATCTACCAAGATAGAAATAGAAAAATATATACTTTTAATTGAGAAGTCGTATGTATATATCATCTTTCCTTAGTACAATACAGCAGGCGTACAGGTGCTCGGGAAAAAAGTATATATACAATATTCGAACGATCGATTCTCGCCGAATTGCATTGGTATCTAAAAGAGGGGTCAAGAGGCACGTTTCTCTCTCTCTCAGCTAATTCCCACATGCGTATCTTCGCTGAGTATATCGCGAAGTTCCTGAAAACAGAGATAAGGGGAGTTTAAACACAGCTGGAGACGTCTTAATCCGCAACTTTATACTGGGATAAGACATGTTTTCCTCAGAATGTAAGGGAAAAAAAAAATAGATAAATAGAAACCGATATGAAATTTCCAGGGGCGTCCGTTCTCCAGGAACTTCAGACTGCTCTTTATATCTGGGACATGCAAAAGTCAAGGTCGCAGCCAGGGTACTTAAAAATGAACATGGTAATTTTACATGCACAACGGTGACAATCAATGCATCTCGTTGCTTGGGAGAATTAATATTAGCGTGAGAATTGAGCAAGTCGAGATATAAAAATAATTTTACATTGATAATGGCCATGGTCAATAACAGAGGCGATTAAGGCGAAAAGGTCGCAGCTAAGATATTAAAAAAAAATGAGAAACGCAATTTAATATATTAATTAATTATAAATATTATTTAATATATTAATAACTAATGCATATCATTATTTGTAAGAGCCAGACCTCCGTACCCCGTCGACCTGGGACCATGCACCATGCAAAGGACCCTCCCCCAAGGATACATATTCCCCTTATCAGCCTCTACCCCCGAGTGCGTTTCGTGCAACAAAGGGTCGCACCTGTAGCCTGCGATAATGTCCCTCCTTGGGGTCCTTCTCCTGTTCCTCGGGCTGTTCGACACTCCTGGCCAGGTCGACCGGGTCGCCGTTCTCCAGGTCTAGGGGTCCATAGGACCACCCGCCCTCTCCGTCGAATCTGAGCAAGAGCCTGTGAAACCTGGCCAGGGAGCAGACCCTGTGGGTGACGGTGAGGAGGGTGATGCCCCTCCTCTTGGCGTTCTCGTAGATGGTGCCCTCGGCCTCCAGGCTGACGGCGCTGGTGCACTCGTCCAGGAGGGCGTACTGGGGGGCGTGATAAAAAAGCCTGGTCATGGCGAGCCTCTGCTTCTCTCCCCCCGAGAGGGTCGAGTCCCAATCCCCGAAGGCGTCGAGTCCCTCCGGCTCCCTCTCGGCCAGACACCGCAGATCCACCAGGTCCAGGAGACGTAAAAGGTCCTCGTCGGAGCATTCCTCCTTCCTAGATTCTGCTGGATACGTGATCTGGTCCCGCAGACAGCCCACCGTCATGTACGGCTTTTGCGGGATGTAGAAGAGGGTGGGCCTGCCATTCTCGAAGCTGCAGGTCTCCCCGGGTCTCACCAGGGTGCCGCCGTAGACCGGCCACAGGCCGGAGACGATCCGGAAGAGGGAGCTCTTCCCGCAGCCGTTGGGACCCGTGATCAGCAGGTGGTCGCCAGGCTTGATCTGCATACGATTGAGCGAAAGGAAATTAATTAAGGCGAATGTTATCAAGTCAAACGAAACGATTAAATGAAATCAATGAATAAAGATGAATGTTATTTAAGTAAAACGATGAGTATAAACAAGGGCTTGATCTCGTTTCTTTTGGAATAAACCCTGACCGCAGAAGATTGCCAGCCTTGAATTAATTTCTAGGAACTCATCCGTGTCGATTAATCAGTAATCAAATCAACGGAGCAAAAAAACTTGTATACATAATCAGTTCCAGCAGTTCTCCAGGGAGGAAAAAAAGCCGATGTCCTTAGATTTAGAAGACTCGGGAGCGAATCGAGATGGAAATCCTGACGAAGGAACCAGTTAACAACTCACGTGTATCGTCAAGCTAGGTACGATAACTTCGCAGTTAGGAGTGACTATCGGCACGTCGATCAAGCTGATACTGCCGTCGGTACTTTCCCGCACGATGCCTGGAAAAACGGGAGGACGTTTACAAAAGCGGTTACCTCAGACCCAGGGAAGCGAAGGACGCCTTCGATTACCTTTTATTACGGGCGTGCCATTTCGAAACTCGATCACGTTATCAGCTAGGCGAGGAACGTCGCCGTTGGATACTTGCGAATGACTAGTGAGGACGACGTTCCTCCGGTACTTGCAGAGGGCAGCGTCCTTGAAGACGTCAAACATCTCGTTGACCCTTGCTGCGTAGCCAGCAAGTGCAACGAGCTCCTACGAGGGAAGCAAAATGTATTAATAGAATATTAAATGCCAACAGCGGAGTGAAAGATCAAGTACATCATAGAATTTCTTTGAATCTATTTGTAATAATGTAATGAATATGATTATAGTAATCGATTAGCCTTTGGAGTCTAAGAAAATTTTTTATAACGATTACGATCCTTGCTACGTAACCAGTAGATGCTACGAGCTCCTACGGATGAGGAAAAACGTTTGCATATGGTATTAAATGCCAACAGCGGAATGAAAAATTAATATCTGAGTAATTTCTTCAAAGCTATACATAATAATGTAATAAATATGATCAGCGATGCATTACGCGTGACTGATTGGCGACTTAAGTAAAAGAAGCAAATTTTTATAATAATTATCAGGTGCATTAATTCAGAATAACGTTGTTATATGAAGTGACAAGCTGAATCACGTGGAACCTAACCTCTTCATTTCTGACAGGTTATGTAAGTTGATCTAACGCCATTTGGTGCTTACTTTGGTCAAAAATATCTTTCCGACACCTTGGCCAATGTTCCAAGTATTGCGATCTTTACGAGATATATGTGTACTTTATAATTTCAGAAAAAATAGGTTGTGGAGCGGCGCTTACCTTGTAGGAAGACATGAGCCTCTCGACAGCATCCGCACCAGAGCTCAAAAGATTCTTCGAGGTGGTGAGATATCTCGTTCTCTCGCTCACGCCACCTGCGAAATGTAGATTGTGTTGAATATATAAACAGAGTTCATATATTCAGTATATGAACAGTCTTACGAGAAGAACACTGTGACTCACCATCTCCGTCAGCATCGACATCGTCATTCGACGACCTGGAGGACAAGGAGCTGGGAGCCTTGTAGAGGAGAGGCAATGCGATAACCAGGAGGCCGGTGCCAGACCACACGTACTTCATCAACAGCTGTTCCAGCATGACGTACCACAATTTGACGGTGATTATTTTATGTAGATGGGCTACAAGAGACCTGTAAGCTGTGTTCAAGTAACGATGCTCCTTGAGATGTCCACCATAGAAGGCGATCTCCTCAGCGTGAGCACTTATACGAGCATGTGCCTCTCGGAGGCGACCACGTCGCGTAGCCTCTTCGGCGACCAGCTGACCGAAACGTGGGGAGGCCAGACGTAGCACTTGGCCCGTTATCATGATGACAACCGTAGCCAACAAAGGCCCTACAAAAATACAAGCACTTGTTTAAATCGATTATAGCGACAGAAGCACATGTTTCACCAACATTTCTTCGACACCACTTTTGTATCACCATAATGGACACTGATAAACGCATAAACGGATAAACAGAATGCATAGTAGCTATCACGCAAAGTGCTAAAAAAACAAGACAAAGTCCACGTTAACGACGCCACTCAAAATAACACTAGCGGCTGCCCCACCTGGAATAGTTCTCGCTCCCATTCTAGATGAGAACGATGCAAGGGCGATGCCAACCAATGTACAATCCAGCAAGGGTTTCGTCAAACTGGAATACAGGTGCGCAACAGAGCTGGCCAGTTCCGACAAGTCATCTGTCAGTCTTTGCTCTGCGCCTCCCAGACGCGTGTCCAGGGCGGATACTCTATAGTAGGTCTGATGACTCAAGTACATCTTGTAAGCATACTCCACCAGTCGTTCCCTGAATGAAAACAAAGGAAAATTATTGTTATAACAATTTTTATGGTGATATGGAAAGGTCATTCTGTACATATGAAGCGTCAAAATATAAAACTTTTCTCGAAAATGCGTGCAGCAAATAGTTAGAAATTTTATCTCGTGAATATGGAGTATAACTTCAAACGATTGACTCCTTAGATGTCACTTTCATGTCACTTTAAGAGGGTTCGTATCTATTGATGGTGTTAAAATTACCCATTTCAAGCAGGTAATGGAAGAAAACTGGCTAATGTTTCAAGCCAGTTTTTTTCTGTAAAATGGCAATATGCACCTAAAAGCACAGTTAATACTACATTTAAACTGTATTCACATATTTTGATTCCTCCTGTCCTGTCACAAGAATGTGTATATCCACTCCGTCAATACGATCGAGCCCTCTTGACACCTCCCAGAATCATCCACAACAATTCCACATTCACCTACCTAAAACTAAGCGCCAGCCGTCCCTCCAAATATCTAATAGCAGAATTGACAAAGGTGGCAGGGAACGCGATGGCGAACCACCTGGCAAGCATATGAAAGAATCCCCGCACATCCCTCAGAACGATCCGTTTGACGATTTGTCCTTCCAAGGTGGCCACATAAACTGAAAGGAAAGTCCTGGCCAACAGAGTAACAGTAGCGCAGGCCAGTAGTCCAGACTCCCTGGACTTCCATCCAGGAACCATAATCTTCAACAAATTGACAAGCTGCATCAAGAATGCCTTATCCAATCCAACGGCGATCTCCCTAGCCTTCGCCCTCTTCTTGCCATCTTTCCCACAGTTCGACTCGACTCTTCCGAGACTTCCATTACTCCTAGCACTGCCATTCCCACAGTCGTCAGCTGCATCTTTCTTGCCCCTCGCCTTCAGTCCAGCTGCCAAGTAAGGATAGCCGAGCTTCAAGAAGTACAGCGTGGTGGCAACTCCAACGATCCCCTTGGTAAGGACCTCCTGCCGGACGCCGCACCTGGCGGACGTCCCGTCTACGAGCTTGGAAAACACGGAGGACATGCCGCCGGTCCTTCGCTCTCATCGGAGCCTGTCTTTTCTGCCCTCTCTTCCCTCAGCGAGCCCTTCGCAGACTCTTCAGCCGCATGTTCCGTTCTAGGAACAAAAGTCCCCGGTGACGACGAGACGCTCCAGCTCCTTCGGCCACCGGCTGGCAACTGACAACTGGTGTGTGGTGGCTTGCTCACTTCGGACCCATTCTCCCAACTCGACCAGCTCGATTGGTTGTCGGTCTGGACTTGGACCCGCTCATCCCACTGCCTGCGTGGGGATCTTTTACTCACTCCTTTACTCACACAAACTCGCTTCCAGGCCCGCGCCCGCCTCAGCGTCCCTGGGTTATCTCTTTGCCCCTTGCGTGTATCCCAACGAGATACAAAGTCGAACATAGACTAAATACAAGCCAAAATTCAACCTTTGTCGCTCCTCTCACCCAGGCCCTCGAATAACAGTTGATATCTCGCCAACGAATGTCAAATCCGTCAATCCGCTATTTTAACGCCAACCGACGCTCCTGAAAACTAACCACACTTATTTCTACTTGCGTTTTTACCTGGGCTTCGATTTTTTTTCGGAAACTCACCGGGTTTCTCGAGAAATCTTGACATCTAACCCCTAATCGTGTCTAGACGCGCTCTCTGGGATGATCGCGCCACGTGACGTCACGCGATTGAGGTACAGGACGCTGCGCTTGTGTAGGTTAGGTCGGCGGAGGGGGACACTGCAGCAGGGAGCGAGTATGGATATGTGTATGTGGCGTTGATGTGTGTATTAAATATGTGTGTGTAGGAACATGTGCGCACTGTGTACGAGATAAAGGAGATAAATGCCAAATAAAAGCACCCACGCCGGAGAAAACTCCAGAGAACGTTTGTAAGAGATGCTCTCTGCGCTCTAAGGGACGTGTCATTCATGCCATAACCTGAATTATCCTTTGTGGCGATTTAAAAATGTTTGCCTCTCGGGTGCAGCCAGATGCAACGGAACTTTCTATGCATTCTTTTTCTTCCTCCAGGATGATAGCGGCACGTGATGTCACGATTGAGGTTACGGGACTTGCGCTTGTATAGGTTAGGTCATGCAGAGGGGGAGGCGCTGCAGAAATAAGACACGAATTATGCGGACGAGGTATATACACGTACTCTGCATGCTCTATATACTTTGGAGACCGCGTATGTATACTTGGAATTCGGTAGAACTGTCCACACTGCGGAAAAGATCCAAAGAAGGAATGCAAGTCGACTTCGAATTCAGCACTGACGTTGCTCCAGGTTTTCTGGCACGTGGGAATTCACGTAAAACTACCGTAAAACTCATGCCTGGACTGAAAGGTAAATGCATTGTATAGAATTACACATTTCCGGAGCAATGACTGCTGCTTTCAGAAAATTGCAACCGTTTGTTGCGAGCGAAGCTGTAACTTTCATCGGTACATTCTGCGCAGTGCACCTAGCTGGTAATCAGGCATGTACATTGTTATTCTCCTTAGCCAATTAAAGTACGAGTTCATTTCTTAGTCAAATTAATTATTCCAGGTCCCGGGGAGTAACCAGGTGGAATTAGTCACTAATTCGGTGGACGGGACACTGCTAATTCCTTTCGGAGGGGAATGTCAACGGTTTTGCTGCTAATCTGCATACAATGCCGCAAGACTCGCGCGACGATTAAAGTATTAGCTGCGGTAGATTAACACAAGAGGCAGAGACTGGATTAATACAAAATAAAACGAGGAGAGAGATCTCAGGCTCGGAGCGGGGAACAGGGAAAGCTGCTTTCGGCGTTCTCTTCCTAAGCGAGCGCTTCGCGTTTCGCTTTTGCTTTTGCTGGAACCTGGAGAAAGTAAAAGTTGACCATCCGAGGGGCATAAAAGGCCGAGCGAGCTGTCTCTTTCTACTCGTTTGAGCCTTTCTCTCCTCATCTCGCCACTGACACGACGCGAAATGCGACCGTTGCAATGACGAATCCATGAATCTCTTATCTTTCCTAATTGATAAGAGTCTAGCATCGCAATGCACTTGATAAATCCACTTATCGTATACTTGAGTCCATAATCTACTTAAAAATTTACATCGTCCAAAATATCCATTCAATATTTAGTGTACATGATACTTCGAGTAAAACCAATAGTATGTAGTGACATAATTTATAAACATTTGTACAGATACTTTTTCTCATCGTAGAATTGTACTTGAAGGTGTTCGATACATGGAAACGTTTTTTATGGCGAGCTGCAGAAATCCTTTTTATTTTCCAGGCTATCGAGCGAGTCCTCGCCACGGCATTAAACCTCGTTCCATGACGTATGAATACATATCAGATTTTACATTTTACAATCGAACACGTTCACGTTCGAGTATATGAGTACTTGTATGAACGTTCATTTGCGTTTACGTGTGTATGTTCATTTAATGTATATACACCTATTCAGCCCAACGGGATAGCATTAAGTCGTAACCAGCGATTCAGAGTATGCAAACGCCATTTCTTTTTTTTTTTTACGAGTCTTTTATATACCATGCCGACGAAACCTATTTTGCTGCATGCAAAGTGTAAACGAGTCCTCGTTTTAAATCGCATTCCATCTATGGAAAGAGTTGCGACAGCGAGTTAGTCGTAACTATTCTAAAACGAGCCGCGTTTAAGACCTCAAAATTGTACCGCCTGCTCGATGTTTCTGCCGCGGAATTACCCGCAAAAAGAGACCTATAAATATTGCCTGAATTTTATTGTTAATGCATTTTCAAACTTTTTCTAACCACTCCACGTGCGCTGCCTTTTCCTGCGCGCCATTGTTCGCTCTAGGCCGAGATAAAATGTACTCTACATATTTCTGCAGGTGTAGGAAAATATTTTTGTGACGACAGAATAATATTCTACATATTTCTGTAATAATAGGAAAATATTTTATACGTTTCTGAGCGGACGGAAAAATATTCTACATATTTCTGTAATAGTAGGAAAATATTTTACACGTTTCTGCGCGGACGGAAAAATATTCTACGTATTTCTGTAATAATAGGAAAATATTTTACACGTTTCTGCGCGGACAGAAAAATATTCTGCACTTATATATCTTATATATACACGTTTACATATGAATGGGAAAGTATTTTGCGAGGGTAAAGAAATATTTCCCATCATTAGAAAGATACTTATTTTTTCACACTATTTAAATACGTTCTAACGTCATGGAATCTAACTTCTGGAGTAAATCCATTCCTAAAACTGGATCCGAGAATTTTCTCCGTTCCGTGATAGTCATCTGAAGCTAAAAAAAGGTGGACTCGCGTTTTAGAGTTCACGACCGCCTCTCTTTCCTTTTTTTTCTTATTTCTTTGCGTAACAGTATTCGTGTTTCCGCTCTCTGCGTCTCAGAGCCTGATTTTCTGGTTTCTTTATGTCCTCGCCTTTTTCGAATCGACCGATCACCTCACTTTTCTCTGTTTTTTCTTATTTTTTAAGTTATAATTATCTATAGAGTCAGCTCAAATACTTAAGTCCACGTGGATTCGTGTTTTGACAATCTCGTTTCTTGTTTACCTTTATTCTAAGTGTCATGAAATTGTCTATGTCCATGTATTAGTATATCGAAACGACAAAATGTTTATTAAACATTTCTCGATAACTGGATTCACTTGGGAAGGGAAAAGCGAAATATTAATGCCCGGGAAAGAGAAAAAACGGGTTTCACGCCTGATGTGCATATTACTTTTTGTTTTATGGCAATGGAGATGACCCGTTGATCACCTGGATTATTAATGAGATCCTAATCAAGAAATGACTGCCCCCTTTATTGCTGATGAGACCTCCGGGTATCATTATGGATGTCTCCGAGTGTTGTTAAAAAGTCATTAAATGTAAGGTCCCTCGATCGTCGTTGCCGTGTCCTAAAAATTAAAGTGCATTCTCGATCCTCCTTAACGAGCCAATAAATATAAATTGCTTGTCAATTTTCGAACTTGATTATTTTACGATTCGCATGTTCCGCGTCTCGGATGGAAGATTTTATAATTCGAAAAATTCTTGTTTCGCAAATTTCGAGCGTTATCAATTTTATGGTCCAGCAATTTCGTGACTGGTGAATTTTGCGACTTGCAAAACTTTAGTTTATAAACTTCGTGGTATGTAAGATTTTCCAACTTTGAAATTTTCTAATTTATAAATTTGCAGCTTTGATAGCTCGCAAAATTCGTGATTGGTAAACTTTGTATATTATTAATTTTGCGCTTTGGAAATCGTACGGCTCGTTAATTTCGTGCTGTGTAAATTTCATTTTATAAATTTCTTAGTATGTACATCTCGTATGGATGTTTTTTAAATTTGCGTCGTAAAGTTTTGTCAATTAATTTCCTGCTCTGTAAATATTGTGGCATGCCATTTTTATTGTTTAAAAATTTTCTGAGCTGTCAATTGCACGGCTATTTTTTTTTTTTCTTCCTTTCGGTCTCCGCGTGTCGGCGATTTCTCGGGCGTGATTTCTAATGATCCATGGATCCATCGATCCGCGATCAATGTCCGAAGACGTAATTCTTCGAGATGTAAGCGGGGATTGGTTCGTGGAGTCACGGCCACGGCACAAGAGTTCGTTTTTGCCTTGTAAAAAGGCCCCTCTGATACATTATACATCGCCGAGTCTGTTATCAGAGATTCCCTCGATTATCTCATCAAAGAGCGAGAAGCGCGAGACTTGTTCGATTCCTGGACAACGTCCACGGTGCACAGATTTTCCTTAAACTTATTAGAAATAATGATTCCTTAAATGTTAAAAATGATAAGAAATCCCCAGAGGGTTCGAATGAAATTCCAGGTCGATAAGGAAAATACATATTTATTCGGCTAGACCTCAGAGTTCCGTTTCAACATGTTTTGAATATTATCAGCTGATTCAAGGCACTTAAATTGGAGCGATCAGTCCTTTCGTTAATTTCTATCTTTAATCTCAGGTAAAATTTCCACACGGGGAAACATGATATGCCCTGCTAGGAAGTCTTCCATCGTCCTGAGAGATCAAATGTGCCCATAATTATGAAAGTGGTCTAAGTCATATATTTTTTGTTTCGAAATTACATCGAATTAATTTCGTTTGAAATAATGTGGCGTGAAATAACTGATAAACTCACTTTTTTTTTTTTCAATTTTGACTTAGACCACTTTCATCATTATGGGCACAAATGTGATCTCTAATGGGAACATCCCCGGAACAACGGAACATCCCCAAGGATTCAACAAGTAGGAGATCGAGCATGGTGTCCATGATATGCCCTGCCAGGAAGTCTTCCATCGTCCTGAGAGATCACTTTAGAGAGCGTTTTCTCAGCGATTCTCGAGGGTATCCTAACGACACTGCCAATAGGATAAGAAGGCAAAGCCTGGAGTATCCTCGGAGGATTCTTCCTGGGGATGGCATGTCCAGATCGTGGATCTTCTTGCCAGTCGTTCCCGCCAGTCCCATTAACTCCATTAACGCCGTTGACTCCATTAATGGAAAAATTGTTCTGCAGGCGACTGCTGGATCTCAGCACGACATCTCCTATCAGTGGCACGGTGGTCTGCAGATTCAGGGCGTTGAAATGGGAGCTGACACCAGGATTCGCCATCCCGTCGTCCGAGCCTCCGGACTTGCTCAGCCTCGTGTTCTCTGGAAAGGAGAAAAGATCAGGTGGATCAGAAGGAAGAGCGAATTACCAGGAGAAAGATGAACGGTCGACGACTCTCGGCTCTCTGCGTGCATGGATAGCATTGACACACTTCCAAGAGAGGAGCCGTCCTCCGATTTCCTGTCCAAGAGTTCCTCCAACACTTAGCCAAGAGAGCTGGGTAGAAAGCATCGACTCCGCTCTCTCGGATTCTGCTAACCGGTGGCCTTCCTCGAGATATTACGATTAAAGTATCGGCGAGGTGCGTCTTTTCGATTGGACCATTCGGAACAATTGCAATTGCAACCCCTTTGCACTCGAGGCCCTTTTCGGACAAATCAGCAATTCGAGCCGATACTTGCTGGATTTCATTCAGCTAATTTAAAATCATTTCACATACAAATTAACGTATACAACTATTATATCTTAATATTTTATATATCCTTACATGTGAAAGAAAAAAAATTGTTAAATATTGCACTGGAGGACTTTTTCGCCTGGACGATCCTTCAAACGATACTTGGCGAACTAGAGGTCGAAGCAGCTGTATGCGAGAAAGATCGATTTTTTTTTAAAGAGCTTTTTTTAAAGAGTTACAAAGATAAGGAAATTTCTTTTTTAACAAAGACATCACATTGAGCCGACCAAAATAAACCCAGAGTTAATATTCCTCGTGCAATTGAATCGACAAACAGTAGCAGAGGAGCAATGTTTATCTGCACACAATTTAAACCTGAAAAAAAATGTCCGAGGAACAATATTTACCTGCGCGCGCAGGTTCGGCGCATTTGAAATGCGCGCCACGACGTGTCCCGACTTAATAAGGCTCTTAAAAAGCCACTTCAGAGGCGACATGCTATTTGTTTAAGACAAATATGAAATTTTAAGCTGCTAAATAACATTAAAGAGCCATTTTCGAGTTCAGGAATAATGGGACGATCCGAGGGAATGAATGTCCCTCGCGCGGCGTCCATCTTCAAAGAGCGTCGTAAAGGAGTTTTTATTTGACTATGTAAGCCTATTTAGCATACAAAGAGAAAAACAAGACAGATCGCATGCATTACGTCCTGAGGATGGAATCTTTTCTGATGACTGAATAAGCCACTCGAAGAGAGGAAAGAAATTTCCTCGAGCCAGAGAAACATTCCTTAGAGCAGTCCCAAAGGGATATTTCGTTAATTCGAAGAATAATTGTTACACGCCAAACAATGGACATTATTGCCGCAAAATCCCGGCTTATCCCTTCAGGATCATTCATATCATGAGGTAAAAATCAGACCTGGTCCTCACCAAGAGTCTTAGCAGCCCTGACGTGCGCCAGGAGGGCGTCGATCCTGCTCCTCCTGAAGTATGTTCCAGCAATGTCCTTCAGGTTCTCCTCTTTCCGGGCTTCCCCAGGACTCTCGTCCTGCGAGCGAGCAGAGTCGTTATTGTTGTGGTCAGCCTTTGGTCCAGCGGAAGTGAAGACGTCCCTGCCGAGAGCCGGTGGGAGAGGAATATGAGGAGTGACGTCGGGAAGCCTCCACCTGCCCAGCTCGTCGCACCAGGTAGCAGCAGCCCTGACTGCAGGAACATCTCTGAAAGGACACCCTGGTCTAAGATGAGGAACCATCGCCTCACAGATCTGCGTAGCCAAAAGCTCCCTCCTCAGCAAGTCTCTTCTCTCCGCGTCCCAGGAAGCCTGCAAGTCCGCAGCTTCCACTTCGAGCTGCTTTGCTCTCCTGGCCATCCTCTTCAGGGCCTCCTCCGTGGACTTTAGCTGCCCGTAGACCTCGAAGGCGCCTCCGTCTTCGTCTGCGGCTTGAAGAGCCCCTGCAAGGACTTCCAATCTCTTCCTGCGACGTTCTCTCCGTTTCTTCGCCTCTTCGTCTCCTCTGGCCTCTCCACCTATCGTCAGTCTTTCCAGCCTCTTCAGGACCTCCTGCCTGGCCGCCTCTCGTTTCCTTCGCCTCTTGTCCCCCTTTTCTGGGTCCTGGTCCTGGTCTCGATGGAGTTTTAACTCCTGAGATACCCTTGCTACCTCTTCTTCAGGTACGATGCTGCCAGCGGCCTCGTGTCTGCGGAGTGAGACAATTCTTGGAGAAATTAAATGGAAGATAGTGACATTGAAAGTTACCGTATTCCAGGGCGCGTTAATTTGCCGAGAATTCTCTGTGAATTTATTAACAATTTACCGTGAATTTATAAGTCGTTATTTATTTCTCAATTAAGAGAACTTATCATGGACCCGTGTTTGGCAAGATGAAAGTACGTTCCGTTTTGTAGAGCCTGTAATTTTCTTTAAGATTTTTTCGGGGCTTTAGTATACTCTAACGTGCCTGCTCCTCAGAAGTCGCAGCTCTTCCTGCAGCCTCTGGGCGGAGAGATTGGAGTCTTCGCACTCCTTCTTCAGCTTCTCCACCTCTTCTCTGTACCCTATCTCTTCGTCTTCCTCCCTAGTCGTGGATAAAAAGGTCCTGGGGTTGTCGCTTCCCTCCAGCAGCTTCCTCAGCCGCTGCAACTCCAGCTGGTACTGCCTCAAAAGTGCGTCCTTCGGGTCCTCGTTCACGATGGGCTTGTTCTTGATGCACCTTGCTCTGGCAGCGTACCTGAGAGTGCTGAGAGTCTCATCAGCATCCGCATCGCTGGGACTCACGCAGGCTATCATCAGGGTCCTCGCATTTCCCCCCAGGCTGTCCCTCAGCAGCCTCGTCAGCTTACTGTCCCTGAAAGGGTCGAGCGGATGTAAAATGTTAAAAGTATTCATTATAAACATATCCATAACATTTATATGCACTTAAGGTAGGTCAGGTCGTAGGAAAATTCCGCACTAGGTGTCTTGACATTGCACTTGGATGTACTCTCATTATACATTTTTTTTCCCTTTTTTAATATCAATCTAACGCCACTTTCGCATCCCCTTAAAAGTACATCCTTCCTGGGAAATAGAAATGGAATAGAGAGAACGTCCTTAGCGGGATATGTCGACTCGATAAGGAGTTAATCAAGGACATTTACTCGCGATAAGTAATATCCATCCATGCCTACCTGTAAGGCACGTGTCTGCCGTTCCCAGCCGCCAGGGCGCTTATCACGTTTCCCAGGGCGGAGAGGCTGAGGTTGATACTAGCAGCCTCCTTAAGGCGATCACCTGTGGCACCTGTCCTCGCCTGACGTTCCGACCCGGCCAGGTCGACCAGGTGAAGCCTCCCCCTGCGCACGGCGCTTCCTCTTTTATCATCCTCGTTAATTGCTATCGCCTCTAGAGATAACGTCAGGACGGCGTGACTCCTGGAGCTTGCGGCGTTCATCTTCGTCGCTGCCAAAGCTCTTCTTCTGTCCCCGCGTTCTACAAAGAGCGCGCATTCCGCGGCGTTTTTCACGGTGACCTGGAAATAAAACACGTCGGATAAAGAATTAATTAAGTTACAGCGAATTGATAAAGAAATTATACAACTGGCATTGTACATTGTTTGTTGTACCCCGAGATTATTTATTTATTGGCTGACTCTTTTTGGCTCACCTCTCTCAGACCCCCCGCGACGTAGGTACCCCTGGTGGCGTCTTCCTTTAGCTGCAGCAGACCTTCCGCCTCGGAGTCCTGGAGAAGATCTCGCAGCTTCTCGTTGTAGATCTCCAGGTAGCTCAAAAGCGCCAGGTACCTCGTCTCCGTGCTCGACGTCGAGGTCGCCTCGAAGAGGTGCTCCAGGCTCCTCTCTACGAAGCCCCTCATCGTGAAGGATTTCCCGCATCCGGTTTGTCCGTATGCAAATACCGTCCCGTTGTACCCGTCCAGGACTGCCTCCACGATGACCGAGCCCACGTCCTCGTACAAAGATTCCGTCGTGGACTCGGAGCCAAAAGCTGCGTCGAACTGGAAGACCTTCCCCGAAGTACCTGGTGAAGTGCTCTCCAGGGTGCAGCTCTTCGAGGAAGGGTCGATCGTCACGACGTTCTGAAGGCATTTTCAGTTTTTTAGTATCTATGACTAAGCGACTAAAAAATGTTATCCTTGGGTTAGATTTTTTTAATATAATAACTTTGAAAGGGTTAGGATACCCCTTAAGGTGATATGAATGTGCCGTCAAGGAGGTCTCCTTTATGAAACCTTCAAACTTTACAACGTGAATATGAAGGCTATAGGGAAGGTCCCATGAAATTTCAATTTATATTCAAATTTCATTATGAACATTTGGCAAATCTTTCTACCAAAAATGAAATTTCATGGGTGTCGGGACCTTCCTTACAGCCTCGATATTCACGTTGTAAATTTTCAAACGATTCGGTACCCCCAATCCGGAGAAAAGCTTCATAAAGGAGACTTTAAGGCGATACGAAAGTGGCGTCCGTAGAGGAAATCGCTCGTGAAACATTTCTTCTAACTGGGTACACCGAATCGTATCAAACTTTACACCGTGAATGCGAAGGCCATAAGGAAGGTCTCGACACCCATGAAAGAGTAATTTTTGTTTAATTTGTTTATGAACATTTTCCGATTTCTTTACCAGAAATCAAACTCCATGGGCGTCGGTACCTTCCTTACAGCCTCCATAACCACATAGTAAGCTTTAAAACGATTTAGTATCCTCATTTCGAAAAAAGAAAAATGTTATATATATGTTTACGTTCCATATATATGGAATTACCCTTTCATGTCACCTTAAGCCTGTGCAGATCGGTCTGCACAGATTTTCTGTAACGATTCATCGCATCGCGTGTATCGACCACTTCTAGCGGAAATTGCAGATCCATTTCCAGATTTCGTCTCTCCATCTATTGACTATTCATTCCACCTGACCAGGAGCTCAGGTACTCCACCACACCTGTCCTGGTGGGTGTATCGACGAGCTGGAATATGTGCCGAATCGATACACCGGACACACGGCATTGTGGAGACGCTTTTCATGCATACACGTCCCCAAGCGGCGCCAATGCATTAACTAACAATAAATCTCCATCGCACTCGAAATCCGGGATTTATCCGGTGTAAACCCAGTAAATCCGAATCTAAGTGTCGATCGAGACACATAAGATCGAATCAAAGTATTTATTAAAGCTACGGAGATGTGGTTATTATTTCGCCGCACATTCAAAGAATTAAGGTGACATGAAAGGGTCATTATATGTATATAATTTTATACATATATAAAACGTCAAAGTATTTATAAAACTTTTCTCCATAACGGATGCACCGAATCGTTGGAAACTGCACCACGTGATTATGGAGGAAAAGGTGCTCATGAAATTTCATTTTTAATTAAATTCCTTTTTTTTTATTTATCCCAGACTAGAATCAAGAATTGACTTTTCTTCTAAATTAAATTTTGCGCCACGTTTTTCCTTAGGGCCTTCATAATCACGCGTGGGAGTTTCAAATGGTACAGTGCACCCAGTTTAGAAAAAAGTTTTATCAATATTTTGACATGTATATCACACTCTCGTATCACCTTAACTCTATGCCTAATCTTTCTCTTCGAGTCCACGTGTTTCGATTACTCTACGTGACGCGCGAAACGTACGTCTCTTCGAGGTCTCGAATCTCGATCGACACGTATCGCAGGTCTCGATAGCGCAAAAAAGTCGGCAAGAAAGACACCGTGAGGTGCAACCACCGGTCGCTACAGGTGGCAGGCTACCTGTGTTTTGTTCCCCAGTCGCTAGGCTACATGCGCTCGATAAGGATGACCATTATTTCTTTTTTTTCTATTCCGCTCCTTTTTTTCCCCACTTGCCATTTAGCTCCCTTGCACGTGGGCGGCTCGGAAATAGTCGAAAAAGTTCCCCGTTGACAATCGTGAGAACCCCTGGAGGACGATTCTGCCCTGGTTTATCCCGACCACTTGGTTAGCGTACTAAACGCGTAGTTTTATTAAACTATCAGTGTAAACGATAGTGTATCAAGGCGGTACGATACATCATTTTTACAGTGTACCGTCTGAAGGGGCACGCGAACGTTTACACTGTCTACGTCTCCACCGCATTCCCAAATCCGGAATTTATCGGGTCTGGATTTAGTAAATCGGGTGGCTTCGCCTCCATCATACTCGAAATTTCAGATTTGTCGGGTCCGGATTTAGTAAATCGCATTTCTGCGTCTCCATCATACTCGAAATTTCAGATTTATCTGGTCCGGATTTAGTAAATCGGAATTTAAGTGTCGATCGAGATGCTCATAATCGAAGATGCGTATTTATTAATGGGATTTACTGGATCCGGGCCCGATATATCCCGTAGATCGATTACGGATAGAAATGTATACACCAGGGCAAGTAGTTCGGAACGGAGAGAAAGCATTGTTTCCTTGCACCTTTGCAATCTGGCCAATTTATACCGTGTCTAATTCAAGGAGCCGAGGCGAAAGGAAACGGCCCGCCCAGAAAAATTTCACGTACATGTCAAGCAAATGACGTTGCACCGCGAATTTCATTCTATCTACTGTCAATTCCTTAAACATGTCAAAAATAATAGCTCGTTGCACCCAGTTTGGAGAAAAAAATTATAAATATTTTGACATCTCGTTATGTTCATATCACAGTTTCATATCACCTCCGTGCGAGAGACACGTTTCTCGCCTTGTACTTTTCCTATGTTCGCGAGTCAATTAATTCCGAATGGGGAATTAAATCGGAGCGAGAAACGGGGAGAAAATCCTCGGTCTGATATTAATGGCATTAACTCCACGCATAAGCAGCGCGTGCATAATTACCAGTGGTTCAAAACGGTTTGCAGACTCGAACCGGTTCGCCGAGCCGGTTTACCGGAAGGGTTACACCAACTGGTACAAGTACATACGCAAGTGAGCAAGAAACGCTTCTGAGCGATCCAGTGACCTAGATCTACCGATAAACGGAGACAGATGAGCCGATCGATCGGTGCACGGATATCTAGGTCCTGCTAAATAAATCCTTGAATTTTCAAAATTCAAGAAATAATTATACAGGACATTTTTAAATGTAATAGACTAAGCTGTTCAATAAAAAATTCAATGATAAGCGGGAAGAGAAATTGATCGATCGATTGATATACCGATAAACAGAGACTGATAATGCGTGGATATCTAGATCCCGGTAAATAAATTCTTGAATTTTCAAAATTCAAGAAATAATTATACAGGACATTTTTAAATATAATAGACTAAGCTGTTCGATCAAAAATTCAATGATAAGCGGGAAGAGAAATTGATCGATCGATTGATATACCGATAAACAGAGACTGATAATGCACGGATATCTAGGTCCCGCTAAATAAATCATTGGATTTTCAAAATTCAAGAAATAATTATACAGGACATTTTTAAATATAATAGACTAAGCTGTTCAATAAAAAATTCAATGATAAGCGAGAAGAGAAATTAATCGATCGATTGATATACCGATAAACAGAGACTGATAATGCACGGATATCTAGGTCCTGCTAAATAAATTCTTGAATTTTCAAAATTCAAGAAATAATTATACAGGACATTTTTAAATATAATAGACTAACTGTTCGATCAAAAATTCAATTATAAGCGGGAAGAGAAATTGATCGATCGATTGATATACCGATAAACAGAGACTGATAATGCACGGATATCTAGGTCCCGGTAAATAAATTCTTTAATTTTCAAAATTCAAGAAATAATTATACAGGACATTTTTAAATATAATAGACTAAGCTGTTCGATCAAAAATTCAATGATAAGCGGGAAGAGAAATTGATCGATCGATTGATATACCGATAAACAGAGACTGATAATGCACGGATATCTAGGTCCCGCTAAATAAATCATTGGATTTTCAAAATTCAAGAAATAATTATACAGGACATTTTTAAATATAATAGACTAAGCTGCTCAATCAAATTTCAATGATAAGCGGGAAGAGAAATTGATCGATCTATTGATATACCGATAAACAGAGACTGATAATGCACGGATATCTAGGGCTCGCTAAATAAATTCTTGGATTTTCAAAATTCAAGAAATAATTATACAGGACATTTTTAAATATGATATATTTAGCTGCTCGATCAAAAATTCAATGATAAGCGGGAAGAGAAATTGATCGATCGATTGATAATACCGATAAACAGAGACTGATAATGCACGGATATCTAGGTCCCACTAAATAAATCCTTGAATTTTCAAAATTCAAGAAATAATTATACAGGACATTTTTAAATCCATCGTTTGGTCGCCTGATTAACGATTTAAAGATAAAAGAGAAATCGGTGAAGAAAAAGAAAAAAAAAAGAAATTCACACGCACCCTGCACTCCTGCTGCAACTCTCGCTGGGCCATCGGCCTGCATCTCACTGCAACTTTGACCGACTCGCTCATCTGCAAGCAGAAAATCAAAGAGAGAAATTATTAACGGAAGTCAAGTAGAATAATAGGAGCTCGTGACGTGGAAAACGTTATCGACCTCGTAAGGGATGAACACGCGACGTTACTCGCACGTTGCTTCAAGTCCGAGCCCCGGTACTTCGTAAACATGTCAAAAACAATTGCTTTGATGCATCCAGTTTGGAGAAAAAATTTTTTAAACACTTTTACGCTTTGTACATATAGAATGACATTATCACCTTAACACTTTGGCTACTAAGAGCGCCTAAAGGCGCCCGACGTTTGGTCCAATATTGCCTGCCCGGTCAGACAAATTTCGCCCATACGTCGAAATGGCTCCGCGTTCAAAGGGTTAAATCTGTACAGATCGGTTTTCACAGACTTATCGCGGCGATTCGTCCTCACTTTCTTAGCCATGCCTTAACATTTTATTTCGAATACCCGAAAACAATCGCGACCTTTCCAACTTAGACTTTGCGCAGTCCATTATCGCCGTGAATTATTTATCCCAAGCCGTTCCCTATCGAGCGGCAACAACGAACGCTAAATGAGGAATCGGCTTACGTATTATTACATAATTATTCGCGGAAAGGTTTCCATCGAAACTCATTCCGAGAGATTTTCCCAGTTATTGCACGCTCTTCTTTTTTGCCGAGAAGCCGAAGAGATCCGCAGAACTCGGCGTGAAAAGTTTCCTGGCAATGACAATGTACGTCAAGAGATTGAGTTGAACGACGGATTTCAACGAGTTGACGTCTTATATACGTACATCAATTTTTTTATATTAAATCTATTATTTCGCGATTTAATAAAAAATGTCACGACAAACAGGAAGGTGTGCGAATCATTAGAATTGAGGTGATATGAAAGAGTGAGCCATTAAACAGTCATTTTATAATAAATTTCATTAATCGAGAAACAAATAGTGTCACTGAACCAAAGAAATATCTCTCTCCAAATAATACCAAGGAAATATTTTGTTAATTCAAAGAATAATTACCAGGCTCAAATAACCTGGAATTAATTGAGCGCTACATTTCCTCGGAATTATGAATACTTATTTGAGTTTATTTAAATCAATTAATTATTCTTTCAATTAAGCAAATATTTCTTAGGTTTAATGAATTTTCCTTCTCAGTGTACGAGTTCGGTAACTCCTATTCTAATTCAGTACGCGAACCGGAATTGCGATATTTCTTGGCATTACATGAGATCGCAAACACGCGAGCAATTACCCTCGTAAAGAGAGCAGAAAGCGAATTAATTGGCAATTCACCGAGGATCGTATGTGCACATTGTAACAGGTGAAATTCGCCATTGCGCATTTGCCACGATTATTCCCTCTGTTTCTATTTTTTTTTTCTCTCACTAAAGGTGCGTGCCGACTCTTTACGTGTTCGTCACTCGACCAGCCGAAATAACAGGCCTGTCTTTCAGATAGAGACGATAAGCGAGTTTTACGATTCCAAGGGAAGGTCGACCTTGAATTCTCGATATCAATGACGTAGCAATTCTTTAACCGATGCAGTAATACAATTAATCCCGTCAATGCCGGCAACGAGGCTGCCGTACATTCAATTACACTTTTACAATTACAAGGCTACTTTTACAATTCCACCTTAATGCAAGAAATGCCCGTGTGTCTCTAATCTAAAATACAAGCGATGAGATCAGAGGCAATTAAGTTATAAACTAATTAAACTAGAAGTTTCTTTTTTCTGTCTCATTTCTAAAGACTAAAAATTTCCAAGTATAATTTCGGTCGACATCGGATCCCCGCTTTATGAACATCAAGCGGATTTAATTCCCCGATTAATATCTACCATCAACTAATCCCTCGTACACAAATAAATTTCTCTCTCAACGCTCTCAACGACTGTAAAAATTTCCACGTATAATTCCTCGCCTTATGTACATTCCATCAGGCGGAATTAATTCCCCGATTGATATCTATCACCATGGACTTGTGTTAATCGCCCACGTAGTCGAATTCGTCAGCGACCTTGTCGTTTAAATGTCGCGATAAAAAGCTCGTCGACGAAGAGGCCCGACCTTGAACCTCATCGCAAGGTATTGAACCTAGTACGCGGGTGATAGATCCATTCCCAGAAGGTGGTAGTTCTTTCCAAGGTGTCGGCCCTCCGTGAAAGCTCTAGGTGATAGTGGATGTACATGTGTACAGGTGCATAGGTGTGTGGTGACGTGGATGTACATGTATACAGGTGCACAGGTGTGTGGCCCTCTCACGCGACGATAAAACCCTGGTTCACTTCTGCCTCTAAGCTCCCTATCGGGGTGAAGTCCGATGCAAGGGGTAGATAGGAAAGTGACCTCGTGACCAAGTGCTGTCCGCAGTTTGACCCAGTCCCTAGGAAGTCTTAAACGCGGCCACCCACAAAGAGGAAAATAAAATCACGTTGCGACACGATTCTGGGAACTGGAATAGAAAATAAATGAGGATTTGAAGGGCAACTTAAAATCAAAGATTAATAAAACAAGATCTTACCGAGGACTAAAGATTTTCATGCCTCATCTTATACACGTGGTCCTGTTTTTGGAGCGGATCAAATTTTGGTATAAATGCCGGAAGTCATTCTGGGGACTAGATACACAGAAAAGGAATATAATGGAATATAAAGGGCAAGATTTAAGGAGCTGGAATAAAAGATAAATGGGAATTTAAAGTTGAGATTTCGAGAATGACCTCACCCCACATCTCACCAGGTATCACGTGTACTCTCGCTTTCCGCCATTTTGTTTTTCACCCTTTCGAATGTTGTAAATTCGTTAATTCAGAGAAATGAGGTTAAAGTTTTACGGAATCGGGCTTGTCTGAGTTGAATGCGTTCGTTCTACTTACTTTAATAAGGGGAGATTCTTCATAGGACGTAAGGGGTGCTTGATTTCAAAATTTAAACCAACTCGAACTTCACAATCACGCGATTTTTTACCCGTCGAAGCGCAAATGAACAACAAACGCGTATAGGTCCTTCTCGAAGGAGTTCCGAGGAACTTCTGCCCTTCGCAGAGGATCACGAGACTGCAAAACATGCCACGCTAAACGGCCTATTAACTTCCTGCGCTTGCGTTCGTTCGAAAAAGCTCCGACGCGCGCGCGTCCTTGCGGCGTCGCCATCTTTAAAATTTGTATCGGGGGTGGAGGGCTACTTTAAATTCGATTTATATTTTTCACGCCTAAGCCTAGCTGGCTTACTATGTAATTTCACATTCTAAATACTATTCACGTATTTCTACAATGTTTAGTTAAGAGTACTAGTGTTTTCAATTTATTATCGCGGATTATTAAATCAGGTTCGAGCCGAAATTTTTAAATTTCGAGCGGGGCTTGTTTGGTGATTGTGGCGCCATCTGTGTAGGCGCGCTGGAAACTGCTACCGAGATGACGTAGCTCACTTCTTCATTCGGAGTTTATTATCTTCCTGGTGAACAGCTGACTCTGCTCCACTCACAAACTCGTTTGGTTTCGAAACATTCGAAAGGTTTTCAATTTTAGACTTCATTCGCCGGTAGTTTGACAGAAAATGACGAAGATCGAGTGGTCTTTGAGTAAAGCGCCAAGTGCTTTGAGGTTAGCTTTAATAAAACTCTCGAATTTTTTAAACTTCGTCAGAACGCTGACGACTTTCATTCATATTACAGGTTAAAAGTCAAGCGCAGATGGCTTCGCTTTCGAATCACATTTAAGTCCCTTTTCTACAATCATTTCCTGAACTGGAATTATGTATGCGATGTATTAATGGAGCCAATATTTTGGTTCGTAGAAAACTTCACCGCCTGCCTAGGTCCTGTAAGTAACATAATGAACAATGAAAGCGCATCTTTTAAATTGACATGTTATAATTCCATGCATAGGTGTTCGTCGTAGCAGTGACATTACTCACTGCATGCATCGTGTTCATTGCGTATTGGATAGGGCTTCCATATTGGTGGAATAAAAGCCCGACTATGACTGTGATATTACTAATCGTTGGAAACTGGCTACTGATGAACGTTTGTTTTCATTATTATATGGGTGTAAAAGTCCCCGCAGGGTATCCACCCCAAGGAGGTCTTATTCCAGAGGCTGTGAGTATTTGTAAGAAGTGTATCAAACCAAAACCACCGAGGACGCATCATTGCTCCGTTTGTGATAAGTGTGTGCTTAAAATGGATCATCATTGTCGTATCCTTAATTACGATTGAGATTGGAGGGAGATCACATTTTTACCAACATTTTGATTATAATTCCTTAATGGCATCGAACAGCATGGTTAAACAACTGCGTAGGTCATAATAATCATAGATATTTCTTCCAATATATGGTATTCACTGTCGTTGGGATTTTATTCATATTGATATTCGGTATAGAAATAGCATATCAGGAATACTTTGTGGGACCGGATCCGGAACCGGATGGACATCCTGTACGCATCAACGATTCAATCATAATACCAGTGGTGAGTAGAAACGTTCCGAGTCAAATTGATGTTTCGATAAACTTTCATACTCGAAGTTTAAGTGTAATATTACTGTGGTATCAGACAGAGTCTTTGGCTCACTTGAGTCAAGCAGAATTGGACGAAATAACCAAACAAATGGCAGATAGTCGAGAGAAAGAATGGAGACGCAGAGCCATAGTGTTCGCAGCGTTGATATGTGTGGCGACCCTCGCTGCACTTGGAGCATTATCCTTCTGGCACGCTGGACTAATATCGAGAGGAGAAACAAGCATAGAGGCTCGCATTAACAGCTCCGAGACCGATAAGTACAAAGTTCTTGGAAAAACATATAAAAATCCCTACGACTTTGGTACTAAAGAGAACTGGAGGTTATTCCTAGGCCTGGATCACAAGTAATTGAACAGTTTTTATTCCTGGAGAGTACAGAACTTATATAATATAATTGTTCTCGTTATTTCAGAACCTGGTGGCAGATTTTATTTCCATCGCCCCATGGCCCCAAGGGCGATGGTTTGACGTGGATTACTGTTAGAGACTACAAAACCTCCTGACTAATCGGATTTCGCATTGACTAAATGCAAAATTCACTTACAAGCATGCATTTACTGGTCAAATGTACAAAGAAAGTTTTAGTCTAGTCAGGCTGCAAATTTTTGCACCCCAACTAGATCATCCTGTGAACGTCGTTTGTATTTAAATTTTATTCGCTGATGCTGAATTCTGAATATTTGCCATGCAAATATGTAAAATACTGATACGATAAACTCTATCGATGTGCACATATTTTTTACTCGGTCTTGCCTTACGGAACTTGAATGTGCTTAGAATCATTACTGTTGCAAATTACAAAAGACGCATTTGTCTATCATCTCTTAAATGACAGACATTTATTAGAATTCAGATTCTACGAAATTGTCAAGTCTCGAGATCTACATCGCATCCCGGTGAAGAAACTACACGAGTACCCTGACTGTTTAAACCAGTCTGTAATTTTAACCTCATCGCTTGTCCGCAGTTTAGTCCTAAGATTTGTGTGGAATAAACATTTTTTTACATTTTCAATCGAAACCGGCAATTTCTCGTAGATTCGTTTACTTTTAGTTCCATTTATATCACCTCGTGAGAGCACTTTCGAATTGCCGCGCGTCATGTGGAAAATCCAAGATGGCGGGAGGTATCGTCTCTCTCGCACTCCCACCTCGGCCGATAGTTCTGTCCTCGTCATTCACCCCCGAGATTCGGCGCTTTACGTACGCAAGTTAAAACAAATCCAAACAAATCGAAACACGCACGGGATGAGCTTTTTGTCGAGAACATTGAAAACCAGGTCAAGGTTAGGGCCAGTCGTGAAATTTGGCGGAGATGGCGGTGCTCGGAAGAGTGACATAATATAAATTACGTGGCAGGTTACTTTAGAAGAATGAGGCAGCCAAGCGTCGGCATGTCGATACCCAATGACGCGTCATACCCCGTCGAGGGATCGCCCGGGACTCGGGAAAAATGACTGGTCCCCTGGACGGGATTGCATAACCTCAAAAATTATTTTGACAGCTCTGGCCAAAGGCATCCTCGAATTTACACCTGAGACCCGATCGCGCAGGTATGGCGCCGGATATATTGAAAAGCAGTTTGGAGAACGCCTCATTCAACGTTCTCTTTCAGGTATTACAGACCGATATTTATATTTCAAGATAAATTAGTACATCGAGCTCCAGCATACCTAGAAAATTTATGTTCATCAGCGATTTTGCCTGATCTTGAAATAAAATGTCTTCCAGATTCTTAGAATATCTTATATTCAAGTTTTGTAGCAAGCGTCGGAGAGTTTTCAGGATTTTTAATCGATTCATTTTGAATAATATTTCGTCAAGGGATAAGACATGATCGATGGATGCATTTCAAAGTTTTTAATGAACTGTGAAGTGGTTTTTTTATTTTTGGATGGATAATCGACATGTGGTTGTTTTTTCAGGTACTATGTCGCTGCGTGACGTCGATCCTCAATGCCTTCGTCGTTCGACACGTTGGCCATGCTGTGCTTGGTGTGATGAACGTTCGGCTCCTTCTTTTGGAGTCGATGATATTGTTTCTTTCGCGGGAGCCGTTTATGAAAGCTTGCTTGACTAACACTGTCGAGCATAACTGGGCACAAGTGGTTAACTTACTATGGGTGACGTTAGTCCTCTGTCGGTGCAACATTATGGATAAATTACAATGATTTTAAAAGGTAGTCATGGTTATGTTTTCCAGGGTGCCGATATGCTTCGTCATGTCTTCTTTGTTTGGTTACATCTGGCTGTATGTCCTAACAACTGCGGAGACATTACCCCCGTATTATACATTCGCCGTGTGTGCAGTTGCAGTGTCGTGTATTATCGAACTGTCTTCATTGGTCATTCAATTAGTAGCAAGTGCATTTTTATTCGTTCGGCTCAAAGTAAGTCTTCCTAGATTTTCTTTCGACAAATATGCCTTTAAAACACCAGTGATTTCACTATCCAATTTCAGATAATCCTGGATACAATTATGATTGCTCTTCGTACTCTGACATTCGTTCCAATGATTTTATATCAACCTGAAAACGCTCTCCTTGCTTTTGGCATCGCCCAACTTGTAGCTGCTGTCTTTTACACTGCTAGTCATTACGCTTACTTCCACTATTACATTAAAAAGAATATTAAATCCAAACCGAAGAGAAAGATGTCACTTAGGGGCAACAACGATGAGATAGTTGTGAAAGAATTTCCTTTTACTTCGGTGAAGGACTTTTTACCTGGTCAGCTGGAAAATTATGTGAGTACTTGCGAAGTATTTAACTAATATATCAAGTTCTACAAATTTATTTGTTTATAGGGTTCCTGTTTAGATAGAAAATTAACCATCCTTACATGGAGCTTTTTCAAACAAGGTTTCCTAAAGCAGGTATTAACCGAAGGGGAACGATTGATTATGACCATCGTGCCAGTTTTGACGTTCGCAGAGCAGGTGCCTTATAATTCATGCTACCGATAATGAATTAATATATTTCTATTCGCACCTCCTTTTTACTAATCCATCCATTTTATCGCAGGGAACATACGAAGTTGTAAACAACTTAGGCTCTTTAGCTGCTAGATTCATTTTCCGTCCAATCGAAGATAGTGGGTATTTTTACTTTACCCAAATGGTGAAACGTGACAAACCCTTGTCAGATCAAAATCCAGTAAGCATTATTAAATTAACAATTGCAATGACAATTGATATTTTACTATAAATAATAACGTTCTATTTTTCAGTTGATTATCCAAGAAAGTGTCAAAGTTTTGACATATTTATGCTCGACCGTGATGTCTATTGGCTTGGTCGGTCTAGTCTTCGGGCAGTCATATTCCTCCGTACTTCTGTGGCTGTATGGCGGCGAGAAATTAATTTCCTACCTACCAGTTCTACTGTTGAGAACTCATTGCCTTGCAATTTTATTAATGGGCATTAATGGCGTGACGGAGTGCTACACCAATGCCACTGCGGACAGTGCAACGATCAATAAGAACAATCTGATCATGATCTACGAATCAATTACGTTCCTCGTTTCGTCATACATCTTCGCTACCTGGTTCGGTCCTGTAGGATTCATTCTTGGCAACTGCATAAATATGAGCTTGAGGATCTTACACTCCTGCATGTTCATCACTAAAAGACACTTAGAAATTAATTGTCATCCACTTCGAGGACTCATACCGAAGCCAGTATTCAGCGGATCTCTGATTGCTGCGGCGATTGTTACTAAATTGTCACATGTAATCACTTTTTATATCACTGTTATTAAGACAGTCAATGTATGGTGGGCTGTCACTATGGTTTGTTATAACATGGCATTATTTTTCAGGATAACTTCTTTCCCGAGGACAAACGTTTACATGTATTTGTCGGAGTGGTAATGCTAATCGTCGTACTTATTACTTGGCTTTACGAGAACCAGGATCTCGTGAAGCTCGGTATAAAGGAATGGTACAACTGGCGCAACACCCGGAGAAAAGGAGATTGACCTTGAGAGTCATTATATTCCACATTATTTATTAACTTAAATGATTATCCAGACACACATTGCAATTTACACGCTCTTTAGGGCACATATAAAATGTTAATAATTATACCATTATTTTGTATAACCTGACAGTATTGTTAAACGTTTATCTTCCAATGAACGATTGGTTATTTGAGTTATTTAATAGAGTTTCAATCGTTAGTTTAAAAAGAACATTCAGGCTATCTCAAATCGTTACTTCCTTATATATTGCCCCGACAACTCGACCCTGGCGATGAATCAAGCATTCTCTGAAAGAATGTATCGAGTTTTTATTCTTTCTCTTCTCTTCGCATTTAGTAAATGTAATGAAAGTAAACATAACGTACCGACTGTCGTTTTGAAGGGAAATAACAGGTGCTTGCGATCCTGGCTCTAGTTTCGCAGCCTGGTCGGCAATAGCAGCGATCCGACCTGCGCTATCCCCCGATGCTTTTCCTTTGACTAAAGAATTATCGTAAGATATCTAAATGCTAGAATTACGTTAAGACCTACGTTTTCTATCTTGGGTTAATTTCAGATCCATAGATTTAAACTATTGATACGATTTCTATATGTTAATTCGTTTAGCATATCTTACGATGTTTAGATCCTTACCTCCTAAACAAAGTCCGGATTGGTCCGCCAGAATGCAGCCAATAACATTCCCGGCGTTATTTCTAAACAAGAAAGCCACTGTCAAATTCTGGACGACATAACCTAAAAGAGAAGTTTTCAAACTTACACGTCTTCCATAGACTTCTCTAAACTGCTCTCCATTGCTCAGGTATTTATTCGAATTTTGAAAAACTGCGACCCTCCGATATTCCGAAACAAGTTGACCTTTTCACTTGGAATGACAATCGTCCATGCATTAAATAAACTCGAAAATACTGAAGTACGCACAGTACAGTTGCATCTGCGCGCATGCAAACTACTTCATTTCCCCCATTTAAAATTGTCGAGATAACCCCAGTTTTAACCTACGGTTTAACCTAACCGTTAAAAATCAAACTTCGGTTAACTTGGGTTGTGAAACCGGGCCTTATGGGAGACATCCCCTCTCCCTTCCGTTCTCTTTCTTAATATGTTTAACTTAATTTATTGCGTTTGTAAAGGGCTTCTATGCGCAGCAACCTCCACGTGGTGAGCCTGGAGGATCCGCGAACTAGCTGCGAAGTAGAATTTAATTAAGTTAAAATTTCACTTTCTCGTAAAATAAATAAGGTAGGTGAAGAGTAAAGTCAAAGCGGGTGCCACGAATGTTCTTCCCTTACCATCAAAAGCGAGCAGTGTCGGTAAGCGTTGGCAAGTCACCACCGTCATTACTCGCATGGTATTATCATCACTAGTACGTAAGCCGCCAATGGCTTCTAGTAGGTGGCACCGCCATCGCGAGTGCGCGAGCCCCTACCAGAAAACAGTTCAATGAGTGGACGTGCGTTTTTAAGCGTAAATGCGGAATACACATGCGTGCCTATCTCACCGATGGGACACACGTGTAAAACTTATATACAAATGTATATATCACGTCGTGGACGACGTGACTCGTGGACTCGCGATCATGGCTGGTGAGTAAAAAGCGGTCTATTGTTGACCCTAAGGAAATTCACTAAATATTAATAACAATTCACCTCTCATGCGCGTTCGTCCATGTGTTAACGTAATCCAGAGCTTGCTTTTCCACTGCGACGTAAAATCCGCCTGATTTTCTGTAATCTTCAGCTATTTCGAGACGATTGAAATCTGCACACTTTCCTGGTGATTGTTCACTCGCGGGAATCTTCTGTTTCGACGAATTAATTCACTCTGAGATGACATTGCTGGTGAAAAAAATCGTTGCAAAAATCCGGAAGAGTGTTTTTCTGAGCCCGGATTTAGGAAGAGAAAGAAAATATGGAACGATGCGGTGGAAATGTGGAATATTATTTCCACCTGCTCGGTGCATCTGTCAGTAGGTCAGGAATGTCATCTGTCATTGCTTCGTCATTTCTTAATAACTGGTGCTTTAATGCACGTCATTGATCCTCCTTGATTTAATGATTATTACTCACCTTTGTAGGTTAAGTGACAGTTTATAGTTTATGGGGAATTTGATAATTTAAAAGGGTCTTACATTTTGACTGTTCGTGCACTTTTTAGACCTTGTAATTTGATAATTGCAGTGGTAAATGGCCTGTGGGTGTACTCGGGTCTTCTTCAAGTTCAATACCAAAGTGCGATATTTTTTTGGTAATTGGGAATTCATTCCAGACTTTAGATTTAATTAGATCGGTGGAGATCCTTCTGGAAAAAAATAGCCTTGGACGAGATCTAGCATAACTCAGGCTGAAAGCAAGCGACTCGATATGCATACTAATTGCTGGTCTGATCGGTGGTTCTTACGAGACCACTCGAGTCAGAAATTTAAAGAGAACATTTTGATTTAAGTTTTATAATTCTTGGGGGATATGTTTCAGGAAGAAAGTTGTATTAAAAATTTTGATAATAAGTTATCGACAGCTCGTGATTATAATTTGGCAATATCTTTTGGGAGAGATACGAGTTTATTGTTTTTTTCAGGGTCAAATCCATACAAGAGTTTACTGCGGACTATTAATGTCGGAGATAAGGACTGCCAGTTTTATGATATTTCTACTTTAGGTGAAACATATGGTATGTTCTATCGAAAAAATAATTATGTGAAAAATTTGCTATCTACTTTCATTATTCTTCGGCTTTTAGATAAATTACCTTATTCGGTGAGAGTGCTGTTAGAGAGTGCTGTACGGAATTGCGATGAATTCCAAGTGAAGTCAAGCGACGTGGAGAAGCTTTTAAACTGGGAGAAAAATCAAGAGGTGGAAGATGGCGTCGAGGTGGCTTTCAAACCTGCGAGAGTGCTCCTTCAGGTAATAATTTTATTGTTGCCATTATATACATTCTTAATCATTGGCACATAATAATATTTAAATGTTGAATTACCTATTTGCAGGACTTTACTGGAGTGCCAGCGGTTGTTGATTTTGCGGCCATGAGGGACGCTGTCAAAAAGTTAGGTGGAAACCCTGACAAGATCAATCCAATATGTCCATCCGATTTGGTCATCGATCATTCCATTCAAGTTGACTTTAGTCGAAGGTATGATGTATTAAATTAAATGTATATAAACTAATAACAATACTGACTTTTTAAAAATTATGTGGATGTGGCGTGCTAAAAGTCTGGTTTATTACATCTTTCTCCGAATTGGGTGTACCAAAACTTTTGAAATTTTACTGTGAATAGTGTTTACTGATGAACATGTTTATTTCAGTTCCGATGCGATGAAAAAGAATGAAGATCTCGAATTCGAGAGGAATAGGGAACGATTTATGTTCTTAAAGTGGGGTGCTAAGGCTTTTGAAAACATGTTGATCGTTCCACCTGGTAGTGGCATCGTGCATCAAGTCAACTTGGAATACTTGGCGAGAGTGGTATTCGATAACAATCTTCTGTATCCTGACAGTGTAGTGGGAACGGATTCGCATACTACGATGATTAACGGTCTCGGAGTTCTTGGCTGGGGTGTCGGAGGCATCGAAGCTGAGGCTGTTATGCTCGGTCAAGCAATTTCTATGTTGATACCAAAAGTTGTGGGATACAAACTGGAAGGTTCTCTAAGCCAGTACGCTACATCGACTGATCTTGTTCTTACGATTACTAAGGTACTTGGAGCAATTGCTCGTGGACTAGTAAATAAAAATTCCATATAAAGACTTATTAACTCTACTAAACAAAAATGAGAAAATATAATAAATACTTCAACTTCGTTGCAGAACCTTCGCCAACTAGGAGTAGTCGGCAAGTTTGTCGAATTCTTCGGACCTGGAGTTGGTGAACTGAGCATTGCCGATAGAGCAACTATTTCTAACATGTGTCCGGAATATGGAGCCACCGTTGGTTTCTTCCCTGTTGACAATCAAAGCTTGGTGTACTTGAAACAAACAGGTGATTACAAGATTCTCGTTTAAACATTACATTTCGTAGTCAAAATGGAAATTAACCAACATATTTAAAAAGTGAAACAAATCATTTTATTTCTTTTAATTCAGGACGTTCCAAGGAACACATCGAGAGGATCGAGAAGTACTTGAAGGCAGTGAAGATGTTCCGAAACTACAGAGACGACAGTCAGAATCCTGTGTTCTCGGAGGTAGTTACCCTGGATTTAGCAACCGTCGTCTCCAGTGTTAGCGGTCCCAAAAGGCCTCACGATCGTGTCCCTGTCAGTGACATGAAGAACGACTTCAAGTCCTGCCTGTCTAGCAAGGTATTTAATAAGACTCAAAGAATATCAATATCCTAACATGTGACGGCGTTACAGAGGGTTAAATTACAATTCCACTACAATAGTGGCACCAAAAATCCACACTAATCTAAAGTGAGTCGTTAACCTATAACAAAATGTCAAAACAAAGTGCAGGGTGGAAATGTTGCGGTGACAGTGCAAGTGCAGCGTGCAAATATGAGTGCAGGTGACGTCGAAAGTCAGTACCTGAATGGGACAAACATAACCCAGTGACGAGTAATGTACAACGTCAAACAGGATTACGTTTATCCCATGCTGTACTTTATCCCCAAAGCGACTGTAGCAATTAATCAGCAATCCAAGCCATTTTGTGTCGATGAATAAGGTGACAGGATCCCAGGTAACTTCTGCTGTGATATGAGGTAACCATCGACACATCACAGCAAGAGTTCCTTCGAACCTCATCACCATCGGTGAAACCTGTGCAAAGTTAGTTACGCTGTCATAGAAAGGAAAATCGATTAGCTACTTCTAATCAGTTAACACGATATAAAAGCAATTCATTCATGCAACGTCGAAGTGAAAATCCTGATAGCCCGATGTGGAAGTGCTACGAAGCTGCTCGATGTGCCATCGAGCCTTGAAGATGTCGAAGAAACTGTATCCTAGTCCCTCGATGCTGTGTCACGTACTTTTTGCCTTGCTGATCTAGCTTTATGATCCTCTTATTCACCATACAGATAGATCACCAAAGAAAAATATACGGGACTCGATTGTCAAGATGGATCCTTGGGGTGCTTCGAAAGACCTTTCTTCAAGCTGATGGCTCTCGCAGTCAGGGACGAGTATTTCGATCTAGTCACGAGTTTATCACACCGTGTCACTAGATCGATACTGCGCCCCCAGCATCGAGAGTTCTCCTCGCCTTCTTCTTAATCCTATTCTTCGGGGAAATGTTCACTGTGATTCGATGAAGAGGGGCGGACATTGGATGAATCCTACCCGGTGAGGTATCTTAATTTCCTCACCGGACGAGATTGCATCCGACAGCAGCCTCCTCGGTGATCCTCTTCAGCCATTATTTAATTAACTCGAAGCCAACATCGAGCGACGCATATCGCAAGAATTAATCTCATAATTGTTTATCACTCACCCCTGGCGATGGGACTCGACGTTCACTCCTGGTGGATGAAACTTTTCTCCGCACCAGGTGTACCGAATTGTTTGAAACTTTACAAAGTGAATGCGGAGACTATGAGGAAGGTTTCTACATCCTTGTAATTTAATTTTCCGTAGCGAAATTTAAAAATATCCATAAACAAATTGAACGGTGGATTTCATGCTTATTGCCTTTTCATATTCACTGTTAATATTCACTCCGTGTTCTTTGTAAAATTTCAAACGATCCGCTAAAATTGAAATAAATGCTGAAGAGCTTAAGCGACAAACTGAAGAGCTATCCCACACACTCGCACACTGGAAGACTGATGGTCCGAAGAGTTGGAAGCCCTTTATATACTCTTTCCCCACCATGTTGATCTAGCTGACCATTCTCCCTCCCTTGGCTATGGGACTTGAAAATTCTACTCAACTATTGGCCGATTTTTCGGACCGATTGGGACTTTTCCCTCTCCCTCCTCTTGGGAAATCTTGAAATCCTCCCCTCTGATTGGTCGACTTTTCGGACTTCCCCTTCCAGGTCCTCTTCGGGGTTCCCAGGGGAATCGGGAGCATTCTCCTAATTAACGCAAAGAAATCAGAAATAATTAGGAATAATTTGATCAACGAACAATTGAGCGGAATTTTTTTTTTATAATGAAAATACTAATATAACGATGAAAAATATATAACATGAGGAAATTCAGGATCTCTACTTACATGTCGATATGAAAGAATACTTTTGACAAGCGATTCTTTAAGCAATTAATTTTTCCTTTCGTCTCATGGGTTTTCGCAATTTTTGCAACTACTTTATTTCAACATGTCCATGACTGTTTAATGCAATTCCAATTTTTCTTCGAGATTTCGTTACGATCCGTTCGCTAGAAAGGCAGGAAACGTTCTTCGGGATGATCGCGAAGTGGCAGCTACGACGTTCTCGAGAAACAATGGTCGTTTATCATTTCACGATGCACCAGGATCGATCAGGATCGATTTCTATTGAGACATGTCAAACACGGGAATCACATTACTCGAGTGCCCTGGAACATTAATTGAAACCGAGGCACGTAAATCCTGTCGTGGAAAATTCGAAAGCTTCCTCGATTAGTTTTCCCATTTATCCCCCCGAGGAAAAGAAGCGAGAACAGCTGATCGTACGAAAAGAGAAAAAAAATAATAATATGCGTTGCTACAACAAAATCCTGGAATTAAACGCGCCGCAAGAAACGTCAGATTGAGTAATGAAAATTTGTTTAAATCAACTAAGTCGATTTTTCCCCCCCTCGAGGAAATAAGTGTGCTATTTATCGTGGCATCGAAATAACAAATGATTATGCAAATTAACTGGGGCATTTTCATTTTATCAGGGTGTATAAATGTTTTACTGTAAATTGAAATGCGATCGCAGTCTGAGCTGACTCTCGTGCCGAGTGTGAAACGCGAGGCCTTTTGCTTATTCTAAATATAGAAATAAGGATGAGAGATTAGCGACTACTTTTCTACGTGATATTAAAATCATAATTTAATTCATAATATTTAGACAACTATTTTGCTACTTTAAAAAAGCATCGGCTGTGGTACGCTCCATTGTCAAGATCAACCAACCCTTAGAGAATGCTACGTTAAATAAAATAATTAATTATCACTCGTTTATCAAATTTCGAGTAAACTGATGCAATTGTCGCGTTTAATGGGACGTGATTTTAATTAATAATAATCAGGGAATAATTTTGTATTCTGGAAAGCAAAGGGTACGGTTGTCTAGGTCATGGATATCGACATGGAAGGGATGCCGTTTAATGGTGAAACAATTAATTATTAATTATCTATGGAATTGTCGGTTGTTCGGGGCAATATCTCTACAATTATCACGTTAAATAGAAAATATTTGAGTCACTTAACTACTTTGAGTTTGGGACTGTTAGTCACGTTAGGCCATTTACGATATCGCCATTCCCTTTTCGTGACTCAAATCCAGGAAACGTCTTCAAAGCTAATGGCGAAACCCATTAAAATTTCGTCGGAAAAGATTAAGGGTCCATTGTACATTATCCGAGAATTATCCTCCATGTGAACGTGCGAATATTGTTTTCCATATTAAAGCGGGAATTTTGGAGCTTCGGAAAACGGCTCCACAAGCGGGATTTCATTTACCAGGGAAAAAGAATCGAGCAATAAAGGCCAATTAGAGTGGGACTTTTTCCAAAAAGTCCTTTCCTTACCCCCCGCGAAGTTTACCTTCACCGGGGCAATTCTTCTAGGGCAATAAAAGGAAACCCTCGAGGTAGGGAAATTTCCCAAAGACTCAAAAGGGTGCAATAAAATTCCCTTCGCCTTTGGGAATTCCCTTATACTGTAAAAGCCATTTGCAAATTGTATCTGCGGAGCGACAAATGAAAGACAAAAATTGTCAGATAATATAACACGGTATATAATAACATTAAGTATAATATCATTCAATAGGGTGCAATGAAAATTCCTGTCCCCAAATTGAAATTTGTATTGACCGTAAACGCCATTTATAAATTACATTCACTAGGCGATAAATGAATGAAAAAAATTCTCAGATAGCGTGACATAATATATAATAATATTAAAAATTGCAGTCGTCGATAGGTCCGCTTTGGTGAAACTATTTTCAAGGGAGATCGTATTTTATATGAAACTTTTCCAAACGTTCAAAAGGGTGCGATGAAATCTGCGAATTACATCCACGAGGCGATTAATCAACGATAGAATTGTCGGATAACTTAATATAATTTTTAAGGGAGATTATATATATATATTTTTTTTTTCTCTCGACTTACCAATTTTTGGCCAATTTTTTCGATGAGGCTTGGGCGATGATTTTCGGTGATTTTCTTCTAAATGCTGCCAAATTTGAGGCCTCTAGACGGCTTAAGACACTCGCAGGAACTGGACTCGTAGTTCTGATGCTCGGAAGTCGGTGTCTTGTCAAAATCGCTGATTCGACATCCTTTTGGTTTTGCAGATCTCAGACATTTCGTTGCCTTCGTACCGGCGAGTTTCGAACGGAATCGTCGCCGTGTCGCAATGATTTCGAAAAAGGCGAGCGTTTGCATATTTCGCTCTTTTTTTTTTCTCTCTCTCTCTCTTTTTCCTTTCGGCGACCTCGAGGAGGGAATTTCGAAAATCCTGTACGAGTCTAATTGTCGATGGAACAATTAAGGGGATGTGAAAGTGGCATCCGAAAGCTCAATCGTTCGTAAAACTTTTCATAGAACTGGGGGTCTCAAATCGTTTCATACTTTAAAACGTGAATATAGAGACCCTAAGGCAGGTCCTGAAACTCGGGAAATTTTATTTTTTATAAACTACTTTTTAAAATACCTATAAAGAAATTTGAAAAGAATTTAAATTTCATGAGTTTCAGGACCTTCCTTATAGTCTCCCTATTAACGTTGTAAAGTTTCAAACTATTCGGTAAATCGAGTCGGGAGAAAAGTTTCATAAACAAAACTTCGATGTCACTTTCACATCACCTTAAGGATTAAAATGGGGAAGCTTCAAAGGCCAGAGATAAAGGAGGATGCCTCAGATTATCGAACAGCTGTTATCAGAATTTCATTCCGAATAGGTCTGCTAATCACCTGGGAAATCCCGAGGATAATTGTCGAAGAGTTAAGGGGATGTGAAAGTGGCATCCGAAAGCTGAATCGTTCATAAAACTTTTCATAGAACTGGGTGTCTCAAATCGTTTCATACTTTAAAACGTGAATATGGAGACCCTAAGGTAGGTGCTGAAACTCGGGAAATTTCATTTTTTATAAACTGTTTTTAAAATACCTATAAACAAATTTGAAAAGAATTGAAATTTCATGAGTTTCAGGACCTTCCTTATAGTCTCCCTATTAACGTTGTAAAGTTTCAAACTATTCGGTAAATCGAGTTGGGAGAAAAGTTTTATAAACAAAACCTACTCGATGCCACTTTCATATCACCTTAAGACAAACTTTCGGGAGCGAGCTCGAATGATTCCGATGACTGTACTCTTTCGTGAAAAGGTTCTCTTCAGGGGGTTGACAACGGGAATCTCCCCCGGGAGAATTTCCGTTCAGGAGTGGGAACGAATTTCTAATTGTCTAAAATTGGGCCCCTTCCTCAGGTCGAAGAAATGTGTCGTAAATATATCCTGCCACCTTCCTCGAAGAAAGCTGATCCCCTCGGGACACCTTTTCAGGGACCTCTTCAAAGGTCCTCTTGACCTGCCTTATCCTATTTAAAGAAAAATTAATAATAAAGCATAATTTGACACACATACGTTTCAAAATGAATTACAAATTCCTGGATTTACCTCGGATGATCAATATTTTAATATCGAATATTGGTGCAATATCTCTTAAATCATTTTCAACCTGTAGATTGCTCTACCTCGATTCATCGATATTTCAATATTAAATTTTCACATAATATTTTGGAATCAATACTAAGACCGAACATCGATTTTAAGCAAGCAATATTTTTAATATTGGACTGTTTGAGAACGTTTCTGATTTACAGGAAAATATTTTTCTTTACTATTGTGAATATGTATTTTTTTTTTTTATATTCGTTAAGCTCTGATTTCAGTGAATGGGACTGGAAAAAGTATTGTTTTTTTTTATACCGTAGAGAGGTGACTTTTTCGATGACTGTCGAGTACATTAACCTTGTACATTGTCAGGCCTCGTGTGCGCTTCTTCAGCAAATCTCTTCAACATTTATTCCTGGCGGTGCAGGGTCGATCACTTTTGTCGGATCATCGAACTTTGAACATTGTTCCAAGACAGCTCGGCAGTTCTCCGTTTACATTGATACTGAAAAATGGAAAAGTAATTTCAGATAGTACCTCACAATTACACACTGCACCTGCACTTACATCGAGGAATTAAAACCGATTTTCTAAAAAATGATGTCTATCTCGAATGTATATATTTTTAATCACGATTACACCTGGCATTTGTTTTATACACGTACGTGTATATTATATTTATTACACAATGTACATTACACGTAAGTGAGATGAAAGTACATTTTGACTGTAGAAGACGACGGTAACAGATTTGACTGTTTTTATATATTAATTAATTTACTACTTGATTTATTGCCATACATACAAATTTATTAAATCTTCCCAATGGATTCATTTTCTCTTTCAAGTTAATTTATAATTTAGAATCTCACCTAGTTGGCTAGTCAATTATTTATTAAATGTTCATTTTGTATCTCCCTCTTCGTGGGGAATTAATTTTGCGAGTTTCATTTCAGGATATATGAGCGGTGGTGATCGTAATGAGAATCGACATTACTATTCTTGTAATTAGAGGGTAAATCCGAGATCAAAACAGCACCGGGTCTTGGCTTTGTTCATTGTCTAAATTCGGGAAATCCGAGGGCCTCTTCTTTTGACTTCTACGCTTTGTTCGCAGGTCGGCTTCAAAGGATTTGGCTTGAGTCCTTCCAAATTGGACACCGAGGCTAATTTCCTGTATGAGGGGAAGGAGTACACCCTTAGACACGGATCGGTCGTTATTGCTGCCATTACAAGTTGTACTAACACCAGCAATCCCAGTGTCATGCTTGGGGCAGGTCAGTTTCGGTTATTCTCCCATATTTTCAACCGGCGACCGAAAGTCCTCTGGGATATCTAAGACACGATTTCAATAACTATCATTATACAATTCCACTATCAATTTCTAACAACCTAATTTTTCTTGATTATTTATAACATTTTATCAGATTTATCACTTCCTAAAATCATTATTTAGAATATTTCATTGGATTCATCGCTTTCCGATGTTATTATTTTATTATGAATTTCTAACAAGCTAATTTTCTCCGATGATTTAGAATATTTCATTAGATTTATTACTTTCCGATGTTATTATTTTATTATGAATTTCTAACAAGCTAATTTTCTCCGATGATTTAGAATATTTTCTCAGATCGTAATGCTGTTGATAATAGTCAATGTATAATAATCCTTGTCTATTTATTGAGAATGCTCATTTTCAAACTTATCGCTGCCAGTTTTCTAATAAACTATCTAAGTATAAAATAAGCTGTACAAGTATTAGGTCGTATTTATATGAATTAATATTAACGAATGATAAAATTATGTCTTATCAAGGAAAGAATTAATTACCAAAATTATTACTTACAGGTCTGTTGGCGAAGAAAGCAGTAGATGCTGGTCTTACTGTGGCTCCTTACATAAAGACATCAATGTCACCTGGATCGGGCGTCGTTACTTATTATTTAGGTGCCAGTGGGGTCGTACCAGCACTCACGAAATTGGGATTCGACATTGTCGGTTATGGCTGTATGACTTGTATTGGAAACAGCGGGCCTCTCGATGATCCTATCATTGACGCGATAGAGAAGGTGAATTATTATCACAGCTATGGTATCAAGAGACTCGTTAGAGTTTCGAGACAAATACAGTTCTACGAGAACTTCATAACATAATATACAGTACCGTTCACATAATTTAGGACACTCGTTGAAATCCCTAAATTCTGTAAAGAACGAAGAGTTGAAATTATTGTTGTTCCGTTGCTTAATAAATTCAGGTATAAGCTAGTAAATAAGTAAGATATCGTAGGATATGTTATCGTCATTTTGTATAGTCGAGAGGGACTTTCTTGAATTATGTGAGCAGCAGCGAATATCATTATAAGGAAGAAAATTATTATCGTAGCTGTATTCATAGCTACGATAATAATATACACGTGTATAACGTAGATTATAATAATTTCGGTTTACGTTAACCTCAATTGTATCTCCGTTTTCCTTGCACTTAGAATGGACTTGTTTGCTGCGGAGTGCTCTCTGGGAATCGAAACTTCGAGGGCAGGATTCATCCCAACACCAGGGCCAATTATTTGGCATCGCCTCTTCTTGTGATCGCTTATGCCATCGCAGGGACTGTCGACATAGATTTTGAGAAAGATCCTCTAGGTAAATTAGAAAATGAACATGTAATTAATAATATTATTAAAATCCTGTACAACCAAGATTTCTTACCGGGGATTTAATTCATATTAATTGTTAAATAAATACGTTTTTGGAGGTTAGGTTTATCCTTGGACGGAAAGAAAGTCTTCCTGCGAGATATCTGGCCAACCAGGGCGGAGATTCACGCGGTGGAGCAGAAGCACGTCATCCCCATGATGTTCAAGGAAGTTTATGGAAAAATCGAAAAGGGAAGCAACAACTGGGCCAACCTGTTCGCTCCGGAAGGGAAATTATATCCCTGGGACCCTGCGTCGACTTACATAAAAAATCCTCCGTACTTTCAGGACATTCAGAAGGTCAGCTATTAATTAAGATCATTTTTAAAGCCGGTTGCACTAACCGTGATTAACGTGAAATTTCATAATTATGAGTAGTTAATTTCGAATTCATGAAATTAACCTTGTACCCATGTAGGTTAGGTTAACGGAAGATTATAATCCGCCTTCGGTTAAACATCCGAAATCGGCGTTTAACTCTAACTATGCGCTAAGGTCTTATGAAAGGGTCACTCTATATATCAAAAAGCAAAAATATTTATATAATCTTTACGTTATGATATGTGTAAAATGGCTCTTTCATATCGCCTCAAGAATTTTAACTCGAATGTCAGGGCACCCTTAATTTGATGAGTAAAATTTTAAAAAATTCAATAATAAATGCTTTGTTCAATTTATAGGAACTTCCGCCGATCGCTCCGATAAGAAAGGCTCGAGTTTTATTGAGTCTCGGCGATTCCGTGACAACGGATCATATCAGTCCAGCTGGAAGTATAGCTCGGAATTCACCTGCTGCGAGATATCTTGCTAGTCGCGGGTGATCATCATTTATATTTAATTCATAATCTTTAAATTCTCTCTTTAAGGCGATGCAAATGTTTTGTTAAATTTGTCTGTAGACATTTCTAAAACTTTGGCAATCAGTTTGAAGGAAAGTTTTGTAAATATTCTTACTCCTTGGTGTGTGTATATTGTTGACACTTTCACATTTCTTTAATACTGTAAAAAATGTGTACTTATTTGAGACGCCTTAATTTATCTCGATTTTATTCAACGGAGGATTTTATTTCAGGCTTACGCCAAAGGAATTTAACTCCTACGGTTCGAGAAGAGGTCACGATGCAGTTATGGCGAGGGGAACCTTTGCAAACATTCGATTGTTAAACAAATTAATCGACAAGGCAGGTCCTAGGACGATTCACATTCCTACAAACGAAGAGGTGAATTGTGCAGCTCCCTTTTGTCTTTATTTCTGTTTTCTCTTATTTATTAACTCTTTAATGGAATTTCGAACCGTGTCATTATAAATGGCGAATCTCTTGGACACAGATGGATGTCTTCGATGCTGCGGAGAAGTATGGAAAGGAGAAGACACCGTTGATCATCCTCGTTGGCAAGGACTACGGAGCTGGCTCTTCGAGGGACTGGGCTGCGAAAGGACCCTACCTCCTGGGAATTCGAGCAGTCATTGCTGAATCTTACGAGCGAATACATAGGTTAATCACGTGTTAATGTTGCAAATTATTCGGTGCACCCAGTTTGAAGAAAAGTTTTACCATTATTTTATACGTTTTCATGTATACACATGTATATGAAGTTTTTGTTACACCCTAAATTCTTGGAATTTTCAGGTCGAACCTCGTGGGCATGGGCATCATTCCTCTGCAGTACCTCTCAGGACAGAATGCAGAAACCCTGGGCCTCACAGGGTACGAAATTTTCGACATTGCCATTCCTGAGAACTTCCAACCCGGCCAAAAGATCACAGTGACGACCGACGACGGGAAAAGCTTCGAAGTCCTCGTGCGATTCGATACGGAAGTCGACCTGGTGTATTTCAAAAATGGCGGCATTCTTAACTACATGATCAGAGCCATGATATGATGGGAAAGGGTAATTTAAATAGGGACTCGATAAGCGAGGGAAATGTGCAATCCACAGGGATCGGTGTACTTAATTTAGGGAAATTGCGTCCACATGTACAGTGAAGGACATGAGCGCCTTCCCAGCAGATATGGTATCGCATGAGAAGACATTTATGCCCTCCACTGTACAGTGACATGTACAGTAAAGGGATATAAACGTCGCCAGGGTGATGAGAAGGCATTTATGATCGCCACTGTACAGTGGCATGTACAGTGGGAGGCATTAACGGCTTCTCATAAAAAAAAACCGACAGTTTCGCGCCAAATACATTTACACGTCGTGTTCTATCGACGCCATATCCAAAGAGAAGGCATTCTCGTCCACCGTTGTCCACCGAATGTCGCGTGTTAACAAAGAGAGAAAGAAAAAGAGAAACTTCGCCTAATCTTCGTTGCCTGCTGAAATTCTACATTACCTAACGACGTAGTTAAAACCGTACTTAAGGTTAAGTACAATTGGTAATTGTTAATCGTGGACTTCTTGTAATTTCGAGGTCGTTTTTTGTACTTTAATGCGGAGTTGTCCTTTTGTATTATTATTGTAATGGTCTACGGATGTACTTGGTGTGTACATGGTAAATCGTTGACGGTTAACGGTTGTTTCCTTAACAGTCGCATAGTTTATTATCTCTTAACAGCCTTTCGTCTTGGATTACGTTAATTAGTCTAGCCTAGCTAATGTCGATTCAGTCGGTCAGAAACTTTAGGATCTCGTTGTAGTTGTTCTCAGTGTAAGAATAGCCTGAGAATTTCAGCTCTACGAGGGACTGGTCCATTGCTCCGTAGAGGTGGCAGCTATCGAAGCTCAAGCTGTACACAGGGCCTGACATGCAGCGTTTGCTCAGGAAGTACACCTGGAAAAAATTCTTTCGTAGTGTTGAACACTTATTTTCAACTCATCGATGGAGGGGTCCCACCATGATGGGCATATAAAGAGTATCGGTTAAACTTATTGAAGAAAATTGGGGTGAATCCTTAAATTGAGGCAGTTTGAAGATACCTGTACGTATTTCGTTTGTCGTTGATCCCATAAGACGGCTTTAGCATTGACTTGGGCTCCAGTAATTACTGCATTGTGGTGGTCGGAGGATATGCAGTATATTGAAGCGTTTGTGGGATCGGGCCATATATTGACGCAGGAAGCAGTTCTGAAATTCAGATTGAAATATTTAGGGGGCCGTTCCTGGGTTGTTGGCCTCCTAGAGACAACAACGCAGCCCTTATTAATTCAATTTAATATAACTTAACTGCTACGTCTGCCTTTGTAACAACATATACATAGTTTTAAAGAATTATCATGCAAAGGAAATATTTCTTTTGTATTTTTGTTAGTAAAAGTTTTACATTTAATAAACTGTCTACGGTCAATCCACACTGTGCACCACCAGGAATGGCCCTGAATTAGAGTACGAAAGAAATTTAAATAACTAACCTCAAATCCCACTTCCTGGTGTAGGAATCGTAACCACAAGTAAGTAACGTGTTGGGATCGTCCCAGACCATGTCCAAAATTCCGGCACCCAGTCTCCAGTTGTGAACAAGTACATTTGGTTCGCTAAAACTGAATCGTCATCAAATAAGATAGTGTCCAATTAATATTTTATCTAATATTTAAATTAAAACCAACCATTCCATGTCATATATTCTAAGTGGAATTCTATCATTGACTCCTGACAGTCCCACTGCAAACTTGGTTCCAGTCGGTTCGACAGCGAGCGACCAGACCCTGTCCAACATGTGTAGAGTTGGAGGCGGAGTGCTTTCGACATCGATCAGAGTGGTATTCCAAATCTGTAACGTCAGAGTGTTTTAATTCTTCTTAGCGTAAAATTTTAGTTTATTCACACTCTGAATACCTTTACGGTACCATCCCTTGACCCCGAGACGATTGAGTACGAAGATGTAACGTCTAAGGCATGCACATCGCCATTGTGTGCGTTCTCTATATTTAAGGTACAACATTGATCCCTATTCCATACTTGCAAGCCTCCGTCTCTATCAATTCCAAACAGAAGTCAGACCAAACTCTCGCTTAAACCTTAGGACTGAAGAACGTAGACATATACCTGCTACCGCAGTAAACGTTATCATCCTTAACAATGAATTTACAGACATCGTTCGTATGTTTAACGCTAAAGACTACGTTAGACTTGTTGAAGGGATCGCTCCTACGGTAGCCACGTATTTCAGGGCCTCCGCTCCACCATAAAGTGCTGCTCGTTAGTTGCATCCATGGCATCAGTTTGGTCTTCTTCGAGAGTAGAATTTTCCTCTCGTATTTGCCATTTTGCCAGTTCTGGGTCACGTGCCATTTTGTGTGAAGGCATAACAACGGGTTACATCTGAAATGTGAGAAATCACGCAATATCACGTTATAAACGGCCGTGTGTACACACTCTGTGTTTATTTTTATCGACAGCGGTTATATCGGTGACACGTGCGGTGCAGATTCCCGAGTTAACGGCCAAACATAACCTAACGTACCTTTCGCGGAACCTTTTCGACACCTGGTTGGTCGCGATCGGCTTTTTACTCCTCTTGATCCATAGTGTGTCGTCTTTAATGATCTCGTGAAATCGCGTGCACACTTCGCTGAGACGGACAAGGTCGAAGGCATGACAGTAGTCGAAAATTAGGATTAAAACGTCCGACGGCAAAGTGTCCAGCCGCCAGCCATCTGTCATTTTTCCACGTGACCACCTCCCGCGCATGCGCGTGGTTCAAACTGCCGACGCCATTTTCCCGCCAATTTCAAATATGACAAGGAAACGAGTTACCCCAGAGAGGATAAAGAATACTTTGAAGACAAGAGTAGCCAGGCCTGAGGGAACAGAGCTACCAAATTTCTTGCATCACAAACACCGCTATTCCTGCGGATATTTCTGGTACATATCTGAAGTGTCATTTCGAAAGCAGAACGAAAGATGAAGTGCCATCTCTGATTCATCCTGTCCGTGAGCAATCTCTCAATTCATCTCTGCATGCAATTCCTTTCTCAGGGGTATTCATGAAAATGTGATATACAGCGTTTGTGAAAAAGTTAACATACATCTTTATAATTCTTCTGGTCGCTTACAAATAATTAGTCTTTGTCATCGTATTAAATTTACACAGTCGCGTATAAAAACATACACCGGTCAGTTAATCACTAGATACGTTATAATGTAAGTCGTGTTGGGCGTTATATTGACGTGGCACTCTCTCACTCATAGACCCCTTAAAGCTGACTTATGATAAAATTTGGTAATATTAATTTCTCCTTATTGCATAAATTCGTCTTTGTGTTATAAAGTGCTTGGAAGAGCCACCATTTCCTCCGCTGTGTTTTCAGGCATTTTGCAATCGATGGATTTCGGTTTGCCTGTAAGAATTATAATAAATGGTATCGCAGTATCAAATACAAATGGAATTTTCAATTCATTGTTATAAAGTAATAAACCGTTCTTACGAGTTTTCGGCATGGAACGCTTTAAGTACGTCGTGTACAGCAATAAATACGTGAAGGCCGATATAATGGCGATCGAGGAGAATATCCGTAACGTCTTTACACCGCCCACGTCTTTGTACAAAATCCCACCGATGAAACTGCCCACTGCGAAGCCTATAAATTTAAAGACGTGAAGGAATAATTCATATTTTCCACTAAGAAACGTGCACTTTAAACCTGAGAAAATCCCAGAATTAAAATCTCAAAACGCTGTAGAGGGTTACATTAAACACTCAGTATTCTAATTCCGTTAATTTATGTTCCAACTCACCAAACCCATCATCCATTCCAGCAACGATGCCTTGGACAGTAGCCGATGTGCCAGGAGGAGAGATCGCACTGGCATAAGCGACAATTGTCGTGTAGCATAATGCATACGTAGGTCCTTGCATAAAGAACTCAATGGGAACCACCCACCAGGGTGTCGGGGCCAAAGAAATGAGACCGAGCCTCACAGCATAGCACACAAAACACAGAGCGAAGCAGTAACCGTAGCCCAACTTCTTCAGAATCTTCCCTGCCATTAAATATTATTAGCACCGTTCATATTCCTCGTAAAGAGAAATGATAAGAGACAAAATAGTTTACCAGAGAACGTGAAGAATATAACCTCTCCACCCAGGGTCTCCGCTGCAACGATCAGACCTTCAATCAATTTGATTTCGTTCATGTAATTAGTTGCTATCGCTAGATCTTCGATGTACCTGAAATGAGTACAATTTTTTAAACATGTTCTCTGAACAAATTATATTTTGTTATTAATATTTCTATGCTGATCTCCTTACCAGAATAGAAAGTAGATCAGAAAACTGTCGAGGATGCCAGCGAGAGTGGCAAAACACAGGAACACAGCTATCGGTGTCATGCGTACTAATTTGAAGACGTCCCCAATTATGTTGTCGGACCGTGACATAATAGGCAGCTAAAATGATTACATCTGATGAACAATAAATTCGAGTCTATTATCCAAGAAAAATATTACTCACTTCCAGTTTCGAGCAGCATAGCAGGTCGATCAAGGTAAACGCTAGGACTAGAATGAAAGCCGGTGTGTAAGACTTTATAGACTCCCCTTGGGACACGTAATCAATGGAATAGCCAGCCAGAAATGCAGTTATTCCGAAGCCAATCGTTCCCCATACTCGCTGTCTGCCGTATCCCATTTGCCCACCTTCTCCTGTGATTTGAAAAAAGTTAATTCGACCTCGAATGACGATAATTCCATGTCATAAAACTGAAGAAAATACTTTTAAGAGGTTAGGTCAGTATACTACATATGAAGAAAATCAATTCTATATCACGTTATGGCAGTAGAATTCTATATAAGTTTAACAAAACCGAAGAAAAAATACCTTTAAGGAAGAAGAGATTAGGTTAGTGATTTCTAATGTTAGAAAATAAAATCTCATTTATAAAGCAATATATTCACCGAGAACATCGAAGCATATTGCATCGCTGATGCAGTTGGCCACATTGAAGCCAATGTTGCCCAAGGACATAAGAAGAATGAATCCCCAGAAAGTTGAGGACATATAGGTGCAGATCTCCGTAAAGTCATTGCAAATGACATCGCAGGTGGCACCCGATGTACAAGTGGCATTATTTTGAAGGCAAGTGGTGTTCGGGGAGAACTCTTGTTGGCCACGATAATAAGTGGTCTCAAAGCTTCTTGACCTTCCTTGACAATTCCACCAGCAAGTCACATTGTTCCTCAGGAAGCAGGATTCCTTCCCGGTGACGTTCTAAAAGGAAGTATTTTCATCTAATCTCTCTACAAATGAGAAAAACGACAGGGAATAAATAACTCCTCTTAGTAGGTGGGCTAGTGAATTGGAAGTGAAAAAAAAAATCAGGCCCGACACTTAATAAGGTCTCTTTTGTTGCTGCGAAAGGGGGACTGCGGTGGTGTTCAGTTCCCGAATTAAGGACAGTGCTCTTGTAATTAGAATTAGGGGAGCTCGGCTCTGAATCGGACCCCCAAGGGACGTATCACAATGATTCAGGGAGTCCCTTGTGTGCCTAAACAATTACTGAACATTATCACTGTACTTTGATACAGACTTAAAAAATCTCACTCATGGATATTCTCCAATATAAAAGGAAAACCTCACTTATTAACGTCCTGTGGTATGAAGTGAACAATTTCACTTAAAACACCCCCGACATAAAATGAACAATCTCACTTATCGACGTCCTCCGATACATTAATTGAACAGTTTCACTGATTCACATCCTAAGATATAAAATATCTCCCTCGAAGTTCCTCGTTCCACGAAACTTGGAAACTTCTAAGAGCCTTATTTCGCACGGGCCAGATTATTAATTATTCTTGCATTCAGAAGATAACCCACCCGAGGGGTGCAGACTTCGAGGTCCAGACAGGAGACGTTCTTGAATTCCCTTTGCGGAAGCAAGGGCAATGGCACAACTGGCAGGAAATACATAAGGACGTAGCAGCAACTAGTAACAGCCAGCAAGCCGATGAAGAGCGACTTCCTCCAATCACGAAAGTGGTCTACCAGCAGCCCGAAGGCTGGCTTTGCGATCAGAAACATGATCGGCAGTATTGCAGTGATACTGCCCATGACCATCGGCGAGATGCCTATTTGCTTCCCATATACTGGCAAAAATGGTAATATGGGACCCATCGCTGAAAAAGGGGAAAACAGAATGAGTAAATAATAAATTACTGATTGACATTCCCTGTTTCAGGAAATTACAAAGCTTCCTAAGATTAATTATACTTAATTGTATCCAATTATTAGATAAGAAAATTTGCATTAGTTTTCCACATATCAGAAAAAAAAATTGGTGATATTAAAAATTAGAGAGAAATTATTCGGAATGTTATAAAGATTTATATTTTCAATTTTCGCGGTTTTAACAATTAGAGAATAAATGTCTATTAATTTTCACATACAAGAAAAAACTAATATAAGGATTGTTGATAAAAAAAAAACGTGAGGAAACTCGCGTTTTTGCATTTTATCGCTTATTTTCGAGTTTTCTTGTTCCAATAGGGAAACGCAATAATTACCGGTCATTACATTTATTCATTTAAGAAATGACTATAAGTTTTCCTTGTAGCAGGGAAACCGGCAAGAATGTCCAGGACGCAATAAAATCAGGAAAGGTAAATTGCCGAAGCAACTTAATCTCCTCCTCTCGCGAAATTACCATAATTAGATTTTCATCCATAATTAATTTCACACTTCATCGTGCCAAGTAAAAGACTAATAATCTCTTAAACGTCTCTGTCAGTAAAGCGATTTTAAAGCGATTAACAAACGGGCCATTATCTCGAATAATCTGAAGCGTATGCTGGAAATACTTCCTGGCGTTTCTATTTCAGCCTAATCATTGACAAGCTACCACGACACTATGGACTTATATAATGTACGCTGATTAGGGTATTCTTTATCACTTAGAAGGATTAATTCGGATTAATTCGGAGCGTGAAATATTGCCGTCGAGGTCGACGCCGATTCGTCGGTACAGAAATTCAGTTCGAGTCGAATCATCACGTGAGCATTTAAACACTTGTCTTGATTATTCAAGGGCCGTTAATTAATTCATTAACATTCCAGCACGTACAAGAGGACTCTTCGACATCGACTCTGGAAGGAAATTTGTCAAGGGAAAACCATTAGAAAATTCGATTAAGCTATCAGAATGTAATATCTAAAAAAATAGTCACATCTCACCTGCCATGAAGAAAAAAAAATGAGCCTTGACGGGTAATTGTTGAGAATTGATTTTCATTCGTGCCATTTCGATGGTCCTCTTCAACTTGTCGCAAAGGAATGGCTGAAAATATAAGAAAAATGATCCCATTAAGGATTGTCTTACAAAAGCTTTGTTACATTGAGATATTTATACCGAGATAACAATTTCATCGAACCAAAGAAATATTTCTTCGACTAGTACCGAAGAAACATTTTGTTAATTCAAAGTATAATTATTTGGCTCGAATAAACTCGAATAAATTCTATATCTCTTAACTATGATATGATGTGGTCATCATCAGTTGATCATGAATGTTATCATTTAGGTATCGATACTGAGATTACTGCAGCGAAAGGCTCTTCGATCAGCTGCAACTCCCATATTCAGTTCAGCTACAAAATTAGAAAAAAAAAAACGGAGATAAATTGATTAAAATAATTAATCAAAGCCACTCATAATTAGTATTAATTGTCTGATAATTTGGCATAATTTGGGAACCGCTGTAATGCACTTTAACTTTGTGTTGGAACCAATGAGATATCATATCGCTCGGGAAGGAAAAAAAGTGAATTAAGAATATCGATTACGCCAAGGAGAGGACTTTTTCCTTTCTTCAAATTTCCACGTTCCAGTTAAGGAACATTTGTTAATAATTTGGCAGGCGAATGTTACTTTGTTTCCGGTCCAACGTGTGTTTTACAGTCCCAAATAAAATTAACTGATAAATAAAATGTGCACGACAAACGGAATATCTACACATGTCAATAATGGCCAAGATACATTCCACTAAAACGCTACTCAAACAATGCATATCCGTCCGATAAGAAGTAATCAAGACTAAAATAGATGGGCACTCCTCTTGCATTACGGAACACACCTCTAAGTGACAGATAACACTTGAAACGCACATTAAATTCACACCTAAAACAGTGATTTTGTGACCGCAAAGAATATCCAGTATTTGTAGGCTTCGCAATGAACTCCATTCTTCTTATTAACAAAACAATTGATTCATTCTTCATATTGACGAGATCCTTGTGCAAACTCATCTGTAAAGATGCACAAATTTGTTTACATGACATATTACATAATTAATGCAGTGTACACATCGAGTTAGCAAAATAAAAATGATTCGCAGGATAACAGAGGGTGACCACGACGTATCGTGAGGATCCTTGCATAAGTTTATCCGTAAACTGAAAAATGAAATGACAATCGTAAGCAGGAAAATGTACAGATTTTATATGACGTATAGTAGCATAATGCACCACATATGCAACGGAGGTAACAAAATAAAGGGAATTCATAAGTTAGGAGGCTTAAAGTGTCAGAAGAGAGAGTAGGAATGACAGGTATAGAAACTTACTCGTTATAACGAGGATAATGAGATTCAGGACAGCAACAGGTGGTGACGCGTCGTCCTTTTTTTGCGTTTGAGGAGTCAAGATGTTGAAAAACAAAATCTGGTAAACCGTCAGGTCGTGGAGAACGCGTCGGAGTCTAACATCGCGCAAACTGATCTGCTAACCACCTTAGACCATAAATATCTAGACCGCGCATAGCAGTGGAAGGGGTAAACTCGCATGGACCACGTGTGCCGACGTTACTTACACAGTTAAAGCCATTCTACTTACTGAAAACTGGGAGTGGGAGGTCCAATACGAGGTCTAGATATATTGGTGTAAGTTAACCACTAGCTCACACACTGACACGGCGGGAAAACTGGTAGGCGCCGATCTGACGTTAAGAACCGAGAAGAGCCGAAGATTCACGAGTGTGCCCGAACGGGTCGGGATTTTAAATTTAGCCCGAGACTCGAGTCACTTGAAAAAGAGAAAGAAAGGGTGCGAGTAGAGTTCGAAACTTCTCGGTGACATAAAAGAAGGTAACCGTGAAACTTACCGCAAGTTACCGAGAGTGTCGAGAATTTATGATTTTTACTTCAAATCGAGTGCGACGAATTTAACTGCAAAGAAATCTCTCAAACAGACAATTCGAAGAATCCTCCGTCGAAGATAAATCCATACGTTACGAGACTCTGATTCTCGTAAATAATCGATAGAAGAGCTGATAGTATAATTTAACAACTTCTTGCGTAGGCAGAGACACTTGTGTCAATGTACGATTAGTTTCTTCAAGGACACCAGAGGGGACTTTAGCATCTCGTTATCAATTAAGTACAGTTAAACATCTGAAATAGAATCCAAAATTTTGTGTTAAAAACTGAATTAAACATTTCCTTGTACAATGGTCCAACTCAACGATCAAGTTTCTCTGCGATGACTTTCTCCACCAAAGCAGAAACAGGTTTTTCCTGTTACGTTTAATTGTTACGTAAGTCATTAAGGGAATGCCCTTCTAACATACATTATGGTAATTACGATCTAATTAGAGCTCGTTACTACAAAATTATTTATCCCTCCTCTCGCCAGATCTGTGAATCCCCTCCCGAAGCAAAGGCCCATTATGTATCGCAGCACACATGTCTCTTATATAATCACATAAGAGTCATGTATATCGACTGCACTGATCAAAGTAATGATAACGACACAATGAGGTACGAAGTGGCTCGTGATGGAAATTTGTTGATATCGAACTCGTTACAGGAGATCAAGCTTCTCGAGATTGCATGCCGACAGTGTACACATGTACGTTTGAAATTTATACTCCACAATAATCTTTGCACTTCGTGATGAATTTATAGTGAAATTGTCCTTCACGACACATTGTAAATGTAGACAAATCTGTCATTCACATTTTTTATTATCCAATTGTCATGAAATCTGATTCCCACCTGAGATAAATGTAAAGCTTAAAATAAACAAACGATCACATAATATTAATGAGTTTTAAATAAGAGTTCTTCTTCTGCGATACTTATGCCCGTTAGATGATAAAATGATAAACATGTAATTGTAAGTACTCGCTTGTTAAACTTTTGTCGAACACATTTTGAACGTAGATCGAATAGAATTCACTAAAATTTACCCATGTAGCAATTTTAAAATATTTATACAATACTACTGAGCTATATAGTCTCAATATTGAAATATTCACATCTTGATTGACCATGAACATTTTGTCATATTGTATGAATTTAATTTAATATTTACCAGGACGTGAAATATTACCTTGGTTAGTGATTGATATCGTACCATTAAATAATAGGCCAATATTCCATAATGGGAATAATTATTCCTAATATTCATTGTTACAGAGGTAAAGAGTATATACTGGACCTTTCTTCACCTTTTCCACATGATGTTCCTTTTTTTATCCTGCCGCAGCCAAGATTCAGTTCTTCCAGCCTTTGATATCATGCTCTTGACGAGTCTACGCAGTTTCGATCGATGTATTTATTTTTGCATGCAGAATACTGCGCCTGTCCCTCTCGTCGCTGTGAGAATTTCAAACGATGACTCCGCCGGAAGTTCTGCTGAAAAAAGAAACGCACGACAATAACTGCGCCGTCAAAATAGAGGCTCAACAGGCTTCGATACCAATTTGTTAATATAAGTTTGCCGCTCCTTTGATAAGGAATTTTATTCCTAGTAAATACGAGCTCATTGATTAACTTGGCGATTTAAACCGCATGATAATTTTTTAATCGACAATTCTGTTTCAGATGAATTGATAAATGTATATCTCTAAGCGATACGATGCCTCGTGTATGTTCTCGGATATTCATACTTTACGTATATCATTGTCGCCGATTATCGCTTCCTCTGAGTAATTGAATCTGCAGTGCAACGCCCCTGATCGTTATCGATACCGAATAAAGGCGTAGAAATTGCGATATTCGTTCCGAGATGTAGATTCAGCTGAGCCAAAGTCTGCTTCACACAGATTAACACCAGACTGAATTTCGTATGGGTGTAGAAAGTGGATCGGTTAAAAAATACAGCTCCGATGGGGGAAAACCTGTTGAGAAATTGCATTTTTGTTATGCCGATATTAACATTTCTTATCAATCTTAATATATCTAAGTCATTTAAGCCTTAAAATAAAGCAACTGAATATGTAATAACACAAAATGATGCGTCCCAATCTTGCGTAAACATATATGCAAATTTCTAAACTCTCCGTTAGAACTAATTATCTCAGATTATGAAATGTTTCTGAAGTATCGAAAATACTTCCTCTTCCTCATTGCCAGGTTTAATATCATAGAATTAATTCCGTCAGTTTGCTTAATAGCCTCTTTTATCCAAACCACTTGTTCACATATAATTCATATAATTTCCTATTCCAGGCCTCGGAGAAGAGGTTAAACCACTAGATTACCGACCTTGGCGATCTCGCTGGAATATCGTGTCATGATCCCGATCCAATACAGTCTCAAAGCTGATCAAACAGTTGTATAAAGCTTTTTCCTGTTTCTCCTAGAACTCCATGAATGTGTTGCGACAACACGATGACAAATCTCCATCTCCATACAGTCTCTACAGATCTCGTTCTATAAATTAGACTTTATATAAAAAGTAATCGCATACATTACCAAGTATTTCCGGATATATTACATTTTTCTATACATACAGAGGCTCCGATGTGAAAGGTTATCCGATCCAACATGCCGAATGTGTCTGTATAACCTCCCCACACATGTGTCATACATATTGGACTCGATGTGAGGAGTCAAGAGTCACAATGTACAGTCAAGAGTCTTAATACATGTATGTAAATATCTGCCATGTATTTTTATCCATGCAGATGCTCTTGTTAATGGATTCTTCATATCAAGTTGGTCTTGATGGGAGTCGGAGTCATCATGTATGTAAATTCATGCACATCTTCACCTACAAAGAGATACGTTTATTCACATATAGTCATACGCAACATACCGGATTTCTCGAGGAGCATCATGGCTTTCGTGTACGTACATTTTCAGCTGTGAGTCGGTAGTTTCGAATCCACACAGAAAGGATTGGCGTAAAGAGATATCCCACTCCCACCACGAAAGACTCGGGTTTCATTCGGTCTTCCAGCAAGTTAAGCAGTGTTCCCTGTGTTCCGCAACTGCTCGCACCGACCCTAATGTATCCCAGGGTCAAGCCAGAAGAAAGGAATAAAAAAACCGGCCAGAAACACGTCGTAAATCCACAAAAACCGGCGAAAACTCACCCGAAATCCGTGCGCTCAGCCTCAAGGTATTCGATCGATCCGGGAATTTATTGCCTAGAAGGAAAAATACGTACAAACATTAATAATCCATTCTAAATGTCTATTGCCACCTTCCAGGCATTTCACTTAAACGTGTAATTACCTCCAAAATTAAAAGTTCGCTGCAAGAAGAATTTTGGGAATTTTTTACCAGCGTACCGGGACTCCCAGAAATCAAGGCACGATGATAAATTTCCTGTAACAATAAACTGAAATTATTTCCGTGGAAATGTCGTTAATTAACGATTTAAGAAGCTTGAGAATATTTTCTTTCTGTTTCCTCTGTAAGAAGAATTTAAATTATAATCATTGTTCCTCTCTGGGATTCCCCTAAATTAAGGAAGAGCTACGTCACACTCACGGCAACGAATTTTCATCATTTTGTGGGAATATAGTGCTTTGATTATTTAAATTACCCTGGAGAAGAACTATTCTGTGTTTTTGAAAAGTGCGTAATGGGTAGTTCACTTATTTATTCTGATAAATATGGAGAAATATTAGTTGTTTAATATGGGGTTGCGGATGTCAACCTAACCTCATTCTTGCCATGTTGCTGATGGATTTCGGGGTCCCGTAGTTTTTTGTTTTTGGGGGAATGTTTGGTGGATTCTAAGTGGGAAAAAAAATTCCCTTTTTCAAGGGAAACTCATTTAATTGTGAATTGTGTTTCGCAGATTTGTAGGGTAGCTGATAGCTGCTGATAGCGCTGATAAGGATGCAGCTGCCGAGACCGGCATGGCTTTGTTTTCTTTTAATTTTCACTGCGATTCTCGTAGAAGTCGTTCACGCTGGAAAACGTGAGTGGTTTTCGTTGTTTTCACTTTATTTGCATTGTTTAATTCAAGTACTTTCATTTTTCAGTTTAGAGGATTTATAGATAATTGTTAAAAAAGAGAATTTTAGGAAAATTAAGCGATTTATAGAATCCTACTACTGTAAAATAAAACGATAGGTTTAAGAACTATTAACAGATCAGAGTGGTTGTTACTCTCAATGCGTAATTACTATTCTGAAATCAATATGTAAATTTTTAGTTAGCCTCACCGTAGGACTTTGAAGTGTATCTCCGTTTTCCCAGAAGTGATAATTTTATCAATAATGCTCAGTACAAGTAATCAAGCTCACTTCTGTGACATTTAATTCTGTAGCTTGATTTGGTTACTAATTAAATTAATTCTTACAGTTAAGTTGTGCGTCGTGGATAGCCAACACACTGCAAAAAAAATTAAATGGATTTGCCAAAAATTGAAGGACGATCCAGAGAGCAAAGTAGAATGCAGCGTGGGAAATGACAGGCAAGTATTAACGTGAACTTATTTTACATTTGTGTTACTTTCGCAAAACTTCGCACGGTCTTTAAAGCGATGACCTGTTAAGGTTATCATTTCCTGTACAAATATTCGTTACCACATTTAAGAATTCACGGCATCGATTAAGCAACGAAGTAAACAATCGAAGAATATAAAAATAAACTGCCAAAATGTTTGTCAACTATTACTTGATTGATCAGGTTCCATTGTCTTCGGCATTTGATACATCGTGAGAGTGACTTCACCGTTTTGGAACCTGAAGATTTATTTGCAACGTACGAAGCCCCGGAATACAACATCTTTGTCACAAACGAATTGAGGTTCTTTTCTTGTGGTAAAGTTTCGATCATTCCAATGAGAATGAAGTACCGTATTTTTCAAACAAATAAAGGAACCTCTGTATGTATAATATAGATAATTAATTTTATAGACAAGGAGCGCTACCAGATGGTTGCCATTGTGAACAAGAAGATCAAGAACACGTCAGATCTGAGAGGCAAAAACTTCTGTCATCCAGGCTACGAACCAACTGAATATTGGAACAGGATTTTCTCCACGGTTCGAACACCTTCGATAAACATTTTTTAAATGACAGAAGTAATTAAATCAAAAGCTGCGTGTCCATTTAATTGTTACGCTTACAGTACTTTGAAAAATCGAACATTGTTCCTGAGTGCGAACTCGACAAGACCCTGATAGAAAATCGGATTTCCACATTGTCCGATTATTTTCGAGCTGCCTGTATAGCCGGTCCATGGAGCCCCGACTCCGTTCTGGATACTAAATTAAGTGAGTACCCGTCACCTTGTAATCTTACAGAGAATACAACATTAAACAGCGTAAAAGCTGCTTTAGTACATAAATATTACAAATCATGACAGTGGAGAGCATTAATGTCTTAAAATAATCCAAGAGTATCTTTCGCTCTTCCAGAGTCGAGGTACAAAAATTTATGCGCCCTCTGCGAGAATCCAGCTGGATGTTTCTCTGGGGATAAATATTATGGCCGAGAAGGCGCTCTTCTTTGTTTAACAGATTCCGTCGGGGATGTTGCCTGGGTTATGTTAAAAGATGCCAAAGAACATTTCAAGGTAAGGTGTTTAGAGGTTAGATCCTTGAGAAAATTTAAAACTACTGCCAGTCTGATCCATTAATACTAATAATTAAATTCTTCAATTGAATGTGTGTTTATCTTTGCAGGAACAGAACATTACTACAGATAATTTCAGTTTCCTCTGCCCCGATGGAATGACAAAACCAATAGATTTTGACAATCCCTGCGTTTGGATTTCGAGGCCCTGGCCAGTTGTGGTGACTCGAAGGTGACATTAATGAATCTTCGATTTATTTCTTAAATTAAGCATGAAAAAATTAGTTTATGGGAAGAACTGAATTTTAGGGATGCTGCGGAAAGAGTCGCAAGTCTGATGAGATCCTTGGACCCCGAGAAGACTCACTGGAACTATGATCTCATTCAACTTCTGGAAAGCTATCATGTGACACCGGTCAGTACCGAAATACTGGGCACGTCCGAGGATTACTTACAAAGATGTAAAGTATACACGCAAGTGACAAATCAAAATAACTCGTCCTTATGCAATAAGGAAAGTGAAACCCCTTCGATGACACTTTCATATCGCCTTAACTGCTGCAGAAATGTATATGCCTATCGCTTTCAGTTATTCACGATATCTGCAATTTCTTCTACTCGCTGAAGAAGTAATTATAAATTGAAAGTCAAAGAGAATTAATTTGTAAACATATAGAGAATATACACTTTAGGAACAGACCGGAGGATGTGACAAATAGTTTAGTGAACGGTTTCTTCGTTTTTCCAAAAATAGTTCCTGGCTTCGTGAGTGCCAACAGCGTGACAAGTTGCAGACCATTCAGGACGGTTACTTGGTGCGAGACCTCAAATGTCCAGGATAAAAAGTGTCGATGGCTGGGAAACGCTGTAAAGGTTTATGGAATCGAGCCTCTGATAAACTGTATCCAGGAAACGAGCAGAGAAGCTTGTATGGAAGCTGTCAGGACCCATCGCGCTGACTTCTTTGTGGCGAAACCAGAAGAAGAGTTGCAGGCCAGAAAGTAAGGGATCCAAAAACTATTATTTAAAGTGCATTGAATAACACCAGTCGAGGAAAAATACTTCGTAACATGCAAGTCCTATTTTTCAGGAAAGGATTAAAGCCGATACTGTTCGCAGTGACTAGTAAAACGAAAGACGTTGGCAATTTGGCAGCAGTTGTGATGAAAAACTCGCCATATTTAACGTTGAAAGATCTTAAGGGAACATCGGCTTGTTTTGCTGGATTTAGGAGCATCGGTAAAAATGATCTTTAGACACTTACCCTCAAAATCGGGGAATGGTTTTCAAGAGTATCGAATTTTTAGGTTGGAATACTTTCGCGGCGTACGCGAGGAATTTCTCCTCGACCGATCGTTCGTGTACGGATGTAGAAACTATTGCAAATTTCTTCAAAGATAGCTGCGTCTCCGATCTGCCAGAAAAAGATTCAACTCTGCCGAACAATTTGTATTCCTTGTGCGAACATGGTAAGGCCTAGTCATTTTTTTACTACAGAAAACTTTAATAATTTAATGATAATTCCAGTGGTCTGAAAGCGTAAGGCAACTTGTCTAGAAATTAATGTCATGAAAAAATTGTGCTTGTGGATTATGTGATAGTAAATTAAATTGCTGCTGCTGTAAAGGCGAATTTCATACGTGTTCGTAGAGGAAAATTTGGGAGACGAAGACCGTACTTTTAGGTGTCTGGCCTCCGGACGAGGGAATGTGGCGTTCATTAATTGGAACACGGTGACAAGTAACACAGGTAAATTATAAAAATACTCATAGAACGGTTATTTCGTCTCACCTGATGAAGTAAAATTATGAGTCGAGTGTACGCAGCAGAGAATCTTAACCTAGACTCACTTTTAGTTGGCCTGAACAGCTCAGATTTTAGAACACTCTGCTTGGATGAATCCATGGACGACGGTGAACCTTGTTTCTTGGCTTGCACGGCATTCAACACGGTAAACTGTTAAACTAACCACTTTTAACACTTGTCGAAGAATGATAAAATACATAAGAGTATTTCTTTGACGTTCAGGTTATGGTACACGAAAATATTTCGGAAACCCAACGTGAGGAATTGTACTTCATGTTCCTCGAAATAGATTTACTCTTCGGAAGAAACTACAAGGGGCAAACTCCAGCCTTTTCGTTATATGGGAAGTACGAAGAGAAGAGCAACATCCTGTTTTCGGTGAGTTGCAAGAAATATTGCATATTAAAGTCAGAAGAATTTAGACGTTTATAAATTAGGGATTAAATTGTAATGTCACAGCGACAGTCATCAGCTCTGTCCAGGCCTTGAATTTCCTCATCATACATATCGTCTTTTGTGCATCCATAATAAATCCATCCCTCATGGCACATCGCCCAGGGGAAATGCAGGGACTTGAAAAGAACAGCCGATTCCCCTGAACTGTTCAACGCAACAGCTCCTATTTGGGCTTCGAACGTCTCATTTTCAAAGTCATCTAATTCCAATTTTAAACCATCTTCAGGACTTTTTACTTTGGCCATTCTTTTCACGATTCGACGTGCCGGTGCATAAGTATAGATTGCTTTGTCGGGGCCGGACACAGAAGTGCAGCCAGTTTTGTCTGCGAAGATCCCACAGCCAGGTACAGTTCCAATTGCACTTATCGTTCCAGTGGTTTTCCTCGGCTCTCCTGCTGTCGAAGTGCCAGTCGCCAAGTGTCCATTTCTATCGAAGGACACTGCTCCTACGGCACTGACCTTGCACAAGTAGAGAACAATCAATTCAGTAATGAGGTAACCTTTAAATCTCATCATGTCTGGACAGGTACCTGAAGAACCGTGGGCTCCAGTCTCTGTCTTCTCTCAACCACCAACTCTTCCTGTCTCCGTTGCTCTTCTTCGTCAGTCAATCTCCTCGTAACATACCAAGGAAGTTTCACTCTTCTCGTTTTCTCATCAAGGCTTACTTCTTCCTCCTTTTCATCCAGATTGTAATTCTCTGGATCATACAGTGGTTTCCTGGAACTACTTCCTTTGTCCTCTTCCTCTTCGTGATCTCCGGTCTCAAAGATTGTAGATTCTTTCGGCGTAACTTCGGGCAAAAACCAACCTGGTTGTAAAGTTGGGATTCCAGAGTCCAGGGCAAACTTTTGTGCGCCCTTTTCCACTAGAAGAATGTGACTAGTCTTCTGCAAAACTATTTTTGCTAGAGAAATTGGGTGTTCTATGTCTCTGACAGCTCCTACGCAGCCTGCGTTCGACTCGTCGTTCATTATCCCCGCGTCAGTTACTACTTCTCCATTCGCATCTAACGATCCTCCTTTGGCACAGTTGAAGAGTCTTTTGCTCTCCATATGGCAAATTGCTGTCTCGATCGCGTCCAATGACGACCCACCTTTTGCCAAGTTTTTGTACGCCTTTATTGCCGCGTCCCTAACCTCAATCATCATGTAATTTCTTTCGTTTAGAGGAATGCTGCCGGCTCCGCCGTGCACGATTATTACGGGATGCTTAAATTGCTTTTCCCTGTCATTGTTCGAAGTCTTGGTTTCCACTCCGACTGAAATTTTTGCCTGAATCTTGTTTACCCAGGAACAATATTCGCACGTCATTGTCAAAACGTTTTATCTTCTCTATCCGTATGTTTGAATTTATAATAGTCTTTTACAAAGGCCTTTATAGTGGTTTTACTTCACTGTTTCTATTCCTTACTAAGGATTTTTAATTTTTTTTTTGTTTACAATGTTGCATGCACACTGAAGTACTACTCTTTTCAAAATACTTGACAGAGTTCGCTCTCAATATTCTGAACTAGTTCGACGTGATATTATTTGGGAGAATGTCAAGTGGCAATTATTTTTCGAATTTCTCGTAATTTGTTTTTAGGAGAAGACACAACGTCTACAGAAAGACATCAGTCACATGCATCGTGCTAAAAGATACAGTGAAATAGTGGACGACTTACTTCGTGACGTTCCTTGCAGTACTGCGAGTCTGGTGCATCCTTACATTTGCCAAATATTGCCATTTATGTTAACGCTGTTATTCTACAGATGCTTCCACTCTTAAAATAGATTATTCTTTATAATCTTACACACTCCGAGTGACAGTTGAAGGGATCTGAAGACCTGTACTTTAATAGTTGTGTAGTTTTTTTATACGTTGTTATTGTACTATGTATGAACAGAAAGAATATTTTGTGTACATGAACCGTAGTCGATTACTTGCAACGTAACTTCATTTTCCAACTATTTTGTATAACCTTAATTATAAATTATGTATGTTTAATAGTACGATCACTTAAGTGGACGGACTAGTTATCAGTAATGGGCACTTCGGACGAGTTTAAAAAGTACAATTGCTCTCTGGTGTATATCAGAGTCCAAGAAAAGATTCTTATTAATTTCTAGAAACATCAAGTCAGTGCATCGTGACGATTATTAATTGGACCCATTAGTGAACAGGTTACTGACACACTCTATTAATAAACAAGACTCATGGACAAGTTTCCTGGGATACAGTACGAGATCACGAGATTCCATTAAGGAACCTCAATTATTAACGGCAGGGAAATTATGAACAATTCTTGGAACTGTCCAGTCTTGGTCACTGATATTCGGCAGATTCATCTTTAATCGATAAATTGACTAGTTTCGATAATTATTTTCGTTTCAGATATCCTTAATGGATACGATGCAACCGGAATTACGTGTAATATTTTTCTTCTCGATTTTTTTATTATAAAATCGACACGTATCGCAAAAACGTGTTCAATTCTTGTCGGAGGTCTTTCCTTCGAGAGTGACAAAAGTCTTTGTTCAGTTTGTGGATCTCCACGTTTCCAGTTTCTGTGCCTAGAGCCTGGAAGACGTTAACATTTTGTTATTAATTTGAAAGTTCACAATGTTGATTCAGTTTCTTTTTTTTATTTACCATATATTGATTCGTCATATCGCGATCGCATTTGCAGGGAGATAAAGTCATGCTGCACACATGTCCCCATGTTTTTGTGGATATGGTGAACATTGGATAAATATCGCTGCTACTTAAATCCCATACGTGAATTCTAAAATGATTATGAACATGTAATTACAGTATCGATGATTTTTACACCGTGAAGGAAAATTATTATACGCATTTTTTTTAGACAGCTCGTGATTATGGACTATTTCATATCACCTTAATATCGTACTTACTTGGATTCATTGTCTAGAATGTACACAGTGAATGGTTTAGTCTTCGACCACTGTAGAGACTTCACCGAGGCTGCACAGTTCTCATCCTTTAATTGCAAAAGTGGCCTCTCGGCATGCAGTGAATGCAGTCGAATTGCACCATCATCGCAGCCAACCTTATAAAAGAAATAAGTACTCAGCATTAATACATTGCATTTCAGGGTGAATTACTTAATAACATTCGTATAAGTGTTTGAAATAATTCCAAGACTTGAATTTCACATCGCAGCTTACCAGGAAATAAGACTGTTCGAAAGGACACCTTTCAATGCACGTCACTCCACCACACTGGTCTGGAATATAAAAAGCATGAAATAATTTGTTGCTTGTCTTTCCATTGTTAATTAACTTGACAAGTTTGAGAATTATTAGCACAAGTAATCTACCCATTTCACGTGCTTTATACACCGGAGGGGAAGTTTTAGTTCCAACGCAGGTGGCATGCATAATGTTAGTCGAGTTTGTACCGATGTAAAGATTATTCGGACTGATGCTGTCAACTTGCATGTCGACGAATCCGTTAAGGTAACTTTTTCTAAACACAGAATACGCATTAGGGAGTTAAATGTTAATTAAACGTTTTCTCTAGCCCTCTAATTTACTTATAATTAATGTTTGCCTTACATTTTGGTTTTTCTTGATCCCAGAGAAATTTCTTGACTCTTCGTGAGCTTCACATTTCCCCAATATGACAATCCCAAGTCATTCGTTGCACTGCCTATGTTGCGAAACGTACTCCAGATGATCAAGTAACCATCGCTGTCAAGACTGCATATCTAATTGCACCAAAGAATACAAAATTAACAAATTAATTGTTACCTTCTTACAATTCTATGTGCAGAAATAAGTGATGTATAAAATCCCCAAAAACTGTACCTGAATTGGTACAAATTTATTGTACGATGCTTCGATAGGTTCCTCCTCGATTTTTGACAAAACATGTATTGCAACGATTTCTGACTTGTGGCCGTCAATTTCAGGATTTCCTGCTGTCACATAAGTTGGCGATCGAATTATCCAGTCTGACTCGTTAGCTTTATCCGTAACCTTCCGATGCCACATTTCGTCCTCTTTAAGATCCCACAGACTCATCGAGCTTAACAAAAACAGCCCAATATGTAATAATCATTTAATTTGTTGATATTAAGTAGGAAAAATAATGTAATATATGTAATGACTTTTCTTACCCATCTTGAAGCCCTGCGAAAATGAGATTATAATTTGTTGGATGGAAACAGCATGCCGTAACAGGGCAGGGGGAGTAAAACAGTTTCGTAGGCTTCGAAGGCTCTGACATGTTCCAAAGGCATCCGATGCAGCAGTCGGTTAAGTAATCTTGCTTGTTAGATGTTTCTACTTCCTCGTCAGTCGTGGAATGGATCGAAAGCAATACTTTGTTTAACACTTCTGAGTAATGAATTATTGTAACTGGTCGGCCAGTTAGGAAGGTGACAGAATTCACTGAAAGGTTGACGACACCTTCGCTGAAAGGCAACTCGTGAACATCACTCTGAAGAACATTTCCACCGAGCCTAGTTTCTTCTAGAATTGCCAACATCACTTTCCCGGCGCGCTCCATGAACTCGTTTAATCGGATAATGTCAAAAGATGGTTTTGTAGAATGTAAATTTGATTCTTCGTCACGGTCGTCTCCAACGCCTATTTGTTCCTGTGAAATAAAAAAATGGTACGACTCGATACAACAGACTTTAAGGTATCGATAAGTCAGAATCTGAAAGATATGTCTTTTACCATTTTAAATCGTTTGACATCTTCGTTGTTCTTCAATCTGTTTCTACATTTCACTGGGAATTGCGTCCACTTGTTACTACAATTGATTTCGTCGGTTTGTATCTCTATGTCTAGGTTATCTTCCTTCGTCTGCGTAGACATCTGAATGGTTTACAAGAAAAAGGTTATATCAAGATTAGTAATGTTTAGGTTATTTTATTATATCATACCTGCTGAGTGTTCAGCTTCCCATAAATTCTGATGAACTCTCCATAGGATATCGGTGAACATTCCAGAAGCGACCAGTTTACGGTGTCTAATTTTATCATCTGCAGTAACTCTTTACCACGGCTTAGAGTTACTTGGGATTTCTACATTTAATAATAATTAATAACTGTTAGTACATATTAATCCCTGAATGTCTAATTTATTATTGTAATTCTTTACCTTTATCGGAGACTCCTTTTTCGCCTTTTGGAAATCAATGAATACCACCTGCGACAATGGAGGAGACTTTGCAAAATCTCCAGAGCGATCCTCTTCAAAACCTTCATCCGTTGAGAGAGGTAGGGACTTCGTTTCGGTAGTCGTCTCTTCTCTGTCGCAAGAAACGAAACTAGATGACGTTCTGTTCCAATAATTTTTCAGAAATTTCACCGATACATTACCATTACTTGATTAGTTTTTAATTTTAACTAAATTTTTGCAGACTTTTGATATCTCACTGACATTTCAGAAAAGCTCGTCTAATGTTACTTAACTTTTCTCACGAATAATCACATTACTACTGTTTATTTGGAGCGATTTTATTCATTCTGATATGAGATTTTAGTTATAGCGAACCTATAAGCCTTGTTAACAGGTTGTCTCAATTCAGGTGGCGAAGGAGTCTTTGATTGATTAGCAGTCATCGATTCAACCCTGGCAGCCCTTTTCCTAGCTTCGGCAAGTTCATAATGACCGGAGTCTAACATGTGCTCTTCTTCAGTCTTGCGGCTCTCACCACTGCTGACTACCTTTTTCTGGACATGATTAATAAAATATACTCCATGTTATTCAACATCAATGCTATACTTTAAATGATAAAGCGAAACTCACTTGTTGTTCAGTTCGGAGTTCGATAGGGTCGAGCATTGGAGTGATTCTACTGTTATCCGATGCTTCGCTGACTTCCGATGCTTCGCTGTCGGTGCACTCTTGAAAATCAGATTCATAGTCCTGAAAAATGTGAAATGTTTCCGTAAACAATGTTTCATTTAATTCCATGTTAATAATTAATCTGATAGAATCATTTTTTTCACAGCTGGAGAGCAAAAAATGCAATTAAACCTCGAAATCATCCTCGTATTCGTATTCGCTGTCTGCATTGTTCGATGCGTTGTCAATTTTGGGATTATTTTTAACAGGAAGTGTTGTGCTTGTTGTTTTTCTGACTACGTTGCTTTTATTTGCATTACTGTGTAAAACTTTGACTTCGCTCGGACTGAGAGTTCTAGATTTCCTGCGTTCTTGGGAAGGAAGTCTGTGTCTACTTTCTTTTCCAGTTTCTGTCTTTTTTGGCTCACTTCTCCTTCCTCTGTCTTTAACCTGACTTGACTCTGTATTCTTAACTCTTGTCTCATCGGTAGACTTTGAGCCATATTTACTCGTTTGTGCTTTCGGGATGTAAATGTCACTAGTTCCTCTCTTTTCTGTGTAACCAGTTCGATTCTTTTCTCTAGCTTTACTGCGGTCGACCTCTTTACTAGAAGTGACTTTTCGTATACTCTCTGAATGCGTTCGCGAGGTTGTACTCTTATTTGTCACATGATTAGTAACACGTGGAGATCCCTCGTGAGTGGACCTCGCAGTGGAAGACGTACTATTTCGATGCACGGTTTTGCTCCGAGCAGTAGCATCCCCGATGATGACTTTACTCGGCAGAACTCTGCTCGATGCATTTTGTGAAACTTTTGACGGTCTGTCACCTGCGCCCCGTCGATCTAATACAACTTTTCGTTCTCGAAGCTCTGCCTTTCCCTGTTGCTCGGAACTTGCATCGGTTATGGAACGAGTCCTTGTTTTTATTTGTGTCCTTGACTCGCTGTTAGTCTCAAGGCTTTTCTTAATAGCTCCTTGCTGAAAATATTCACGTTTAGTTTATCAAAATAGGAAAATTAATTGCATTCAATGTACAAGCCTTTTAAAATGTTACATCTATATGGCTGGCAAGTAATTATAAATAAATACGCGTCATGTATACGTGTCTAGAAATGCAAACAAGAAATCCTTGAGTCAGACATGTCAAAGGATCTCATTCGCCGCGTACAAACATTACACAATATACAACGACAGGCTTTGGGCCAAAGTGACGAGATAGTATTTGGCTCTTTATTTATATATATTTATGTAGAAATCATTTAAACTATAGAACTATTTTACCTTCTTAGACATTATGTGGTTAATTGATTTGTTTTGACAGTCGCGAGGACGCCATGATGTCAATCGGGTGAGAAAGTTGCGCTTTCATGCGTGATTTTATGAACCTTCTGCGCATGTTCAAAATGGCGGACCAATAGGAGCGGTTTTCAAGATGGCGCCACATTGAACTGATTTCGAATAGAAATTTAAAATTGAAAAAAATTACAAACTTAATTTGAAAACATTCTTCATTTATCTTACCTACATTATTCAATTGCATGTAATTGTTCTTTGGGTAATCTTTAACATGTGTTTTTAGGTTTCTGACACCTGTCACATTATTGAAACGTCAAAATCGTAGTGCAGTTCTTCCCAGCAAATCGGTCGCTTTATATAAACAGTGTAAATAAATGATATTTAGAGAATGCCACCAACAAATAGGAAAGGGTTGTTAAGGACTGATCGAAGAACAAAATTGCCCAAAAATAATGAGATTAAGTATAATCCTGGTAACTTCGATCGTGACGTGACTCGTCTTCGGAATGAAAACCCGACAGTGTCAGATTTGGTCTATCAGTATTTAGAGAACATTCAAGATATCGATACCAGAAGGATGCAAAGAAGTAGTGCGGGGAGTAGATTTAGAAAAGCACATGTTCGTCGATGTAGGTTTGCAGATTTCCAACCTAGAAAGAATTGGGTACCCGGATTGGGTAGGAATAGAAATCTTGATCGTAGCCACGTGCCAAGGTTTACAAGGTTTCCAAATTTACCAACGGAATGGCTGATCGAATCTAGTCTGCTTAGAGGAAACGGTTCTTCGAGGGAATCCATACTAAAATATGGAAAAGTTGTCGAAGAAGGTATCGACCTACGATGACAAATACATACTCTCATGTATAAATCTTATATGCTTCGGTATAAATAATATTTAATATTGAATGTAAAGATATTTTTAATGTAGGGAGGAAAATGGCAAGAAGATATGTTCGTAAAGCGGTGTCGTTTGGCATCCAAGCTGGTTACTTATTGCCACGAGATGAAAAAGGTGAAACTCTACACGTCTCCTCGGATTTAGGTCCTTTCAGAGTCAGAAGGAAGAAACCTGCCAAAAGCACTGAAAGTTCAATTCATAAAGATCTAGTGCCTGCGATTCCAAAAAGAAGAAGGGAAAGGATTTTACATCCTTTAAAAAATGTGCGAAGGTGTAAACACAACGGCAAGCAGAAGCAATTAAAAAATGCAACGTGATCTTAAATAATTCTAATCGTCTTGTTCAGAAGAATCATGAAAGTATTATCAATCTTGTGACATACATTATTGTGAGTCATGAGGGACGTTTTAAAAATTTTCTTTGTGATAGTTATTGAATAATTGTAATGTATCTATTATTCAATTATAACACTTTCAAGCTATTCACATTAACATGACGTAATGCAGATCACAAGGCAGGCTTCTTAGTTCGTCTCCGAGATTCCAGAATCCATTGTTTAAGGTAAGAACTATCTTTTCCTAACCCTGCGTTCATTTCCCTAAACCTCGATCTAGTGACAGGAATCTTTCTATTCTGGTTTCCGTTCATTCTGCACGTAGAACAGAAATCCTTTCCAGAAGTGTTTCTCTTTCGCAGTGCATAATTATTTTTATTTATCCTGCAACTTGGTCGTCTTCTGAGAGTTTCTTTAACATTTTCGGTTCCAGGATTGTCCTCTACCCCAGGTTGATTGTCTTCGAATTTTCCCTTGATTATTCTTGGGTCATCGCTTCCTCCTGTCAGTCTCCTCGCTGCACAATTTTCCTGCCTGCAAATTTCTGGATTCCTTCGACAACAATTACAGACACCTAGTGGAGGATCTACGTTCCTTATACGTCGACTTTCCTGAGTAGAATGTCTAGAACGATTCTGCATATCAACTCTTCGCTCTACATTTTCAACGTGTCGATTTCCTGAAGAATGTGCAGAATGATTCTGCATCTCAATATTGACACTCGGAGCGGAACCTTGACTTGTCAATATTCTTTTCGTAGTAATATTGTTCCTCTCTGCGAGAATTTCAGAGGTAGGAGATGTAATCGAAGGAAGAGGTTCCTGTCGATAATGTCCTTCAGATATTCTGCTCGATGTCATATCTCTACGTGTCCTGAGATATCTTCCTGCACGTTTCGGTGTCCTTTGAGAGAAACAACTAGTACACCGTTTTCTTTTTCCAGGTTTTGGAGTATTCCTCGAATGCATTGTCTCGTTAGAATTTTTCATATCGATGTCCTTCGTCAAATTTGCAAATGGTCCCACCATGTAATACTCATCGAAACCAATTTCAAGGACGAATCTGTTGAACAGTTCGGAGAAAAGTTTCATAAATGAGACCTCTTTGACGCCACTTTGACATAACCTTAATTTAACTATTAATTATTAGATTATCATTTAAATATTTTCACTGACCCTTGATTGCAGGTCTGCGATAATGCAGTTCGCACCTGAGCGTAAATGTCTCCGTCGTCGTCGTAATTACTCTCAATGTAATTAACGATATCAACGATAGAAGAGCTAGCCAAGGTTTCGTTATCACATCTCTTCTGTAACGAACGCAAAGCTTCCATGACCCTAAGTGAAAATCTTGCGGAATTTTCAACGACGCACTTTTCGGCAGCATCCTGCGAATAATATTTCATTAAGCCTTGGCCATAGATTTAATATTTCGCATTAATTAATATTAAGTACAGAGGTTATCGCGTGTCCTTGGACATTATTTCCTGGAATCCTTGCATTTCCTCCAACATGATTACACGCGCATCTCGAGGTATCTTCACGATTTTCCACGGAAATTCTTCTACTTCCCATATTAATTTCTCCGGAATTATTAATCTCTTTACTCTCCTGCACTTTTCGATACTCTTGATGAGACTCCAAGAAGTCCTCTCTGAGGATGTTATCAATCACCGAATTTATCTGTTCCTCTTCTGACGTTTCCTCGTCCATGATTGATCTTGCAATGCCTTAAATTAAAGAAATTAAATGAATAAATATTATATTTGATATACAAAACCCCCCCAAATATAGTAAAAATACATCCGAGGTTACTCAACCTCTGAAAGCACCAGATCGGACTTCACTCGTCAATTATTTCCACGATTAAATTTCCTAATCGACCTCTTATCACTATTTCCCTCTATCCGTATCATTTAATTCAATTTCTAAGATATCCGTAATTCACGATTTGCAATCAATGTTATATCTTCTCATTTCTTTCTGACGAATTGTTTTCGATTTAAGGACGACCTCGAGGAAGTCGCATAATCCTGGAAGGACATCTTTCATGTCCACCGATATTTATTATATTTTTTATCAACATCATTCTATTATTTTTTTCTAGTATATACAATTACTATTTTTTGACGAATTTTTTTTTCTGTGTCAGGACGACCTCGAGGAAGTAAAGAGTGAACTTCCGTTCGCCATAATCCTGGAAGGATCTTCCACGACCATCGACGCCTTCGGTACCGCCTGTACCTTGCCACGTAACTCTTGCGATACCGTATTCGCGTGTAGGCGGGATTTAAAAGGAAGGAAAAGGAAAGAAAGGGTGAAAAATAAAAATCCCAGCCGTGCCAGCGCTCCAGTTTCCCTCTTGCGAGCGCTGCGCCTCCAGATAAGAAACTGCGATGTGAAGTTTCGCGAGCGAAGACCGGATAAGAATTATTTCAGAGGGCTGGAGGGGTGCATGCCGTGGTGTATACACCAGGTATGCACCAGGTATGCACCCTGGGAACTGCAAGTCTGGGACAAGCCGTTTCGATGGCGTGTTCGGAAGCAAAAACACCCTAAATTATTAACAGCGACCACATCACGGCTTTGAGTACTGCTCATCCTTCGAGTGGGTGGGTGGGTGGGTGGTTCGTTCTTTTTAATTTATTTTGCTTAATTACCTACTGTCAATTATTTGTTATAAAAATATCCGAGTAGAGCAAGACGCGTTGCGAATTCATATCGACACTTTAGGAGGAAATATTGTCTTGATATAAGATTATGACACTTCGAGTGGGTGGGTGGGTGGGTGGTTCGTCCTTTTTAATTTATTCTGCTCAGTTAACCACTGTCAATTATTTGTTATAAAAATATACGAGCAGAGCAAGACGCGTTGGGAATTAATATCAACTTTATAAGACGAAATATGTCCTGATATAAGATTTCTATATTCTCGATATAACATTGCGCAGACAATGAAAGATATATTAAAATTGGCAAGTTTAATTCTAATTTGTTAAAGTTTAACCTTGTTTTCAAAAACTTTTCTTTTTTCCTTGATACGAAATTTGAGAGTACTGCATGTTATAGTGAATATATAAATTAAATGTTATACAATAAGTCATGTCGGAAATAGAGAAGTGCTGAGAAAAATGGATAAAAAATCGCAGAATTGTTTTTAACAATGCACTCGTGGGGTTGGAGTCGGATTGGAGTTTCTTGGGGCGAGATTGGGCGGGGAAAAGAATCGTATCAAGTCGGGGGAGGATAGAATGGTTTAATCGGGGCCTTTTGTTCGTGGCAAAGGTGGGGGAGCACCCCTCGTGACGACTTGATGAGATAACTTTGCCCAAGTTGTGATAAGGCGCTCGTAATTCCTGACTTTGGACGAACGCGAGTAAACGGACACGCGACCACCGCACCTTGTACTGTCATTTCGAGGTGTACATGCCCCCATCTTTCCTCCCGTAATGTAAGTAATGCAACGTGCGATCGACACGCGTAAGTGACCTAAGACAAGAAGGGGCAAAGATTTTATTATTTAGCAAAGATTACAAGCAAATATTTAGAAATTATTCCATGGTGTACAAGAGAAGTCTTATAGTGAAAATCGACTAATGAAGTGTCCGATAATAATCGTGAAGTAAAATATATATATTTATTATATGTTTATAAATTATTGAAACTAAACATGTCATTGAGATATTCAGCAAAGATTACAAGCAAATATTTAGAAATTATTCCAGGGTGTACAAGAGAAGTCGTATAGTGAGAATCGACTAGTGCGTGATCCTAGTTTCCAGGACAGCGATTAGAGCGATTACCACTAGCTGTTAGGTCGCGAAAGATCGGGGGTGGCGAAAGGGGTTGGGGGCGGTCAGAGCTCAGGGGGTCACGAGACATGATGTCACGTTACCTGGCCGCGACAGGTGTCGGTTCCCACGCCCTGCCCCCCCTCGGGGGGCGATCCTCCACCCCCGTAACAGGTAAATATCGCGAATCTAACAACACTCTCTATAGACGCAGGCGATACGCCATATCTAGCTGGAATTAGCACAATTACACCTGGAGATAGGAAGCTCCGAAAAAGAAAAAAAAAATGATCTTCCCTGGAACTGTACAAAAATGAAAAATCATATCCTGCGGATAAACAAAATAACAATACACATGCGTGAAATAATTGTAAACGCTATACATCATTATAAAAAAAAATTTGCGATGGCCAGAATAATGTATTTTAATATAATAAGTACATAAATTAAATCATTTATACGCGACATGTTATAAGAAAAATTTCTGGCGGAAAAAATTTGTTTTTAACATTAAGAAAAAAATGGGTGAAATTCTTTTTAACAGGGGATCTTGAAGTTTGTGCGTTTAAGACTCATAAATTAGAGCTTAGAGTCGAGAGAAATGATTTTAATAGTTTTTAGATGTAATTTGTCATTTGTTAAATCCATATTTGTTGTTAACTGGCTTTATATTTGACATGTTAATGGAGCCGATATTCGGATTGCGATCCCGGGTTGAATTATCGTCCTGGCTATGTAAAAGATTAAGTGACCCCATATTTAATAGGAAATATTAACCCCCCTCCGGGGGGAGGGGGGGAATATTCCAGTCGTGTCATATGGCAATAATCTCACGTACCTGTAATTATACTCCACAAGGTATAAGACTTCCTACATAAACAATTTGCAGAACAAACGATACGATCAGCTGGGAATGCTTGTACAAATGATATCGTCGATTTTTGAAAGCAATGAATAATTAGCCTTTACAATATCAATACATCATTATACTTATCATCATTAAGAGCGTCGACTGATAAGCCAGTCGTTACTTACAATTATACTTATATTATCGACACTTATACGCTAGGTTTAAAAAAAGATGATGATTACAATGTATTTTCTTTTTTCGAGTCTATTCATTGTTCAGGGTGATTTAATTTAAATTCAATGTACGCGTTTACACCTTACGTTGAATTAGTGCCTGGTGAAGTACATACATATCTCTTTTTGACGTGATCTATGACTCCCAGGAAGTACGTAGGAATTATTTATGTACCTTCCTCGTCGGGGCTAATTACAAGCCAAAGCATCGATGAACCGGCTAACAGTTTGCTATTTAATGTACCTCGTAATAATTACAGCTGCATTAAACATTCCGGGGGTGGTAATTTCAAAGTGTCCGTGGTGTCAGCTGCGGTCTGTCCCAGAACATTAAAAGCACGTAGCAAGTCGGTTTGCAAGTGTAACTCACGTCTACGTATGTGTAAGATGTACTTAACCCGCCGCCATGTTGGATGGACTTTCAGGTGTCGGTTTGCCCTCCAAATGAATTAATAAAACGTTATTAACGAAAAGATTTCCACTCTAGCTTGTTACGCTTTAAAAGATCGTCTTCGAGTTGATAAAGATGCGATATTAAGCCGATAAGTTTAACTGCAAGTGTAACTCACGTCTATATATGTGTAAAATATACTTAACTCGCCGCCATGTTGGATGGACTTTCAGGTGTCGGTTTGCCCTCCAAATAAATTAATAAAACGTTATTAACGACAAGATTCCCACTCTAGCTTGTTACGCTTTAAAAGATCGTCTTCGAGTTGATAAAGATGCGATATTAAGCCGATAAGTTTAACTGCAAGTGTAACTCACGTCTATATATGTGTAAAATATTTTTAACCCGCCGCCATGTTGGATGGACTTTCCGGTGTCGGTTTGCCCTCCAAATGAATTAATAAAACGTTATTAACGACAAGATTCCCACTCTAGCTCGTTACGGTTTAAGACATCGTCTTCGAGTTGATAAATATAAAATCGTTAAAGAAGAAGTGACACGTGTAAAATGTGTTTAAGGTGAAGTGAAACACATCGAGGAAATGCGAGTTTCTCGATTACCAGAGTGTCTTAAATTGTCGGACAATTGTCCTGACACTTCCGTTTCTCATATCAGGGCCTTTAATAATTTTATATCGATCGAAATATCGGAGCTGGCGCCATACCGATAGGGGTGGGAGATCATATTGTCAAGTGATAAGGTCGCGATAAGGGGATTGGTCAAGCTGGACGAATCAAGGGCGGTTCGTTGGGGTGATTTCGAAAGGGCGCATGCGCGGAGGGGCGGACGCAACCCCTTCGTCGTCCAATGTCTCTTCTCTGATAAGGGCGCATGTAATATTAACCAGAGTGATAGCATGTCCATGTAGCTCGAGGAATATTCCCGCGAATTACTCAAGAAGTCGAGGAAGTGCCTCGCAAGCTCGTCCGGGAAGTTCCGGAAGTTGAAAGTGCCGTAAAAAAAAAAAACAAAAAACAATTATAAATAATTTTAAGCTTTGGAGAGGATCATGTAAAAACCCGGGTATAAATGTCAAGTGGAGAAAATGATTAAGTATTTTGTGGAATGCATTCGGTTATCTTTTTATTAGTTTTGACATTTAATTTGTAGGGTTTCTTTTTTTTTTGGAGTTAAATAAGTTTGAGGTGGGAAAATGTCTTGTGATTCGTTGAGGGGTGGTTCAATGGTTTTTCATTTGGAAAGGGAGTAGAGTTCACGGGTTTGGGGAATTTTATTAAGTATAGTGTCTTGCGAATGGTGGAAATTTTAAAAAAGTAGGCTTTTGGGAGCATGGGCTCTCGTGCACATGTGAGACCTGTGTGCGCCGAAAGTGCAATGACAAGTGCATTTTCGGCCCTGCATCTTCTAAGGAGTTACAGTCTCCTTGCACCGAGCACAGGTGGGCGTTAATCGTCTAACTAAATTATCATTATTACTTAAATTAACCCTAAGCCGCAATAGTAAGAATATGAAACATTCGTCAATTATGATTAGAGTTTCCTTCCTTTCAATCCAAGAAAATTCGTTGCATTCATTTCCATAAAGAAAAATTAAATAAATTTCGCACAAATGTATGTATGCAATGTGTATGTAATGTATATATATAACGGTTATCATTGCTTCACCATGCTTCACCATATTCCTTAAAAATTTGTGCCGAGTCAGTTCATACGAATGGTCTCGCATTCTCACCACCAAAAACGTTCCGTAGTACCGTGAGCTTCTCACTTTTCACTTTTCACATTTTCGCTCAATTTGCTTTACGTAATAGGCAGGGTTAGGTAAGTAAATATAATACGTACCTAGTTCAAATTAATTCATTGTTTCTTAACATATTTCCGTGTTTACACGTGTGGTAAAAGACGTTTATAGCTTAGTAGGGTGCTTAACTTCGAGTGATCGGTTAGCGCTCATCTGCTGAATGGGTACGTTCACTCAACATGTTTACTGATCGGACCATTCTGATCGCCATTTTCAGCGGAAATCGCAACATGTTCCCAACTCATCGGTAACCGGTTTTCTCCTCCGAATGCACCCATTCTCATGGGGAAAAGTCGAACGCGCCGCGGGAGAATTAGCTGCGTTCAAAGCGCGCGCCGCCACCTGTCGGCCGTCACGAATGATCGATCAAGTCGGCCACGATCTGGAGTGATCTCCCCAGTTTGGTAGATCACTTTCAAGTCCTCCGACAGCCGTGATCGTCTAGTGGTTAGGACCCTACGTTGTGGCCGTAGTAACCCAGGTTCGAATCCTGGTCACGGCAATGCGCCAAGGCACATTGTCACGGCGGAGGAATATTTTTTTTCACATTTTTCTTTCCCCCAACACTTAGCTAAGAAATAATTTTCCCGAAGGGTGGAAAGTCTGCCCCAGTTTCTTAAATAATTTAACGCCGAGATTTTCCCGCTAAAAGCCCGGAATTAAATTTTCCGACTGCTCTAGATCCTGAAGCGCGGAACTGCTGACAGACGGGGGATTATTCGCGTTGTTAAGAATTATTCCAGATTATTTCTAATTGTTAAAGGGTTCATCATATGGCGCTGCAGTTGTTTTAGGAAGGTTTGAACAGTGGCTAAAAGCGAGCTGAATTTTATCTCGCTTACTTTGAAAGTGGAGTGGGGAATCATTTCAATACGTAATCGGTATTCAGTTTCTTGTCTGGAGAATCGGTTCTTTATGTACTTTAGAATAAGTCTTATTTCTTGATTAATTGCGCGAATTATCTAAGATTTCGCGGCCACGTGCGTTCGCGATATCGCGGGGTCAAAGTTTACGCAAGTCGCAATCGGCTAATTTAATTCGAGTGACATGCATAAATAGGTTTAATAAAAAGTCTCTAATAAATGAATTTTAGTCTTTTGAAACATAGAATCATGCAGAGATTTAATTTGTAGAATTTAATTCGTAATTTTTATTTATATAACTTAATTCGTAATTTTAATTTGTAGAATTTAATTCGACTATCACGCGTGAATAGGTTTAATAAAAAGTCTCTAATAAATGAATCTGTCTATTAAAAAATAAAATCACGCACAGAGCGAGAAATGTCGCATTTCAATAAATTCAATCTCGAGTTAACAATTGTAATCTCATGAATTTTACACTAACACGATTTCTCGTCTCGTGAGTCTCTCATTAATAAAATCTAATTGCGGACTTTTTATTTACAGGGGATGTGAGACTATTTAAAAGAGAGCGTATCCACGTGCGTTGGATTTAGAATTGCTTTGCAATAGCCTAACCCTTGGTTAAAATTTTATCATCTTTTACAAAAACGTAATTGCAGGCACTAGAAGGAATTTCCCTTTACGTGAGCCGGCATTTCGTGGCTCTTTTTACGGAGTATGACCGCTTTTTAAATGTCGTAACTCTCATCGAAGCGAGCTCGAGCTTTTACGAGGAAGAGACCGAATATACTCGTGACACCGCTGTCAATTTCCCACGGGCTGGCAGTCACTATTGTGACACCCGGTAACTCTTGTACTTACGTACCGAGTCTTAAGGTAGTCTTTAGAGACGATAAAAGCCACGTGAATTATGATCTCGGGTCGATCGGCCACGCGACGCCAGCCTTGCTCCGAAAACAATTTAACCATTTCACCTCCACCCCCGCCGAAGATTTTACAACAAACTTTAAAATTAATTAACAGTACGTTATAATATGTAAAGCATTGCTATAATTAATTCACCTTAGTCTATTACATTTTTCCTAATTTAAAATCCCATCACTTAAGGTGACACGAAACTGATACATACGTACCAAAAAGTGAAAATATTTATATAAAACTTTTCTCCAAGCTGAGTGCACCGAATTATCTGAAACTTTAACAAGGTGATTACGGAGGCTCTAAAGAATAGCGCGCTGCGCGTGAAATTTCATTTTTTCGAGAAAATAGAAAATATCATTTTTTGCTTCTTCGAGATAAATGAAGAAAATTTCTTCTTTTTTTTTCTCTCGAGAAAAAACGAAATTTCACTTTAGTTTGAAAAAGGATAGGTTAAGATGTTTCATTTCAGTTTATAAATAGTTGTTTAAAGGAGAGAAAAAAAAGAAAATAGAAAAGTACCCCTGGTGGGACTCGAACCCACAATCCCCGGTTTAGGAGACCGATGCCTTATCCATTAGGCCACAGGGGCGGTTTACATGGCGGCGACCCAACATAAAGTCGATCGAAACCCTCGCCACCCCAGAAATAATTGAAAATAACAGCATATGAGCCTTTCCCCGACATCCTTCCGATAATTTCTAACCTACAAAACAACCCAACACCCTCTGAAATGAACCTGTACAAAAAAAACGCGTAGCCCCTCCAAGTTTTGTAAAAAAATCGACGTCCGTTTCCTTTCCAGATTTATGCAGATACGAGCCGTTTCCAGGCCGAGATTACGGATTTGTGGATTCCAAGACATCGGGAAATGATTCCACGGTGGAAGCCTCTTCTCCATTGGCATCGTCATTGACAACTGCCTTCTCTTTGCCAAATTTGCTGCGACCTCCACTCTTGACATCCGTCCCGCCTTTGACGCAGTCTATTAACGTCCCGCAACCCTTCTCGAATACTGCGAATACAGGTTTGGGATTCGTTATTTAAAAATGAGTATTATGTTTCTTAAAAAGTTAAGTGATAATTTATTTAAAACTAGAGTAGTTTATATTAATTTATATAGAAGAAGATAAGACGAGAAAGTATAGCCTCGGTAGCGCAGTAGGCAGCGCGTAAGTCTCATAATCTTAAGGTCGTGAGTTCGATCCTCACCCGGGGCATATTTTTTTTTCCTTAAATTCAAACTTTTTTCCTCTCCTTTTTATCACATATAACTTAAAATCTTACTCACTCATGGATATGTACGCAGAGCTGGGGAACTATTTCAATCGAATTAATTTGAAATAGGTACCTACAATGTAAATTGGCATTTTCTATTTTGTATTTTAAATAAGAATAAAGCACTACTTTACAATTTCTACTTTAAGCAGATTTCCAGAACCGTTTTATCTAGTTTTATGTACACGTATTGGGATGTAAATAACCAGGTTATGCAATGAATAGGAGGACTAGTGAGTCGCCACGTGTTGGGCTCGAGTGGAGTTGCAAGCGTTTCTCAAAGGCGTCCACGAAGCGAGAAAAAGCCCATTCCGGAGGAGCAGAAGGACGAGAAATATTACGAAAGACGGAAGCGGAACAATCAGGCGGCGAAGAAGTCGCGAGACGCGAGAAAAATTCGGGAAGATCACGTGAGTTTGAAATTCGAAGGGCCCGCGTCGGCGGGCATGATCCAAGATGGCCGCCGGCGGTCAGAACCAAGATGGCCGCCTGCGAGCAGATCCAAGATGGCCGCCGGCGCGAGAAGTCTTCGATTCGAAATTCCCGGATTAATTCTTCCGATTTTCAGATCGCCCTTCGAGCGACGATGCTGGAGCACGAAAACGCGATATTGCGAGCGCAAGTCGTTACGCTCAGAGAAGAAGCGCAATCTTTGCGACACATGTTGATAAAGCAACAAAGTCCCAGTCTGCAAGCCATCGATCGGACAAGGCCACTCTCGTCGATAACGGCGGTTGGGTTATCGACGCAGATCCCTAGCACGAGTTTACCTTGTCAAGTGTGACGAGTGTAGATATAAATGGCGCGGCCTTGAATTAATTCAAATTAATTACCGCTCGTCACGATGTAACGCTTCCGTTAAATTATAATTCCCCAACTATTACATCCTTCTCCTAACTTTTCCTCTTTATTTTATGAGGTTAGGTTGTGCACATGCGTCGTAAGGAATTCTCAGTCGGTACGGAAACTAGAGGTTAACTTAATCTGAAATTTCAGTCGTCATGGAAGATTAATATGTAGATAAAATAAATGGGACCCGTTATTTGTAATTTATTGTAACTGTAAATACATTAATATTTGATTGTTTTTCAATGAATACAAGCGAAGATAAGTGAGTTTCACTTCCGCGTCCATTTTATTCTCTTCTAAGTTGTATTTCATTTGACTAGTTTTAATTTCATTATCGAATTGCATGTAATCCGTTGCAGTTGCATTGCGCCGATGACTGTGCCGAGGTCCGAAGGGTATTCAACGCCGGTCGTAGGTGAATCATGTCTTAGTATCTGTAGATAAGACGATGACGAATTATCTCGAATTATCTGTTTCACAGAAATGCGAAACAGGCGCGGAGCCGTCGACGCAGCATGGAGGGGAGCAGTGCCGGCGCAAGAAAAGGTTCCATAAGACCCTACTCTATTATTTCCAAACATGACCAAAGGATTTCCAATCCAAGCGTCAAATTAGTCCTTGAAAATATTGACGTGTTTACGTACGCCCTAAAGGACATTTATAACCTCGCGGATACATATGTCGTGCATCTGCGGCGTCCGCCATATTGAAAACCAGATTTATTGATATTATAGGATTTTACTACGGCAAACCACATGGTGTACGTAATATATGTGAGAAATTTCGAGATTAGCAATTGGCTGCCGCAGTTACTCGATAATTAACAGTTGATTACGGATTTTCCCGCACATGGGGAGGCGCCATGAGGCGGGCCGCCATTTTGTCGGCGAGGAGCCGGCCCTGGGCCGAAAGTCCAGAAGAAGGGAGGCTCGGCTCGGATCAGTGGGCCGCCATGTTTTTTACCAAGTGGGGTGTGTAGCGCGAAGGCCGGGGTGGAAATCATCTCTCGGGACATGCAGGTAACGTCGATTCGACGCAATTTATCGGGCGAAGGGTGCAGGGTCGATGGACGGTCGCCGACGGGCCGGGCGTCGCGACGAAGGGCGTCGTTTCCATGTCGCTTAGAGGACCGGGTCTCGGACCTCGCGAGATCGGGATTAGCATCGACCTGCAAGGTTACTCGCAGTTTCGGGGCCGAAGGTCGCGGCTCTGGCGGCTGACACGGTGCGTATCGGCCGCTGACAATACCTGGCTCGTCATCGGCCCTTCGGGGTTTATCTCTCTACCTGGGTCGGTCATTGCTAACTGTACTTTTAATGACCCTCCCCTTCCGGCGGACTCGGCGCTCCTCCTGGACGAACGGTACGAGCTGTTCAGTGTCTTCTAGGTACTCTGGGGTGTACGTCGGTCCTAGAGCTTCGCTTGGAGTACCGACGTCTTCCTTGCGCTTTGGAGGTTAATTCCGAACTTGCGTCATCTTCTCTGGATCCTGCCTCGAGATATTTAATAACCATTCGATCGTTGTATTTGCAGTACGGAGGTGCGACTGAGGATTGTTTTGTTCTCGTACTCAGCGATGGAAAGGTTTCGGTGTTGGCAGTGGTCTGGAGTACCATCGAGCAAGGTTATTCTATGTTTTGTATCTTCTTACGAGATGTCGAAGGGTGTCTTCGTTAATTTGACTTACTCGGATTTAGAGATGAGTTTGGGGATTTGGATTTCAAGTTGAAGGTATTGACCCTCGTTCTGGACAAACGGTATGAGTTATTCAGGGTCTTCTAGAAACTCCAGGGTAATGTTCTAGAGCTTCATTGGTTTTGATGTTTTGGAGGTTAATTTTGAGGTTGCATCATCCGGTTTAAACATATACCATAATGATACAATAATTGTATTTATAGTTCGGAGGTGTATAAATATTATAATTTTATTCTCACATTCAACAATGGGGTGGTTTTGGTGTTGGCAGGGGTTTGGAACAGTATCGAGTAAGAACGTTCTGTTTTGTCGAATATTGCAGAATTGTCTGTGTCGTGAAATGTACTTTGCGAAGGTTTCAACTTTGTTGCCAAATGCAGCAGATCGGTGTCTTATAATTTTGTAGCTTCGTTTAATTTGGACTAATTCCAATTTGGAAATGAGTCCGAAAATTGGAACTTCAAGGAGCCGTTCCTTCCAGGAAGGACTTGATTTTGGAAATGTTCCAATTGGCTATTTTCTACACATTTTGGAGATACGTCTACATCGTTGGCCATTGAGTGGGATATTTTTGCACGCGCAGGATTTGGACTAGTACCGTTAGTTCCGTATCAGACCAATCTGTACCTTGTTTAGACTAGAATAGTTTTTATCCATATATAGTGATAGGGAAGTTGTTTTCATTGTAACTTCAATTCTTGGCTGTTTTATTTAACTGTACGTGGAATAGCAATAGTTTTATAGGTTTTCACCTCTATGGAGTTATGGTTAAGTGTCGATCGTAATTTTAATTCCAATACTTAAATCATTACGATGTATTAGTACATTTGAATGTAACATTCTTTGTTTCTTTATCGTTTGCAGTGTCAAAATGGGAAGGAGACTATACTTTGTATCCTTCACTAAGGCCTGCCACTCTCGCTACGACAACTCATCTGCCATCCAAGTTAACGAACCCGACGACTCCTAATCGACGGAACCAATTCACTAGCAATACTGCCCGCAACTGGGAATCAATAAGACGCAGTAACCGAATCGAAAAGAACTCAAACTAAGGAAACGGAAACTTTGGAAGGTATTCAGAGGCGTTGGAGTACCCAGCAAGAGGTTGCGACGGTGAAGGGAGGACAATAATACTTATTCATAAATAAGTGAGTTTCCAACAATTTTATAGTATAGTCTGTTTCTAGTATAACCTATTAATGACTTTGAGTGTAAAGAGACGATACTTGTTTTTATCAAAGTTTCCATTTCTAGCATAATCTATAAATATTTTTAAAGGCAAAGAGAAGATGATCACCCCGGAGGCAGAAGAGTCAGCGAGAGTTCGTGGGTCCAGGAAGAGGTTAGCTGCGAGGGAATGAGGAACCCGGCACTGCGTCTGGTCGGGATAGCGGCGTCACCTGGGGGAGGTGGAGCGTTTGGCACACGGGCCGAGGAGGAGTTGCGCCAGTGGCTGGAAGAACGCCTGGACGCATTGGGGATCGACCCAGTTGCGTACTCGCGGTTTGTACTCAGCCTACTGCGCCACCCCGACTCGGCCCCCAGCCCTCCGGGTAAGCCAGTGGCTGCCGGCAGGGGTGGACGTCACGCTCGCCCTGGACCCAGACAGAAGCTGCCCGATCAGGGCCAAAGGGAGCAGCGGCGCACCGTTGTGCAATGCCTAACCAGTGCCGCTGACGAGGTAAATGATAGATGACGCTTGTCGAAACATATATCTAACACTTTCAATATAAAGAATGTACCCCATTTTCACACATCGTCATGTTAAAATGCCATCGACAGAGCTTACCTAACCTCTTTTCTTACTGTCAACGATACTTAATTTTCATTTCTCGTCTCGTTGTATTATTATTGGTAGAGCTATTTTAACCTATTCTTATTGTTAACAATACCTAATTTTCCTTCCTAAATGTCACTCGCAGAGCAGATAATAATCTTGGCACTCTGCGACGCATCTTTGAGGTTAGGTCGCGCTCTTTAGAGGTTAATCCCTCAGGAAAGGGGCTAATATTTTTCGGGGTTGCGTTCAGACGTGCGGGATCGAGCCCCTGGTGGACGAGCTATGTGCGAAGCTGAGGGAGCTCGAGGGCGGAGGCTCGACTGACGACAGGGAAGAATGCAAAACGACGGAGACCGAGCCGAAGCCAACCCTGGAATCCCTCACGCCTCGCGACAGAGCCCTCAGATACTACGCGGCATTCCCGGCCTTGCAACCTGCCACCCCCAAGAAGTTTTCCCAGAGGAAGGACCGGAACCCGGGGAACAACGCTAACAATAGGAACCACGCTAACAACATCAACAACAACAAGAACCACAGCAACAAGATCCGCCACAAGAAAACTAAGATGTCTATTGTAAGTACAGCAGGGAATTGAGTTTAAAGTGAACCTTTTGTATCACCTTAATTAATACTTTCGTTAAATTAACCATCGGATCATTGTTCAGCAGGCCATAGACTCACACCAGCCGGAGGATAAGGAAAGCTACGGCTTCGCCAAGTCGATGGAGCGCGAGCGGGAGAAGGAGCGAGAGATGGAGCTGGACCGGCTGCGCCTGGCGCAGCTCCAGGCGAAGTTCGACGAGAGCCTGGAGGCGCTCTGGGACACCGGGACCGGGAGCACCCTGGACACGGCGTCCATATGGGCGGCCCCGTCTCTCTCGATACCCTCGGGCCCGCTCTGGCCGTCCGACGCCGTCGACGCGGCCTCTTTCTCCCTGCCGGCCTCCGAGGGTGGCGGTGGACGTCCGCCCGAGACGCCTTACCAGGAGTCGATCGTCGACGACTCTCCGCTCATCCCCTGGGACATCGACCTGATCGGCATCGAGGACTTCGCCGAAGGGCCCGGGCCCAAGGACAAGACAGGTGATGCAGACGCGATATGCGTGTCCACCCTGATTATACACGCCCAGGGTTGCTAAACCCGGGAAATTAGAGATCCTAGTGGACATGGTTGAGCCGATTTCTGGAGTTTCGCTTCGATTTCCTTATAATTATTGCACGGAAGCTATTTAATACAATACCCAATATAGTTCGACGCGCCTGTAGATGTAAATACGAAAATCGGTAACGTAGGTATTTAGAAGAATCTTGGTTACCGACGTCGATGAAATCTCTCGACGTGTCTCACTTCACCTTAAATCGTCTCAACCTTGGATCCACGAGTCCTAATTCCAGGATCCTCATGGTCTTGGCTTGTCCGATTGACTACAATTATTTTTTTTTTATTTTCCCTTATCAGACTACAACGTGAGCTGGTCCGAGGCGATCGTGGAGGGTCCATGGTGTTGGCGCGACCTGGGCAGCAACCTGGCTAGCCTAGGGCAGAGTCCACGTGGCGGAGGTGGTTGCCTCTACCCCGCGGGTCCACGAGGAGGAGGCGCGAGTCCCGTGGGGGGCGGCCCCGGGAAGAAGGAGGCCAGGCCTGGCCTTAAGGCGGCCATCCTGCCGGAGCCTGACGAGGACCTCCTCACGTCCGACCGGACCCACTTCCGGCCGATCAAGGACGACGGCCACTGGGCCGACGGGACGACCTTCCCCGTGGACAACGCCCTGGAGAGGGTCGCCTATCGCAGATCCGAGTCCGGCAACCTCTTCTACCTCCCGGGCGGGGAGAGTCCTTACATGGAGTATCGGGGGAACGGGTCCGAGTCGCCCAGGGCCTCTGGAGGGCCCTCGGCTAACCTCACTCTCAAATTCAGGGTGCGTCAGTGCGACAAGTGCGTCCAAACCGAGCCCGTTCGTTCCCCGGTCAAACGCAGAATTCTATCCGAACAGGACCGGATATGCTACCGGTCGGCAGGGCTCGAGGCTCGCCACGTGGAGGCCCCCAAGAAGGACTCCTTCGACCCGGCTCGACCCGGATGGAACGGCCACGCCTTGACCTCGCGCAACGACAGGAAGAGGTGAGGTCGACGGCTGCTCCCCTTCCTGGCTTGCACGCGGAATAGAAAGAGAAATAGATAAAATAGACATTCACCTAACCTCATTCGTTTAAGGTGATATGCAAGGGTCATTCTATATATATAAAACTTCTATATATCTATATATCTATATTTTTACGTTTTGTATATATAGAATGTTTCTTTCATATCATGGATAGCTCGGCCGCGGAGTTTTAATATTTTTTATGTGAATACGATATTCATTTGTTGCTTTGAATGGGAAGGGGGCCATTATAGTGGCGTCTCGTAATTAAAGGGTTATACTACTTAATGGTTTTTAGTTCACATGACCGAACTCCTTTGTTTCGATCGACTAAAGGTTTTTTTTCTCTTTTTTGGTCAAATCGTTTTGTTAAGGTGATATGAAAGGCGCTGAGAAATTGAATCGGGGTGAAATGAAATTCTTATTTGTTGCGTTTTTGGCGGTAGCCATTTTGGATGCTCAACGGGTAACATAAACTGGCGCGCTAAGTTACCGACATTTATATTTACGTTGATGTATGCTACGTTGAGAATGATACGAAACGAACTCCATGTCTCGTTTACGCAGATACGAGGGAGATATCCTCATTCCGTGGTCCTGAATTTTCAGAAGACACAGCAGCAGCGTGAAGTGCCGGCCTATCACCGCCCTACGACCCTTGACCCTGTAATCTCGACCTAGGCGACGTCGGAGCGCTGCAGGGAAAGAAAAATGAAATATAGAAAATGGCGGCCCAGGAGGGTCGCGTTTTATCCACACCGTATGATTTCGTTGTTTCCTTCGACGAGAGAGAGGGAGAGGATGAGAAAGTGGAGTTGGAAGAATCCCGCGACCAAAAAAAAAAGAAGAAGAAGAAAGGGGGGAAAAGTGGAAGACGGAAGATCAAGGACGAAGAGGAGTCGAACGGACGCCGGCGAGGATGCTGAAGTGGGGAAGAAAAAGAAGAAAAATATGAAGAAATTGCGAAAACGCGGATATGCGTGGCGGGGGGGCCCCCTTGGCATGTGGAATTTGTTATGCATGAACCCAAGGAGGCGCTGCTGGCCCCCTTCGTCACTTTTAGCGAGCAGGAGGCAAATTCGAGGACGTGTCGAAGGGCCGGAAGAAGCAATAGGGTTGAAGACTCGGAAGGCCGGACGAAAAAAAGAAACAAAAAAATGATAAAAATATTATAAATCAACGGGAGGGAGGGAGAGACGAATTGTTAACCCTAGAGGAGAGAAGGATGAGGAAGGAAGGTGAACATTGAACGGAGAAAATGTTAGAAAATTGTACAAAAATACGTTCACCACCGGACGAGGCAGAGAAGACGGAACGCAAGGTCTCCCCGAAGAGGTAGAGGGGAGAGCGAAGTAGCACGAGTGAACCTCGTTTTTTTTCCCCAGTTTTTTTTTCTTTTTTTTTTCTATTACTATTGTCGGTTAATTTTATGTAACTTGTTGATTCCTTTTTTTTTTCTCTCTTTTATGAGGAAACGGGAGGAAATTGTACCCCCCCAGTGTCGTGCGGCGTTCAGGGCGCACCTTTTGCCCCTCAAGGTTTTATCCCCACCCCTGTTTATTTCCCCTGTGGCGCTGGGGCTCCGCCAATCCACGCACTCCGTTAGGCGCGCGGTATAACGGAATGTATGTGAGGGAAGGCTTGCGCGTGTTGTATTTCCCATGGGTCGGTGCAGCTCCGCCAATCCACGCGCTCCGTTAGGCGCGCGGCCCAACGGAATGTATGTAAGGGTTGTGGCCGCGCGGTTTTAACTCCATTTCGTTTATTCCCATGGGTCGGTGGAGCTCCGCCAATCCTCGCGCTCCGTTAGGCGCGCGGTATAACGGAATGTATGTGAGGGAAGGCTTGCGCGTGTTGTATTTCCCCTGTGCCGGTGGAGCTCCGCCAATCCACGCGCTCCGTTAGGCGCGCGGCCCAACGGAATGTATCTAAGGGTTGTCACCGCGCGGTTTTAACTCCATTTCGTTTATTCCCATGGGTCGGTGGAGCTCCGCCAATCCACGTGCTCCGTTAGGCGCACGGTATAACGGAATGTATGTGAGGGAAGGCTTGCACGTGTTGTATTTCTCCTGTGTCGGTGGAGCTCCGCCAATCCTCGCGCTCCGTTAGGCGCGCGGCCCAACGGAATGTATGTAAGGGTTGTAGCCGCGCGGTTTTAACTCCATTTCGTTTATTCCCATGGGTCGGTGGAGCGATCCAACGGAATGTACCCTAGGGATGGCCCGCGCAAATGGAGACCCCCGAGGACCCTCGATTAATCCAGCTCACCGAGAGCGGAATCTTGCGAATGTGGTGACCGGATTATTGAGAAAGGAATGCCGAGGGAGGATGATCGGTTGGGGGTTTTTTATCGGTATGCTTTATTTTTACCGGCGGATTTGGCGATCGGTGGATGGGAATTGAGGATGTCGGAGAATGATCACAGTGGAATGTGGAAATATCGAGAGGGTGCTGGTGTCATGTGGTCGGCACGAGAATTGGGCATTGAAGTCTGGAGTTTCTGTAATTTGAGGAATGGATATCAATTTCGGAATTAATGGCGTGTGAATAAAATTCGAGGTGGTGGATTAATGAGTAAACAAGAGCTGAGCGTCTTGTGATCGCGGAATTGTCAATGTCAATGCAGAGACCACGTGTTGTAACATCAATTCGAGGACCACTTGATGGAACGTCAAATTTGAAGACCACGTGGTTGAAACGTCAAATCGATGTCCACGTGGTCGAAACGTCAAATTCGAAGACCACGTGGTTGAAACGTCAAATTCGAAGACCACGTGGTTGAAACGTCAAATTCGATGACCACGTGGTCGAAACGTCAAATTCGATGACCACGTGGTCGAAACGTCAAATCGAAGACCACGTGGTCGAAACGTCAAATCTAAGACCACGTGGTCGGGCCACCCTCTTCCCTGTCGGCCGCGCCGCCGGCCCCTCGGCGAATAATTAACAAGAATTAATTTTAATCTCGTAATCCTCTAATTATAATTTAACACCTCGTAAGAGGGACGACTACGACGACGACTAAGGAGAGTCCCGCCCGTGTCCCCTGTCCCACGTGTCCCTTTCCGCCTGCCCGGAAGTCGGGAGGCGGAAGTCGTTAACCGTTGACCGTTAACGTCGAATGCGTTATCGAGACGAGGAAAGCGTACATTTATCAGAAGGTGTATTTTCGAGGAAAACGTGCGTGCCCCTCGGGAGGAGCCCTCGAGGAGGGGGTCGGACCTGGACCCCCTGCGGAGGCTGCCATCCCCTGCGAGATAACGCGAGATATCGCAAGATATCGCGAGATCGATTAGACTTGCGCGGATGTTTATTTGTCGAAACTGGCGCGAAAGGAGCTGGAAGTATATTACTCTCCGAGTGAAAAGGATGTACGCAGTGGGAGTAACCCAATAAAGGCATTGCAAACAATTCGGCCGACTGTTATTGGTAGAATTTAAGGGGATGTGAAAATCCCTTCCGAGGGCACTCTCCGGCACTCTCTGGCAACTCTGCGGCACTCTCCGGCACTCTCCGGCACTCTCCGGCACTCTCCGGCACTCTGCGGCACTCTGCGGCACTCTGCGGCACTCTTCGGCANTACGAAACCAGAGGGCAGCACAGGATGCGATCACACGATCCTACCCGTAAGCAATCTCCCAACTCAACTCTGTAATTAGCAGGTGCCTGGCGAGGTTTTTTTTTCTTTTTTTTTTCTGGCGATTTCAAAAAGCCCGCCGAAAGTTGGGATGTCGAGTTAACTGCCGGGGAAAAGGTCAAAGCTCGGGCTGAAAGCCGGACGCGATTTTCGCAGGATTTCGAAGAGTCGAGGGCTATTTGCATAAGGACTGAAATATATTTCAGAGTTTATTGAATATCATATTCAGGGTGATAATCCAGAAACTTTGGTGAGTATGTTCATTAATATAACGGGGGGCAACTTTTTCCTGAAATTTCACGATTCTCTCGGTTAACGTATATTGTAAAGTTCGTGCATTGGGAAATAAACATTGAAATTCATGAGGTTCTTGTGCACGAGATAAATGTAATTATGAAATTTACATTCACGAGATAATCTTGAAATTCATATACATGAGATGAAAATCATGAAATTGATATTCAGGCGAAAGTTAATCATGGGATACAAAAATGGAACAAAATAAATTCACGCCTCGTGAGATAAAAATTTAATGATTATCAATGCACACATTAATATGCCGAATTAAATGTCGCCCAACCTTGGCCAGTATTTTGGAATTATTATGAAATGATTAACGTGGCGCGGCTATTTTCGATTTTTTAGAATCTTGATCTGAACGTTGGGGGTGGATGATTACTAGGTATTGCTGGTTGTAAATTAAGCCTAATCGGTTTAACATTTTGCACGGGGACGATGTTTTGACTCGACACCCTGGGTCGATATCGGTACCACCAATACTCGAAAGCCAAGGTTAAACATGCTAGGCCGATTCCCACGAAGATTACGATGAAGACTCCTCCGATGTTTTGGATGCTGATTCCGTCGCTCTGCTCGTCCTGTTTCTCGCATTCCTTCTTCAGAGGGTGTTTGTTCCACCATTTGTCTTTTAACTGCTCCAAACTGCGCTTGTTAAGTAACATCAGAATCCTGGAAAATTGTTAAAAATGTGTCACTGTAAATTATCACCCGTTTAACAAAATATAGATTATTATTAGTTATTAGTAGATAGATAGTAATAGATTAGTATTAGTGTTATAAATTGTCGTACAATTGTCCTGGCACTTTCGTTTCTCATGTGATAATAATCTCAATATTTCTCAAATCATGATAATTGTATATCGAGATGCTAGGTATATATTAAGGTTAAGGGATACTAACGCATTATTAAATTGATCCTTAAGGGGCGAGCCTTGCTGCACGGCGATGGCGTAGGGCTTCCTGGAGAACTCTTCTCCGACCTCGATGAGGTCGCAGTTTACCATGACGAGGTACTTGATGTCCGTCGAGTCCCCGACGAAGGCGAATTCGTCGGAATTATTCCCGATCCTCCTCACCTAGATCGACAGATCAGTTACAATTAGTCCTTCCTTTAAAATCAAAATTAAATCTTAATTAAGAAATATCCTCAAGAAGAATAATATTTGTATAGAAAAAAAAAAATTAAAAACTATCACCATTAATCCTATAATCCCTCATCCCTTTCGAGAAAATTCCAAGATAAAGAATGGGAAATCAAAAGAACTTCTTCGTCCTATATTCATTCTTAATTTTTTCTTTCCTTAAAATCAAAATCGATGTTATTAAGAATTAATATCCATGGCGTACGCGGTTCGCCTAACCGAGTAAGTAAAGAAACGATGAAAGTAGTGGTATTTCATTGGCGATGTCACCATCTCCCACTTATGCTACACCTCACATGTTACAGTGCCAGACTAGAGTCAAGTTCAAGAGGGTCTTCTTTCTCCGCTAATTTTTCCAAGCCCGTTCCCTTGGCAGTGGTTTTACTAAATAGTAGATAGGGACAGAGGAAATCTCGTTAATCCATTAATGGGCGTCACTAATTATATTACGAGGCATTTGGCTAAATGATCCTGTGAAGTATGATTTTAAATAGGCAGTGGTTTCGCTATATAGTAGATAGGGACAGAGGGAATCTCGTTAATCCATTAATGGGCGTCACTAATTATATTACGAGGCATTTGGCTACCTTAAGAGAGTCATACTTATGCCCCTCCATCTTATTTATCTCCTCTGAGGGCGAATCCCTTCTCGAAAAGAAAATCAAGGGAAAATTTCCCCACATTTATCCCGAATTCCTCCAGAAGGAAACTCCAGTCTCGGCCTCGGAAATTAACTTGTAACTTTTTACAAAAATAAAGAAAGGATCCCCACCCGCTCCAGGGCGCTGTCGAGGTCCTTCGGGAACCCGGAGTCCTTCATCGACTGGAACATCTTGGTGTACTTGTCGCTCACAGGATAATCCCAAACGGCCAGCTTGGCTCTTTCCACGTCCGACAAGCTGTCGTTCAAGCTCATGTCCTTCCAGATCCTGGGAACAAGGAGAAGAGCTCGAGAACGATTTTCCACCCCCAGGGGTGGAGGGCGACGGAGGGGGGCTCGAACAATTCCCCTCCCCCCGCCCTCTCTCTGCACTTACCCTAATTTGCAACCACCTACACGCGTTAAGGGATGCAATTACTCGCCCCTTTTTAACCCCTCCTTTCCCTTTCTTCATTTCAACCCCCGCGACGTCTCGCGGTCGTTTCGGAAATTATTCCTTTTCACGATACGACTACGCGAAATGGAGTTATCGCGTCGTTTTGTTGATAGACGAGGGAAGAAGTAGGTGTAGAGAAGGGAGATATTTTGTTTAATGAGTTTCATGGTTCTACGTTATTTAGGGGAATTTTCGGAGAATTTACGTGTCGCAATTCTTTCGGAAATTATTCCCTTTTATGAAACGAATTTTAAATGAAAATGAATCGGAGCTTCTGATAAGGGAATCGTGATAAGGGAGTGATGTTAGGGCGCTAAAAGCTCCTTGGATCGTTTCTCCTCGGAGTTGGATATTTTTTAAATACTTTTTGGACTTTATTTCCTTTCCTTTTGTCCCGGAAGGACGTAAAATGGCGACCGTGCTCCGTTACGGGGTGTTTCGTTAAGAAATTGACGGCCATTAAACGGACCACCTACACTTCGTGGACTCGTAAAACCAGACCTTTCGGCTACGATCGTGGTTTTATATCCGTTTTATAGTGATGGAGAAAAAGAGAATGGAAGGTCCTCTTTTTCTTTATATCTCGGGAAAAGATCGCTTTGATACTTCAGTCTCTTAAAAAATTGCGAATAGGACCTGGAAGGAAAATATTAATCATAAAAATAACTAAAAGTATTTTAAATAGAATTTCAAACGAAAATATTAATAGGAATAAAAATGAAAATCTGTAAGTAGGAGGATACGATGAACTCGATATTTCATTTTACTTTATTTTCAGAGTGAAAACAATTTTTATGGCGTAATGGCTTCGCTTCAATAGTGCTTATCTCGCGAAATCCGGATTTCGGTTCGGCCCGGAAATATCGTATGTACGTTATCAGAGTAATATTAGTACGTATCGATGAGCACGGAAGTAAAGTCCATAGAATCATGAATCGAGAGTCGCGAGTTCTGCGGTGAATGGTCCGAATGGACCATTCTGGGTTTAAATAATCCGTGCAATCTCTATCTGCGGTACAATACCCATGGTACATACCGTACAGCCGGAACCGACAATGCCTGCAGTTATTAATTCATAAATATCCCAAAGTCTCGAGCTATCTCTAAGATCTCGATTTCCCTTGAATAATTCTAAATAAAATGTTCAATCTCTCCATAATAATGGATAAAATGAAGCGGCATGATGAAACCGAAAAAGTAATTGAAGATAAACGAAAGGACATGAAGTGCAATAAAATGAAATAAAATATAACAAATTAAAATATGACGAAGGGGAACGGAATGAAATGGAATGACAGTCCCATGCAAAGGAACGAAACGAAATACAATAAAATGAAATGACAAAAATATGAAATAAAATATGAATCTTAAATTGTCAAGAAAATTCGGCATTTTCACGCGAAAAATACTGAAAAAGAAAAATAAATGAAAATAAAGAGACCATGAACAAAAGACACCACGGGATTCTCAATGCTCATTTTTGACGAGCTAATTATTCAAGAGCATTCCAGTAATTTCTCGCAGATTAATTACAGGGGGAGAATAAATAAAATAATAGAATCACTCTGAAAAGTCGTCCTCGGTTAAAAACAAATCAACAGTTGTCAGGGCGTGCCGGGGATTTCTTTTTCTTCGGGAGTTTCTCATTTTTATTGGGGGAATTCGCGTCGCATGAAATGACGCGCAGGTGCCTAGGGAAAATTCCCCAGGCTTGCAGGTGCCCTAGTTAGATTCATTTGGAGGAAACGCTCGCCAGGGGCGGAGGCGCTCCCCTCTATGTACACATTGCGGGTAAATATAGAAACCTATGTACCTGTATATATTTTTTTTTAAGGAAGTTAATGCACCCGGGTACATGTATGTACCACTCGACGTCAATGTACCGATCTCGCGGTACTCCCAGGGATGTCATTAAAATTTCATCGAGGGCTCGTACCGAGCGGGACCGCGTTACTTCCCTAAGCCTCGACTCGGTGAATCTCTATAAAGCATCCTGATAAAAAAGGAGAAAGATCGAAAAGTCTTGAGCATCCTAAGGCAGAGAGTCGATTCGCGGATTCGAGCCAATTTTGAGATGCGAGCCACTTTTCGAAATATGACTGCTTGCCAATCGAAAAGATTAAATATCCCGCACGAAGAGCGATTTTTTATTCATTTATTTTCTTCGGTTACATTTATGGGGAATATCGTGGCGATTGATTGTTAAGCCGATTATATCACCTGTCAATCGAAAAGAATAAATATCCTGCAGGAAGAGCGATTTTTTATTCATTTATTTCCTTCGGTTACATTTATGGGGAATATCGTGGCGATTGATTGTTAAGCCGATTATATCACCTGTAAATCGAAAAGAATAAATATCCTGCAGGAAGAGCGATTTTTTATTCATTTATTTCCTTCGGTTACATTTATGGGGAATATCGTGGCGATTGATTGTTAAGCCGATTATATCACCTGTAAATCGAAAAGAATAAATATCCTGCAGGAAGAGCGATTTTTTATTCATTTATTTCCTTCGGTTACATTTATGGGGAATATCGTGGCGATTGATTGTTAAGCCGATTATATCACCTGTAAATCGAAAAGAATAAATATCCTGAACGGAGAGCGATTTTTTATTTATTTATTTTTCGGGTAACGTTTATGATTAATATTGATATGAGTATCAATTTATCATTTTAAAAGAGCATAAATCAAGAACTCACTGATATCCAAATTTTCCTCCGACCTCTCACGACTCTAAAAAAAAATGCAAATGAATTTCAGGCCTCTCTCTTATCAATTTATCATTTTAAAAGAGCAAAAATCAAGAACTCACTGATATCCAAATTTTCCTCCGACCTCTTACGACTTTAAAAAAAATGCAAATGAATTTCAGGCCTCTCTCTTATTAATTCATTATTTTAAATAAGCAAAAATCAAGAACTCACTGATATCCAAATTTTCCTCCGACCTCTCACGACTCTAAAAAAAAAAATGCAAATCAATCCCAGGCCTCTCTCTTATCAATTCATTATTTTAAATGAGCAAAATTCAAGAACTCTCTGATATCCAAATTTTCCTCCGACCTCTCACGACTCTAAAAAAAAAATACAAATCAATCCCCGGCCTCTTCCTTATCAATTTATCATTTTAAATGAGCAAAATTCAAGAACTCACTGATACCCAAATTTTCCTCCGACCTCTCACGACTCTAAAAAAAAATGCAAATCAATCCCAGGCCTCTCTCTTATCAATTCATCATTTTAAATGAGCAAAAATCAAGAACTCACTGATATCCAAATTTTCCTCCGACCTCTTACGACTCTAAAAAAAAAATGCAAATCAATCCCAGGCCCCTCTCTTATCAATTCATCATTTTAAATGAGCAAAAGCCAAGAACTCACTGATACCCAAATTTTCCTCCGACCTCTCACGACTCTAAAAAAAAATGCAAATCAATCCCAGGCTCCTCTCTTATCAATTCATCATTTTAAATAAACAAAAGCCAAGAACTCACTAATACCCAAATTTTCCTCCTATCACTCGCGGTCCCGGGATTTAATCCCGTTTGAGTTTCTTCGGATTCCAGGGATTGAGAGACAACCAGAGCGTAAAATCGACTGCTCAATTCCGAAAGCACCGGCTCAAAGACACGCAGATGCATCCTCGGCGGTCCATCGGAAGCTGCGAGCTCTGTCGAGGGGTGCAGATTCGATCGGTGCATCGCACCTCGAGCCTGATAAGGGATGCAGATCGTGCGGCGCATCGGGATGCAACTCGGAGATGAAACGAGATTCCTCTTTTCTCCCTCTCTCTCGCCATACAGCCAGATAGGAGGGAGAAGGAGAGAAAGATCCCGCGAAAAATCGAGAAATTCTCGGCCTCGAATGAGATGAGCTCAGCATCCGAATTGCCTCTTTCGAGCTTCCAGAAAGATATTCGTCCAGTGTAAAACTCGTAAAGTTAATAACGATCGCATACATCGAGGTTAGAATTGAGGAATAGCCGAATCGCTCGATTTTATTGCTGCACTTATGAGTCGTGAAATTTTGAGGGATGCAGTCTCATTCCTTTTTTTTTTTTTTCGTTAACGCTCGGCAAGGATAAAATTGAAAACTGACATTGACGATAAAGAATTCGAAAAATTAATAAGGTTTACAAATATCGCGGTTAAAATTGAAGAATAGCAGATTCACTCGATTTTATTGCTAGTGAAAATGGGTGTGCTTAAAAATTGACGTGGTAGAGAAAATGAAGATGAAAATCGAAGAAAATAATAACTGAGAAGGGTTCAGGGTGAAAATGGATGTGATTAAAAAATGAAAATATAAATTGGGGGTGGAATGAAACGTAAGGGGGGGTTAGAAAAATTGCAGGGTTGGATTCTGCACCCGGGAAGGATCTCCGTTTAAGAAGGAAAATTGATAGATCCCAGAGGGGTTTGGGGCGATTTCGGCTCCTTTCAACTCCGGTATTATCGGAGGCGTAATGGATGGCGAGAAATGGAGTTTCTCCGTATCCTAGAGCCGAGTCGGGAAAATCGAGGAATCCTCCTCCTGTATGAAGGGCATAAAATCGGAATTGTTTCATGCCGAACTGGGCACTCGATGGGATATCGCAAGAGCTCTCCTGACGTATGTACACCTTGGGGCAATAACTTTCTCAGCCAGGTATGGGCTGCCTCTGAGAACGGTTTATACGAGTAAAGGAAACACATGATCCGGGAAAGCATTTCTCTTCTTCCCGTCAACGACTAAAATAACGGCGACGTAATAGTAGGAAGAAGACCGCAAAGAATTCGCCGTTCTCGGGATATCTCGAAAGAGAACGAAGATACGGAAAAATTGTGGTTACAACTCTTGTAGCTAGGTGTAAACTGCCCAACTTTTGTTTTATATACTTTCCGGTAGGACGAGTAATTACCGAGTTATCAATTGAATTTCAGTGACTCGCGATACGAGAATACTAGCTCGATAAGACTGCAGGGACTCGGAGTTTTGTCGATATCTCGCGAACGACTCGCGGCACGGAAAAATCGTAATCACCATTTTTGTAGCTGGATAACAGCTGCGGATCTTTTATTGGAAACATTTTACTCTGGGATGAATAACAACCGAGTTATGCGAGCCCGCGCGAGGCTGGCACGGAACGCTTGCTTTCGCGTGTCGCGCCTCGGTAACTCAGACCGAGTGATAACGAGGCGTGATAACGCTAGTCGGTTCTGAATTATTCATTTTCCTCAATATCGTTGTCACGAGAAATGAGAAGTTCCGGGCTTCGGAGACGATGAGGTGTCCCAGCCTCCTCCAGGTTATCAATCCTTATCTACGGGGTCGAGTTTCCGGCCAATTTGTGCCCCGGATGGGAAACCCCCTGCACTTCCGGTGGCAACTTCCGGCAGTCCAGGAAACCCACCCTTGACCCAGGAAAATTTCCCTTGGGACCAGGAACATTGGAAAGCCATTTGAACGCGGATTAATCATCGCTCCGAAAGAAAGGATCATTTTTTTTCTTCTACCCGTGATAACGAGACACAAATGAGATTACGAGCATTTGTCAAAATAACAGGTGACGCGAGTTATCAATCCTTATCGAGCGAGCTTCCGGTGCGCTTGTACACCGCATTGGAAATCTCTCTGCACTTCCGGTTGCAACTTCCGGAGACCCGGAAAACCCATTTCTGACCCAGGAAAATTTCCCGATGGATTTTGTTTTTTAATCATTTTTTTTTAACGCGATAACGAGAGAAGAGTTAATTTTTTTTTCTAGATACGGAATTGATGTTCTTTTTTTATCCGGCGAATTTTTACATTTCTGATTGTGAGTTTCGACATCTCAGGGAATCTACTTTTAATGTAACGAAATTGTTTATGTCAGTCAAAATGTAGAAAGAAAAAAATAATCCCCAATTAATGCCATCATCCCTTGAGATAAAATCATTTTTTCTTCCGCGCGATAACGAGGCGACAATGAGACAATAGAAAAATTGGCAAAATTACAGGAGCGAGTCGAAAATTTGCCGACACGGGAATCTCTCGGGTCGAATAATCCAGGGATCGGTAAACATTGTTATGCAAATGTTTAATCGACAATGAGAGCGGTTATTTTAATTCGGAGTCCAGAGCCCTCCAGCTCGGCGGATAATTCTGACGAGGCATTTTATCGCACACCAGGTGAAATGCAAATGAATGTGTTTTTTTTTTCTTTTTTTTTCAGTGCAAACGGAAAATTTTCAAGAAAAAAAAATGTTGAAAAAACTCACTCATAGAACCTAGCCTCGATGTCGGCCATCCTCTTGAAGTAGACATAAGCGGCAGAGTTGAAAATAGGCGCGTACTGTATCTTGTACTGTTTGCTGAGGTCATCGAGAGATTCAACTGGAGTATCGAGCCTGGAAACGGTGAGAAAAGCCGCAAGATTTGCCGTGTAGGAGGCGATGATGATGAACCCGAAGAGCCACCAGGTGGCGGCGACGAGTCTCCCGGAAAGATTTTTCGGAGCCTCGCCTCCACCCTGAGGAGTCAGGGAGGTCATGCAAAACCAAAGGCACTCCTTAAGATTGAATTCCCTCTTCTCTTCGTCATCTTTATACTTCTCCCGGTTATTCTGGTAGCTGTATGGCGACCATCGGTCGAAGACCCACATCAGGAAGCTGGTGAAGAAGTACGCAGCCAAGATGCAGAGCCAAACGCTGTTCTCCAGGACCGTCAGGAACTTGAAGAGGGACGTCGGAGCTTTCGGCCTCAGCATCAGGATGCTGATGCCTACCAGGTCGTAGTATGGAACCGTGAAATCGACGACGTTCTCTCTTTCTGCCATCACGCCCAGGGAGGAGAGAGCTATGTCTGCCCTCTTCTCTTTCAGCTCCCTTATCATCCCGTCCCAGTTGCCTTCTTCGTCCATTATCCCGAAACTCTTGTCCTCCACCTCGCGGATCTCGTACTCGAACTTCAGGATCGCCCTGATCTCCTCCAGGAGGTCTATGCAGTATCCCGACCATTCCTCCTTTTCGGGGTCGTAGGAGATGAAGGGAGGCTGGATCACCGTAACTACTCTGTAGCTCGTCACTGCTGTGTGGTTCATCAGCAAACTGGAGTCCAGGATCTTTGTGAAAGAGGGAAAAACTGTTTTTAAGAGTTATTCAGGGTCTTTAGGGGTTTTTTCTCATTTTGGGACGTTTTTACGAGACTGCGTTCTCGACAAGTACATGGGCCTCGGTCCAACTCCATGTCTCTTTACGACAAGCAACGCTCAAATTTCTAATTCGATCTACTCTTTTTTCTCGGATTTTCTTCTATTTTCTTCAAGAAATTGTTCAAAGTTTTAAGGCATATTTGAATATATATGCCATCTCTATGAGACTGCGTCTTCGACAAGTACATGGACCTCGGTCGAACTCCATGTCTCTTTACGACAGGCAACGCTCAAATTTCTAATTCGATCTACTCTTTTTTCTCGGATTTACTTCTATTTTCTTCAAGAAATTGTTCAATGTTTTAAGGCATATTTGAATATATATGCCATCTCTATGAGACTGCGTTCTCGACAAGTACATGGGCCTCGGTCGAACTCCATGTCTCTTTACGACAGGCAACGCTCAAATTTCTAATTCGACCTACTATTTTTCTCGGATTTTCTTCTATTTTCTTCAAGAAATTGTTCAATGTTTTAAGGCATATTTGAATATATATGCCATCTCTATGAGACTGCGACTTCGACAAGTACATGGGCCTCGGTCGAACTCCATGTCTCTTTACGACAGGCAACGCTGAAATTTCTAATTCGATCTACTCTTTTTTCTCGGATTTTCTTCTCTTTTTTTCAAGAAATTATTCAACGTTTTAAGGCATATTTGAATATATATGCCGTCTCTATGAGACTGCGTCTTCGACAAGTACATGGGCCTCGGTCGAACTCCATGTCTCTTTACGACAAGCAACGCTGAAATTTCTAATTCGATCTACTCTTTTCTCGGATTTTCTTTTACCTTTTTATTTTTTATTTTTTTCTAATAATCATTATTTTAAGGTAATATAATGTATCGAAAAAAGTTCCTTGACATCATTTCATTATTTTTAGGGGAAGAAATTAATATCCAGTCTTACGGGATCAAAGTGCAATTTTGTTATGCACTTTTCCTAGATATTTATATGCAAATATCCGGGAGGGGTCAGTTTCGCAAAACAGAAATCGTCAGATTCTGCGCGTGCAATTTCGATACGCGATATGGTTATCTTCGATGTTTCGCACTGATTACATCTTGAAAATATGATACCACGTATATCCAGACCGACTGCGTTTTCAGATCTCATTTCACAGAGTGCAGCGAACTGCAAACGATCTGTAATACGGCGTAATATATTGCGGAAAACATGAAAGGGAATTTCTGAGAAACTACGTAACTAGAAAATGTGCTTAAATCGCGTCTTCGAGTTCTATAAAAATATTGTAAATTTGAAATTCTGGAAAAACTGCGTACTTTTAATTTCTAATTTTAGGGTATCTAATGAAATTAAAAAATGGCCAAATTTTAGCATTTCTACTGAAATCCGAAAATCGTAAAATTTCAGCATTTCTACTGAAATTCGAAAATCGTAAAATTTCAGTATTTCTACTGAAAACCAAAAATCGTCAAATTTCAGCATTTCTGCTGAAATCCGAAAATCGTAAAATTTCAGCATTTCTACTGAAATCCAAAAATCGTAAAATTTCAGCATTTCTACTAAAAATCCAAAAATAGTCAAATTTTAGCATTTCTACTGAAATCCGAAAATCGTCAAATTTCAGCATTTCTACTGAAACCCAAAAATCGTCAAATTTCAGCATTTCGACTGAAACCCAAAAATCGTCAAATTTCAGCATTTCTACTGAAACCCAAAAATCGTCAAATTTAAAAATTCCTAGCAAAGTCCCTAAACCCCTAAATTTCATTATTTCTAATGAAATCCCGAAACTTCAAACGGCAACCAGTCGACCCCAAATCGCAATTAATGGAACCGTCATCATCAGGTTCTCGAGTGAAGTAGATTCTCCATTAGGACATATCTTATCCTCGGTTATCAAACTTGGGTCGACCCGAGTAAAGTTGGTCCACCTCAGATGGAAACTTCTTGGATGGATTCCTCGACTAACCTGAAGAGGAGAATCAATCCCAGCGGCCCAGGTAGCGACGTCGTTGCTGAAGATGGAGGCGCCGTTGCTGATGCCGATCCTGGTAGCATCCATGTTGAAGGTAGCATGATGTTGGCCGTTCCTTCTCCCCCAGGTGAAGCCGACGTAGACGGGGGTGAAGTCGGCACTCTTCGTGGTGGCGTTTAAGGCGGCCAGGAAGTCGAAGTTCCTCCCCGGGGTGCTGTTCCCGTCGTATCGTTCGCAGGTGAGGTGCATCGGCTCCTGGGGCCAGGTGCGATCGGTCAGAGCCTTCTTCATGGTCTGTATGCCCAGGTGAGCCAGGTCGTAGTAGAACGAAGAGGTCAGCAAGGGCTTTGGTAACAAGCCTGTAGACGTCGAAGGAATACATTTTTTATGAAAAATCAAATTTCATGAGTTTCAAGACCTACTTTAGGGCCTCTATGTACACGTGGTGAGATTTGAAATTTAATTTCGCAGATATGTACAATGGCGGACGTGTATGCTTCCCCTGCAGATACGGCATCGCCTGTGCAGGACGGGAGGGCATTGAAGTCTCCCAGTGTACAGGCTGACTCTTTCATGTCATCTTAAATAGAAGCTATTTTCCGTTGTTTAAATTGTCCCTGGTTAAATTGCCGGATTTTATCCACCTGTCTCATAATAAAATTACGACGAACCATTGGCTGTAAGGTGAGAAAGACTCTGCTGGTCAGCTTGGGCCTTCACAGGTGAAAAAAGTACCACGGTGAGGTCCTTGCACTCGCACCTCAGCTGGAAGTTTTCAGCAGTTAAGGCGTACCAGGCGTACTTCCTGCCGACAAATTGCAGACTGTCTGCAGCTTCCAAATACGAGCAGATGGTTTGCTCGGTGCCGAGGATGAAGAAGTTGACGATGTCCAGATTCCGCACCCTGGAGAGCTGCTCCTGTCGGCTCTTCGGGTCGTCCTTCGCCCTGGCGATGGTGTGTCTGAAAGAAGTCGGCAATTCGGTGGAAAAGTTTTCAGACACTGTTAAGCCATCCTGCGCAATTAGAATAACAAGCTGAAAGTAACAATTCAAAGGAACTGCGTCTCGATACATTGGTTTTCCCAACCCTAGTCTTCGACCCCTGATTAACAATAATTCCAATTGATGACTGAAAATTGCAATGAATTGTTAAATAAAAGGTTGCATTTTATCTGCGCGGTTTTAATCACCTGGTGGGAACATTTTGCAGGAGGCTCTTGTACTTATGGTCCATGATGAAGGTCTCGTCGAAGATGATCGCAGCGTTGCTGATGTTCATCGAGAGGGCCAGTTGTCTGATGGCCTCGGGGATCAGGTCTGCAGGGGGCATCACCTGGATCAGGTAAGGTCTCTTGTCTTCCCCCAGGTGTCTCCAGTGTCGCAGGTCGTCTTCTTGTCCGAATTGACCGGACAAAGTGGGCACTTCGACTGCAGAGGTGAAGGAGTTCACCGTGTCTGCACCTAAGCCTACGGTGGAGGTATCCAGGACGAAATCGGGGACTTTCTGGGGTCCATTTTTTAGAGCCGAGTCCCAGGTCGCGCAGATCCTGTCCAGGGTCTGTTTTGGGTCTGATTTGTTAATCTGAACCGAATACACCTCTCCTATCCAGTCCGGATGCTGCTCTTGGGTGATCTTCAGGGCGCTGCTCACGCTCTTGTTGGCTATCTCGTTCGTCTCGTCGTTCACGATAACTAAAATGATAATTTTATCATACATTCCTAATTGTGTCCCACACATTTCCTGGCACTTAACTTAATTTGCCATAGCTTCGTTTATTTATAAAAATTAAGAACGCGAAAACTATGATGGGAAGTCCATTTTTGTCAGTCCTCATTTTTCTTTTTCTTTTCCGGCACAGTGTATCCTTTTTTATCATTTTGAAAAAATTATATATGAAAAGAGCATCTGTTTAGCTTTGCATCGCGGTGTGTGAAAGACCCTGGGAGTTAAACAATTACATAAAATTAATATATTCTTGATAAAAATGATATCATCCGAGAGTGACGAAAAGGAGTACGTGGTACGTTCCAGGATTCAATACTGATATTTAGTTAAACAATTACGCAGGGTTAAAAAATTAGATGAAAAAAGGGGGATATCAGCCGGGAGGGATAAAAAGGTCCTCCCGGAGGGGTGCAACAAGTTGCCCCGAGGGACGCCCCAGGACCCATCCCGTTGTCGAGAATTCAATTCCGTACGAACGAATCCTCCGTCCCTTCCTTCCTTTTTCTTTTTCTTTTTTTTTTCCTGAAATCCTCCCTCCTCCCGGGGACGTTTAAGCCCGGGAAACCGGGACGCCTCTGCATTGTCTGTCCGAGGGGATTTTTTTTTCTCCTTCGGGCATTCCACGAGGGGCCTCAGTCTTTGAGGGGCCGAGAGCGCCGTAAGTAGGTGGAGTGGCTCAAAGTGTTCTCGTTATTCTTTCGAGTTATGGTACCGACACGTCGAGGTAGCTGCACACTCTTATGTGAAAGTTTCCTTGAAAATTTCCGAAAACGTCAGAAGTGCACCCTCCTACCCCGAGAAAAGGAAATCCAAGGAACCGCGGAACACATTTCTTTTAACAATGCCTAAGAAATATTTTAGTACATAGAGGAATTACTTAACTCGCATTAACCCAAATAAATAGGGTGCAAAACTTCGTCGGGATGATGGCAATTTATTTCAGCTCATTTCGGTCAAATTGAATTACCGTAATATTTCATTCGTTCCGTGATTTATTTATTTATTTTTTTCTCTTAGTGTGTACTTGCACGTTATGTGGGAATTACATCGTAATTTCACGTTTTTGTTAGATTAATTTTCATTTTCGAGGCTGATATCGGAAAAATGGGTCAATGTGTTGTCCCTATCCTTTCTAGGTAAGCTTCTATTAAAAAAGAAATTTTTAATATTAAAAAGTGCAGCAATGTGCAGTTTACAGGGATATCACAAGGATGCGCAATGATTTGATGCACCTTGGATGATATCGGTCGAGATAAGTGGCAATGGTCTGTCGCAAAGAGGCCGCTTAAATATTTACCGGGACATGGGGACTAGGGGAAAGTTGCGGGGGAAACTTATTTCCCTAGACGCCGGTCGCACACGCTGGTGGATTTTCACCGGTGCCTTCGGGAGTGCATTTCCCTATGCATGGCCGGATATCTCCCGCGATACCACGCCGGGTCGCTTCCGTTTCCCTATGTATGGTGTTTCCTCGGTCTGCGACCCCATGCAACTCTATGCAACTCTATGCAACTCTATGCAACTCTATGCAGCCCTATGCCATCCTATGCAGAGGTGCATCATCGCTTGCAACTTCGTCAGCCTTGCCATTCCTGTCCACCCCGGGGAATTGACAAGTTTCCGCGAAATTTCATTTTGTTCGAACATTTTCATGAACATCGATTCGCAATAATGTTTGTATGCTAAAATACGGAATTTAATTCAGTTTGAACATCTTCATGAACATCGATTCGCAATAATGTTTGTATGTTAAAATACGGAATTTAATATAGTTTCAACATTTTTATGAACATCGATTCGCAATAATGTTTGTATGTTAAAATACGGAATTTAATTTAGTTTCAACATTTTTATGAACAGCGATTCGCAATAATGCTTGTATGTTAAAATACGGAATTTAATTTAGTTTCAACATTTTTATGAACATCGATTCGCAATAATGTTTGCATGTTAAAATATAGAATTTAATTCCGTTTGAACATCTTCGTGAAAATTGCTATGTAAACATTTTTAAAAAAAGCTCTACACAGTTTCAAAGTGATGATTTATACTAAAAACGGATTTTTGTTTCGTTAAAAAAATCCGCGTCTTCTAAATGAGGCTTTATTATACTAAAAGCGAATTTTTATCTGGTTAAGAAATCCCCCTCTTCGAAGTGGCTTTATTATATTCCAAACGGACCTTAATTACGTTTAAAAAAATCGAATCCCTCGGTGGGATTGCTTTAATTTCCAATTCATCATTATCCTTTTATTTAAATATTCTATTCGCCGGGGAAAATAATATGTTACAGAGGGGCGCAAAAGTTTCCTCGATTCTTGCCAATTTTCGGTTTGCCGAAGAGATTCTGTGCACTCGGGCATTGAAATGGCGCCTAAAAGGGTTTCATTTGAACGTAATCGCGGGAAATGCCGCCGAGACAAAAGGGAGATGATAAACCACGTGGCTTGGTCTTGCCAAAGTCTACAAAAGCCTCGTATATACATCAGTTCCTCTTCGGATACGATTTCAATCTAACCGGAGTCCGGGAAGCCCGGAATTAACCGGGATTTGCGCGAATCCACTTAACGCGAATATTAATCATAAGTGTCTTGGAATCACTCCAAGAATTATTACAAACGTAAGAATAAAAATTCGGCACGGATTTCAGGAGGTAGGCCTCACATTGGAAGTACAAAAAATATAAAATGCCAATCCGGGAACCCCGAAGGCTGCCTAGAATTTTTTCCCCATTTTTCAACGTGTCCATCAAGCTCGGAATAATTAAGATGTAATTATGAAAAATGCTCACCGTTGTAAAATTCCTGCAGTTTCGCGTTTTAAAGGGGCATGTTGTTTTTGGGTGTAATGTCATTTCAAAAGGGCATACAAAATTCAGGACAATGGGGGTGATTTTCTTGCAAGGATTATTACCTCATAAAGGTTCATAAACAATGCAGGAACAATAAGTAAGGGTGAGGGAGGTGAAACTCGAAGTTTGGTATTTTCTCACTTTTGCATTAATTATTTCCTCGCGGATTCTCGCTAAAGATGCAAAAATTCTAAGTAGAGGATAAGGTAGCTGAAATTTATAATTCGGTATTTCTTGAGAGGGCGACTTTTTTATTATTCTCTCAGAAGAGCGCATTGAAAATTCAGGAATAAAAGGTATGTAAATAACATTCATAATCCGATGTTTTTTTAGGGGTTGTTGAATGTCTGAAAAAGTTGCACGTATAATTAATAATGGAAATTAAGCGAAACTCATGATTTTTAATGGGTATTATTTTTCCCATCTCCCTCTGTAATATTCCATATCTATAATATTCTAAGGAGGGAGTTTTAAATATTTATTCTTAACGCCATTTATTTTATCACGTGCAACGAGGGGCGACGTAATCTTAATATTTATCAGTCCCATTTCATTCGTGGCAGATTAACGAGCCAGGTCGCGAAAATGCATTTTTTAGCAAATTTCGCAATGCGATCGGCTTAAAGAATATTCGTGCAAAAATGGCCTCGCTTTTCTTTCGAGGCGAATTATCGTGATTTCTACTTTCAGTAAACGGCTCGCGTTAATCCTAACTATTATCGATGGATATCTTTGGGAAGTTTCCTTTTTTTTCTTTTTCAAGGGTGCAAGGTTTTACACTTTATGCGAACAATGCATGCACTGATAAACATGCATATACAAATTTACATAATCATTGGTCATTTCGATGCCACAATGAACTGCAGTAATTTTTTTTAATTTTTAATTTTAATCGTCTCTGCAATATCATGTTCATTATTGACTATTAATTTTCTAATTTTTCCATCATACGTTCCTTCATTGTCGATTTTTATCAATTCTGCAATTTTGAGTGCAATGAAGTGTCACGTGGGAGACAAAAAAAATGCAGAAAAAAGGATTTTAATTTTGTCTCAGCAATGTTTATTATTGATTATTTAATTTTATAATTTTTCCATCATACGTTCTTTTATTGTCGATTTTTATCAATTCTGCAATTTTTGGATGCAATGAAGTGTCACGTGGGAGACAAAAAAAATGCAAAAAAATGGATTTTAATTTTAATTGTCTCTGCATATCACATTCATTATTGATTATTTAATTTTATAATTTTTCTATCACGTTCCTTTATTGTCGATTTTTATCAATTCTGCAATTTTTGGACGCAGTGAAGTGTCACGTGGGAGAAAAGAAATGCAGAAAAATGGATTTTAATTTCGCTGGTATGGAGGTATTGCAAAAGGTGGAGGGAAATGAAAAAAGGAAAGAGGAGACTGACAGAGAGGGAACATTTTGATCAATCGAGGGGAATGGAAAAGTGACGTCAATTGCGATCCGTACATGCGCGTGTCGTAAAGTTCCTGCAACTTCGACGGTGCATCGATGCACCCTTTCCGAGGGCTCTAAAGTGCAGCCAAAGTGCAGCCAGAGTGCATACAAAGATCCGTAGATTCTGCGGCTCAATCCTGTGATCTTCTGAGCATATATAACAGAGAAAGGGAGGATGAGAAATGGGTAAAAATGGTAAAACGTCAGAGACACTTGCCTTCCGAATCCGGCAGGAATGTCTCCAGAACATGTCTGTTTAAAAAAAGACATGCATTCGTTCATTATTATTATCCATTTTTTTTATCAAATATTTTCCCGAGACATTGAATTTTATATTAATTTCACCTCACCCTAACATGCCCCTGAAATGAATTTATTTCTTTTTTCACATCGATCTCATGACGAATTTTGAATTCCCAATAAGTGTTCACTACATCGAGTGGAAATGTAAGGAACTATTAAGTGTAAATAATTCGATTAAATTCCCTGGTCTAATTACAGGGGGAAAATTGCCTAACCAAGTTAGAGGGAGAGTCGGTATAATTTTTTCACCAACAATTACCGACATAATTCGCCAACGGCGTGTCGTTTAGCCTTGATTACAGAATTTCTCGTGCATAATTAAAAGCACGCTCAGTTATGCCATTTCTCGTAGTTGTCGCGTGATTGTGTCAATGTCGCATGTTCCGCGAAGTCGACACGCGAGGTACTCGAGCCAATGGGAATGCGTCGATAATTCATTTACCAATAAGCGCATATCCACCTTAATAGGCACTCCAACTGGCATAATACATCGCATTATCGCACACGAGGCTCGATAACGTATGAAGTAACCATACGCCCCCGAAGAGAGAAAAGAAAAACGGAAAATTCGATTTTTCCACCCCCGCAATTATTTCCAAGGTCAGGCTTGTTACCCCCGTAACACTATCAAAAAATTCATCTTCGCACTTATTATTGAAAAATAATCTAGAACGTATTGCGTATAGATAATACCCTTAATTTTGTCATTGAATTAACGAAATATTTCCTCGACACTATTAAAAGAAATAATGAAATTTTCTCCCCGAGTAAAAAATCCCTTTCGGTGCGTTATTTAAATCCAGGTGAATGTTTTCACGGATTTATTTATCAGTCGGGTAAACTCGCGGAGGGAAATTTATTTAATAATTAAATGTTTTTTCTTTTTTTTTCTTCCCCGGTAAAGAAATTGCTTTCAGTCATTTAAATCTGGGCAAATGTTTTCGCGGATTTATTTATCACTCGGGGAAAATCTCGGGGAGGAAAAGTTATTTAACGTGTGTCGAGGAGTCGGGAGAAAAATTTGCATACGGAGGGTAATTATTCTCAGGCGCTAATTGGCCCCCGATTACTCGAGGCGCCTCATTTATCAGGCTTTTGATGTTAAGAGACTGCGGAAGGATATTCCGAAAAATGGCCAAGGAACTTGGAATGCCAGGCACGTCCCGAGGAGACTCCCAAAGCCTCGATTTTCTTTCACAATGACCTTGCGCCAAATAAATTTTTATTAACTTTATATTCCCCGAACATCCGCGACACGTGCCGAAAAATTCCTCCCAAGGGAATCCGATTTACCCTCTCCGGATTTTTGCTTCCCAAAAGGGCTCCAAACTTCGGGATTTCATCCGATTCCCTTCTCGAATCGAAATTTCATATCCTGACTCTGCACCACAGAAAAAACTCCGGTTAACTTAAACTCGGTTTAATTGTTAAGGTGATATGAAAGGGTCATACTATATATCGAATGAATTAAAATTTCTTATCCTGAATCTGCACCACAGAAAAACCTCCGGTTAAAAACACCAAAACTCCGGTTAACTTAAACTCGGTTTAATTGTTAAGGTGATATGAAAGGGTCATACTATATATCGAATGAATTAAAATTTCTTATCCTGAATCTGCACCACAGAAAAACCTCCGGTTAAAAACACCAAAACTCCGGTTAACTTAAACTCGGTTTAATTGTTAAGGTGATATGAAAGGGTCATTCTATATATCGAAACATGGAAATATGAAACTTTTCTCCAAACTGACGGATTATGAAGTCCCTAAAGAGGAACACTATGCTCCTGAAATTTCATTTTTTCAATAAAAAATTCTTATTTACCCTAGACCAGGACCAATATCACATTTTTTCGTGAAAAATGAAATTTCAAGATCATCGCGTTCTTCCTTAATTCGGTGCATTCGGTTTGTTGAAATTTGTTATAAACATTTACACGTGTCGTATATATACAGAATCACCCTTTCATACCACCTTAAACCCTGGAATAAATTCATAGTTTTTAATCTTCCCTTAAAAGCAGAGAAAGTAAAAGAAAGAAAATAGCTTAATTTGATATTAAAGAACGTCTCTTGATTTTTTGTTAAATCCCGGAATGATTAAACCGCGTAAGGAATAATACAAGTCTGTAGCCTTCGTTGGAAGTGATAAGCGAAGCTGGGGACTGATAAACGAGCTCATATTCGAGAGGCAGGTCTCATCTCTGGAAACCAGCTCTTCCCTTGTTATCACCTGACAAAATGTCCGCCGAATCGGAATCGAGGTCTTAAGGGAGTCTCGTGAAATCGTAATCCGCTTATTGTTAACGCGAACGCCTGGGATTAAAGGGAGCTCATGACTATTGACAGTGTTAAAAGTACCGATTTTTCATGTATATATACACACACCGAAGTGTCAAAATAATTGTAAAAACTCTTCTCAAAACTGAAACTCACAATTTTGAAACTTTAACACGTGATTATGGAGGTAATAACGAACGTCGTGAAACTCGCGAAATTTCATTCCTCGAAACAAATGTTGTATTTACTCAGGACAAGAACCTGAACAGGGAAGTTTTTTTTGCGAAAAATGAAATCTCGTGAGTTTCAGGACCTTCCTTATGGTCTCCATATTCACGTAATAAAAATTGAAACGATTCGAAACATCGTCGGAGAAAAGTTTCATGATTGACATTTGAGATGCCACTTTAATATCCCCTTAAGGTGATATGAAAGTGGCGTCGAAAAGATCCCGTTTATGAAACTTTTCTCCGAACTGGATATAGCGAAATCGTTAAAAACTACATCATGAACACGTAGGCGATAAAAAAGGTCCTGCCATTCATGAAATTTCAATTGTATATATGTTAAAAATATAATGTTTAAAATATTTGATGAAATATGAAATTTCATGAGTGTCAAGACCTTCCTTATGGTCTCCATATTCACGTTATAAAAATTGAAACTATTCAAAACACTCAGGTCGGAGAAAAGTTTCATGATTGACATTTGAGATGCCACTTTAACATCCCCTTAATTCTTATACTAATTCAAGGTTGAACCTACAAATATTCACTGGTCTAGAGGTCCCGGAGGATGAAGTGCTGGCCTCGTCCTGGGACGTCACCAAGAGTCCTTTCCAATAAAACTGCGCCATCAATTGGATGGTGACAATGAGATAAAAAGATCTCCCCATGGCGTCGGTTCTCCTCCTCTTTGCTTATAATATTTATGCCCTAAAAAGGCTTCCTCGGGGCTCTAATAAATTAATAACTTAATTCCCCCTTTCAGAGGTCCTTAGTGGTTATTAAGAAGGATCCAAAATGGCTTCCGGTCGGTCCACGTAATACTTTAAGGCGCGCCTCCTCAGTCCATCTTCCCTTCTTCAATAATAAAAAATCTGTTAATAAATATTTTCTAGAAAAAATGAAATTTCACGGGTGTCGGGACCTTCCTAACAGTCTAAGTATTCCCCTTGTGAGGTTTGAAGAGATTCGGTACACCCAGTTCGGGGAAAAGTTTCATAAACGAGACCTCTGACGTCACTTTCGCACCCCCTTAAGTCGCAATTAGAACGTGAGAGACGACGAATGTCTGTTTAGAAACCAACTTCTAGAACTTCCTAGACATTTCTAGGATTAACACCGTGCCTGATGATGAAGGATTGGACAACAGGTTTCCACTTTACCGACGCGAGTGGAGTTCTAACCTGCAAGTCCTGGCAGACTAGGGACGACTGAGGACTCACCTGTCCGCAGGTGTCCATTAGTGTTTGGCCCTCTGTTGCCGAGGCGATGACCCAATCAATCGCCAGGTAATCCAGGATATTCCTCTACTGGGCCTCGTAATGTTCTACCAAAGTATTTTCCTACTTATTCTTCCATTTAAGGTGGCATGAAAGTCAAATTTCAGGGGTTAATCGTTCATCACACTTTTCTCCGACCTGGATACACCGAATCGTTCGACATTTTTCCACCTGAACATGGAGGCCCTAAGGGAGGTCTTGACACCCATGAAATTTGATTTTTTAACCGTCAATAAAAAAAAAACAAAAATATGAAATTTCACTAGTGTCGGGACCTTCCTTAGAGCACCCACATACATGTGAGAAAATTTCTAACGATTAGATTCATCCACTTCGGAGAAATGTTTCATAAACGAGAGTTTCATATCGCAAAAATCAAGGATCATTAAACTCCTTCCCTGCAGAGAAAGAAAGTGAACTTTCTATCGAGAAAAAATGGAAAAAGAATATTCGCAAATTTACTTGGCGATTATTCAGGTTTTCGAGGTCAATGAACCCAAATTTCATAATGGAATCTCAAAATTCAAAATGATGGATCTGAAAGTTCAAAGTGAATGGACTTTTTGTGTAAAAAAATGGTGTTATAGGATTTTGGGGTCCTTAAGATAAGGTGCAAGACTCTTTATCAAGAACCAAGGGTGGTTATCTGTAAGGATAAGGAGACTCCATATCGATAAGGACCAAGGGACTTCTTATCGATAAGGAGCTTCTTATCAATAAAGACCAGGGGGGGTTTGTAATAGAGAGGGGACACAACTTCCGCCAAAGTGGGCGGTATATGGACGACAAGTTGGAGGTGAAAACTCGAGTACTATGTACACGAAGTACATATGTACCTCCTACCCCTTCCTCAAAGACATGCCTCGAAGTACATACATGCTCCACGCGTTTATTTACCGCCACCGCAACCGATCGAACCATATTTCATTTAGGTTTCCCGGAAGTTTTCTTCATTCCGCCATGGAATCGACTCAGGTGTCGGAAAACTTCCCTCAGGACGCAGGTGAACAGGTGAACTACGTTTTGCGCCAACCAGGAGTTAAACGTCGCGCCTCGTCTTATGAAATGGAAGCCCTTTCAAATTTCTTCCTCCTTTCATATATTTTTTTTTCTCTCGCAATTCCTCGATCTTACTTCCATACACCTTGTTTTTTAATTAATTAATTCTCTTATCCATTTATTTATTAATTCCTTAGACCGGTACAAGGATAATTTCTTTGGACGGTTCGCATTTTCCGAACATGTATGAATTTCGTCCTCTCAAAATATTGTATATTTAAATATAAACCATATTTCATTTAGGTTTTCTTCATCAGATGGGGGTGAACAAAAATGAAGGAGGGAAAAAGGAGGAGGACTAAAAAGGGGTGAATTAAAAACCACGGAGGAAACGCATGCAGGAAACTCGAGGACACTCGAGATGAGGAAACGGGGAATAACGAATGGAGTTTGATGAACAATCGTCGCAATAAGGGAAACTCGACCTCCTCGTTCGAGATATGCCTCGAGACGGGAAAACTTGAGGAAATGCGGAGGAAAATACCACCGACGAGGAGCAAGCGGAATACGCCGAGAATACAGAGTGGTTGATTTTTCAGAATGCATGTGGAAAAGTGAATGTGACGGCAAATGCAAGAGCGGAAGTGTATGCGGGGTTGTGCGTGCGAGAAATCACATATGAAAGAGTTCACGTGAGGAAGTACACGTGAAAAAGTGCACGTGAGAAAGTACGCATGAAAAAGTGCATGTGACGAAATGCACGTGGGAATGTGCACGTGAGAAAATACGCATAAAAAAGTGTATGCAAGAAAGTGCATGTGAAAAAATACGCATGAAAAAGTACACGTGAGAAAGTACGCATGAAAAAGTGGACGTGAGAAAATGCACATGAAAAATGCACATATGAAAAAATGCACATGAGAACGTAAAAGTGAATATGCAGAACTACAAATAAAAGAATGGGAAGAAAATAAATCCCGAAAATCAATTCTTTCAATATTTAATCAATGGTTTCTTTTATTTTTTTTTTTATTTCGCATATCACTTTTATCGATAGTTTGAAATCCAGGTCGGGCATGATTGGGTTACATCCGGCGATAGAATTTGAGGAAAAATGGATCGGTGGTTTCGAGTGCGGTGAAAACGCCAATAAAGGCGAAATTCGACCGAAATCAAAATATTTGCAACCACGTGGCTATCGAATTTTTCCGTCATTCGAGATATCGCAGGGATTCCGAATCGGAGATCTCACTCACTGAGATAATTCCTCTGACAGATCGGACGGGGCCATTTTCTCGTTTATCAAACAGCTGGCGTTATCGGACAGGCCGCGGCGTTTGTTCGCCGGGGGGAGAAACGGAATCGTTACCGGGAATTAATATCGCGAGGAACACGTCACGTGGAATCGCAAACAGACGTCTAACGAGTATCGATCGTTCTGAAAGGTAAAAAAAATCAATCCACCCTGGAAAATTGATTTTCATCGCCAACTAAAGTATCGCCCTCTACCCCGCGCAGAGAAATTTTCATAAATCTGAATAAAAAACATAATCCAGAGAAATAAATCCATTTCCCAGGAATTCCTACCCATGTGTTATTTTTATTTTATTTTTTTTATTATATTAATTTTACCTACTCCTTAAGGCACTTATCGCGCGAGATGGACGAGAAAAGCCCCCAATAAAAAGGAAATCCCAAAAACCCGGAATTCCCTTCCCGACCTTTAAACCCAGATTTTCAAAATTCCCGCCATCGAGTTATTCCCCTAACCGAGGGAAAGTCTAATCGGAGATGTAAATCCCGATTTCTCTACCGGAGGAAAGTCCGGAAGGTACGAAGAGACACATAAGGAGGGTGAAGCAGTTTCGGAGGTAGATAAAGAAAAAAAAAAAAAAGAAGGGAGGGGAAAGAGAAGAAAAAGAGAAAAAAAGGAAAGGGAAAAAGGAGGTCATGCATTGAATCGCACGTCTTAAAAGCGTCATCGCGGCCGCCGTTGGGGGTGGTGGGTGGGAAAGGGGGGTCGAAAGCGGAAGAGGATGACACATCCGGTGGGCTCTGAGTCCCCGAAAAACTCGGTCAGTAGGTAACTCGAGGCTTAATCGTTAACCTTGGTCGTCTTGGCCGAAAATGCACCCACCTGCACGTCACCTGACGTGCCCGAAACTCGAGAGGAACCGAGAAGGGGGAAGCCTTTAAAAGAAAAGGGATGAAAATTATTACGCCCCCTGAGAAAAATCGATCCCTTTCCTGAAACAAATATACACGGCTGCTCGAATCGTACGTCACTGGGAGAAACAATTGTTTCGTCGAGAAGACAAATTGATTTGACGAAGAAATTCACTTTTTTCTTTTTTATGAAAATTTTACAAGCCGACGGAGAAAAAGGAAAATCAACTCGTGGACAAACTGGGATAGAGATGAAATGAAGAAAATTTCCAGATAGCGACAGACGAAAGGGTGGAAATGAAAAAGGTATTCTGAAATCATGAAGGGTGATTTAGGGAAATTTTGGAGTAAGTGCTTTATATAAGTAAGCATTTTGGAGTAAGGATTTTATAGTATTTCATAATAAGTAGGACGAAAAACAGTGGCAAAGGAAGGCAAAAAGAAGGAAGATGGAAAACCATTAAAAAAAACAAGAAAAAGCAGATAGGCAGAGAAGATTTATTAAAGCGGCGGTTACGAGCGACCGATGCACTTATGCACCTGCGTATGCAGGGGGTGCAGGGGGTGCAATGTGAGTATTTTTCCAGGTTTTCCATCCACCCCCTCGTTTGTATTGTTGCTTCGTAACGGGCCGTTTGATCCCGGCATAACGTGCCGTTAAAACATGCCCCGTTTTTTTTCCCTCTTTTTTTCCACCCTTTTGCCCTGTTTTTTTTTCCACCCTTTTGCATCTTCCTGCGAAAACGCGGCGAGTTTAAAGTGAGGAATAAAAAAAAGAAAGGGGTAGGAGGAACAAGGAGACGTTAATTTATGCGACGACACGCGTTTTCCACCCCCATAAGAGGGGTAGGTCAGTTCCGGGCCCGAGATTGCGCGAAAAGCCGGGAAAGGGGAGATTTTACCAAAGTACGTATTTTTTAATTATCACTAAGACCCCAGGGGTTTATCTGCCTTTGGGTAATACCCTTTTTTTTTCTCTCGTTTACAGAGGTGGAGGTGACAAACAAAATGTATTGTTATACGCCTCAGTGCATACGTAATGGCGTTCCCTAAAGAGATTTTTCCATGAAACAGTGTATTAACTCTCTGTAAACAAAATAGTGAAAATACGGTATTCTAAATCGTTCGAGCTAGGTTATTTGTATTAAATCAATTATCATCCCTAAAATAAGTATTTAACGAAAATG